ATTTGGCCCCTACCTAGGGGGTCAATGATTTTTCCTATATGCTTATAGTAAAAACTTAAAAATCTTCTTTTAAAGAACCCAAAGAGCTAGAGCTTAGCTATTAAGCATGAAACATCTTCTATTATGTGTCTAACAAGTTTGTTCAAATAAAAGCCCTGGGATCAAAATTGGCCCTGCCCCAGGGGGTCATTGTTTTTCCCTTTATGTATATACATGTAGTTAAAACTTAAAAAATCTCCTTTAAAAAAATTTTAAGAGCTAGAGCTAAAAAATATTTAGCATGAAATATCTTTTAATGGGTGTCTACCATTTTTGTTCAAATAAGGGCCCAGGGGGTTATTGTTTTTCCCTTTATGTATATAGTTAAAACTTAAAAAATCTCCTTTAAAAAAATTTTAAGAGCAAGAGCTAAAAATATTTAGCATGAAATATCTTTTAATGGGTGTCTACCATTTTTGTTCAAATAAGGGCCCTGGGGTTAAAATTGTCCCCGCCCCGGGGATCATTGATGTTCCTTATATGTTTCTAGTAAAAATCTGTTAAAAAAACCAAAAAGCTAGAGTTTAGATATTAAGCATGAACTATCTTCTAGTGAGTGTCTACCAAGTTTGTTCAAATAAAAGCCCTGGGGACAAAATTGAAATTGGCCCGCATATAGTAAAAACTTAAAAAATCTTCTTTGAGCTAGAGCTTAGATATTTATCATGAAACATCATCAAATGGGTATCTACCAAGTTTGTTCAAATAAAAAATCCCTGGGTTAAAATTGTCACCGCCTCGGGGCCTATATAGAGGTGGGCGATTTCAGGGCCATCATGGCCTTCTTGTTGTCCCCCGCCTTTTTGAAGAAAAAAGGGGGATATAGTAATAGGCTCCGTCCGTCTGTTCGTCCGTCTGTCCGTCCGTCACACTTTCGTGTCCGGTCCATAACTTTGTCATTTATCAAAGGAATCTGAAATAACTTTGCACAAATGTTTGTTATAATAAGACAATGTGTCATGCACAACAACCAGACCCCTACCTCCAAGGTCATGGCCGCACTTGCTCATTCAAGGTCAACATTGTCTATTTGATGGTATATGTCGTGTCCGGTCCATAACTTTCGTATCTTTGAAGGGATTTTGTAAATACTTGCCACAATTGTTCACAATAATGAGACGATGTGTCATGCGCAACAACCGGTCACCTACCTCCAAGGTCAAGGTCACACTTGGAGGTCAAATATTAACATAGTCTATTACAGGGTATATTTTGTGTCCGGTCCATAACTTTTTCATTTATCAAAGGAGTCTGAAATAACTTGGAACAAATGTCTGTTATAATAAGACAATGTGTTATGCGCAACAACCAGACACCTACCTCCAGGGTCAAGGTCGCACTTACTTTTTCAAGATCAACATTGTCTATTTAATGGTATATGTCGTGTCCGGACCATAACTTTCCTATCTTTGAAGGGATTTTGTAAATACTTGCCACAATTGTTCACAATAATAAGACGATGTGTCATGTGCAACAACCGGTCACCTACCTCCAAGGTCAAGGTCACACTTGGAGGTCAAAGATTAACATAGTCTATTACAGGGTATATTTTGTGTCTGGTCCATAACTTTTTTATGGATCAAAGGAGTTTGTAAATACTTGCCACAAATAGTCACTATAAGCAGACAATGTGTCATGCGCAACACCTGCATCCCTACCTCTAAGTTCAAGGTCACACTTAGAGGTCAAAAGTAAACATAGTCTGGTTTAGGGTATATTTTGTACTTCTTCAGGATTTTGAAATAACTAGACACAAATAGTCAAAATAATAAGACAATATGTCAGGTACAACACCTGCACCCCTATATCCAATGTCAAGGTCACACTTACAGGTCAAAGGTTAACATAGTCTGTTATATGGTTTATTTTGTGTCCCGCCTATAACTTCTTTATAGATCAAGGGATTTTGAAAATACTTGGAACAAGATAGTCACAATGATAAGATGATATGTCGTGCCGCATGCGTCACACATGTGTCCCTACCTCCAAGGTCAAGGTCACACAAGAGGTCAAAGATTGACATTGTCTGTTATAGGATATATTTTGTGTCCGATCTTTAACTTCTACATATTTCAAGGGATTTTGAAAATACTTGGCACAAATAGTAATATTAATAAGACGATATGTCATGCACAACACCTGCACCCCTACCTCCAATGTCAAGGTCACACTTAGAGGTCAAAGTTTAACATGATAGAATTTTAAATTCCGTGTTTTATTAAACTAGTATTTTTTTAATAAATTTATTGTTGCATTAGCAGATCTAGCATTGATCATAATTTTGGACTGAAAGTCCTGAAATCCATACCTAAATCTTTTGAAATAGCACAATTTTATGCTTCATATAAAACTTCCCCGAGGCAGGGGACGTTGGTAACTCTGTTACAAATTCATATATCTTTGGGTATGGTCTACAGGATCAACAAAAATACAGCCATTCTTAATGTTGATGTGTGAACAAAATCTTACAAAATTTGTCTTAAATTTTACTGAGCAAATTTTTATGCCCCCGAAGGAAGGCTTATAATAACCGCACTGTCCGTCCTTCCGTCCGATAATCTTTTCCGCGCATCATCACCAAAACCGATGGGGGATTTCAATAAAACCCCACAGGATTGTTTTTCACCAAGCCTTGTTGTGTACAACCCCTTGATTTTTTGCTTGAATTATTTTTGCACAGTTATGGCCAGTTTATGATCAATTTTGAGTAAAATAAGCTTGTCAGTGCTTTGTCACCAAAACCGCTGGGAGATTGCAGTGAAACTTCACAATATTGTTTGTTACCAAGCTTAGTTGTGCAGACTCTCATGAAATTCAGCTTTATTTATTATGATCCCTGAACGGAAAGCATATAGTCGCCGCTCTGTCCGTCTGTGCATCCTTCCATCTGTCCGGTAATCTTGTCCGCACCACTGGAATTCAGTGAAACTTGACAGGAGTGATCAGTACCATCCCTCGTTGTTCATATTGCTCTGCTGCACAAAATGGCTGCCAGAGCTATAAATAGAAAAATCTTGTCCGGGCTTCATCTTAAAAACCGCTGGGGGAAATTCATTGAATCTATACACAGGAGTGATCAGTATCATCCTTAGTTGTGCATTAATTTATGATTTAAACCTGAAAAAATTGACTCATGCATACATAAATTTCATATCAAGACAAAAAAACATCAAACAAAGATCAAGATTAATTCAAGGATCATTAAGAATGAATGTCCAAATTTATTCCTTACATACTGTATTTAAATTTGTGAGGAAAAAATGTTTATGGGTTGGAAAGTGGTTGCTTATTGGGCTTTTAGTGTTCAAAGAAGAAACCATAGTGTAAACTCGGAAAGAATTCATGTTTGTCTATCTGTCTGTCTGTTAGCAATATCATGTCTGCTCTGTATTATTTGAATCAAGTGAAGGAAAATTGAATTTTATTCAGCAGTCCATACTGCTCTAATACTATATTGGTGAATAAGACCTGTTTTTCATAGCCACAAAAATAATACAATGTCTAACATACTGTTAAGTATTGTAAAACAAGAGTAGTTAAGATAATATAATTTATTTTTTATACACTTTATAGCTGAGTGTAATGATGATGACTCGGAGATAGATGGCGCTCTGTTCTTTGCTGTATGCCGCGGTAAAGTTAGCGTGGGGATGGATTTTGCTGATGACTATACCCGAGTTGTCATTTCAGTAAGTATCATCTCCAATAATCTCCCTGCCCCTCTTTAATTCAGCAGCCCATTTGTTCACAGTGCTATAGGAAGGTGGCTCCTTCCCAAGTGTATCCATGAAGTCCTCATGGATTTCCTTGGGGGACATCCCTTTCTTTCGTACAGAGGTACTTAATGACGGCTCTTATTTCAACTTTCTCCATTTGGTCTAAATAACACACCCATCTACTGATCAAAGTGTGTTTTATGTTATTTTATATGGGTAAAACCTTCACTCTGTCAGTAATCTTCAATAAGATATTGGTACCGGTATCGGTATATCATGTGTAAATGTCAGTATAGTGGCTAGAAGTATATCTGGCCGAGAACTTTTTGATCATACCTCGTATCTGTTTATAGGGTGGTAAACTTATCCAAGCTTTTATGAATATATATGATTTTCTATTTATAGGTTGGCATACATTATCCTAAATTTAGTATTGGTATATGTTTATTTGTATATAGGTTGGTATACCTTATCCTAGCTTTAAAGATGTCCAGGTGAAACTAAAGAGAGAATACAATGACAAACATAAGATTGATAGAGGACTTCTAAGTGGAGGTGACTGGTATGAAATCCAGGCATTTAGGGCCTTAAACCAGGCTCTAGGAAGGTGTATAAGACACAGGTAAGTTCATACAAACTTAATTAAATTATAATGTTTAAAGATGTTTGGAGGAAGGTAGTCTAGTACTGGTGTAACTCTCCAGGAACGATGGTTAGGAAACTACCCACATATATGACTGAAATACTGTTGGGAAAAGGCTTAAAATGAGCCGCGCCAAGCATAAACAGCCGTTATCGTATAATTAATTATTCTGCGAAATATGACGTCAAAATTGGTGATGACGTAGAAAGATGGCGGCGCCCGTATTTTTACATGACAGATTGTAAACACAACAAATATGGACACTTTCGAGGTAATGTTTTAGTTTTATCTTGTTTTTACATGTAGGACACATTTATAAAGTGTTTAGGAATAAAAATCTCCATAATACAACTTGTTTTCGTTCGGATAATGAAAGAAAGTAACATTCATTTTTCATGAATTTTCAACATGTGTCATCAAGCACATGATCGTTAAAAGTGGCGCTTTAAGTTATTTAAATTAATTTAAACTAAATTGCCAACGGCTACAGGTTATAATCCCGTAGGTGTACAGATAATCTGCAAACATACCGACAAGTATGAGCCATACCCGACATCCCGTTGAAAAAATTATTTTTAAGATGGCTTTTAAAAACTTAAAAGAAAAAGATAGATCCGTAATAATATATTTTATTGTGTTTATTAGTTTAAAACTGTTTTAAACTGTTATAATTTTATAGCTCCCATCACCTCACACCCCGTCCCTTAATGAATAAAACTTTCAAATTTAAAATTAAGCGGGCAAGAACTTTACTCAGTAATTTTTTTGCGTATCAAAATACTGATATTTTTTTAACGTCTGTATAGCATATTGACTGCATAGCCGAGTGGTTAGTGTTGTGGACTGACGACCCGTTAGTCGTGGGTTCGATTCTCACTAACGCCACTCTTTTTTTAATTACTTTTTTTTTAAATTAAAGATAACTTCTTATAAATATCATTTAATGAGATTAAATAGCTAGATCTATTTATATATTTTTATGCCACCGCAGCATCTGCGATGCGGTGGCATATAGCGATTCACCTGTGTGTGTGTGTGTGTTTGTTGTTTGTGTGTTATATAGATTATATAGTGAACTTAAAAAATCTTCTTGTTGAAAAACCACTTGTCCAATTTCAACCAAACTTGGGCAGGATTGATCTTGGTGAAGGACTTCCAAAGTTGTTTCAAAGAATTTCATTCCATGCAGAAATCTGGTTGCCATGGAAGAAATTGTAAGAATAAATTTAAAAAATCTTCTTGTAAAGACCCAAAAAGCCTAGAGCTTAGATATTTTGCATAAGGCATTGTCTGGTAGACCTCCTACCAAGATTGTTCAAATTATAGCTTTGGGGTCAAAATTGGCCCCGCCCTGGGGTCATTGATTTTCACTATATGTACATATAGTAAAAACTTAAATACCTTCTTGTAAAGACCCAAAAGGCCTAGAGCTAAGATATTTTGCATAAGGCATTGTCTGGTAGACCCTTACCAAGATTGTTCAAATTATAGCCCTGGGGTCAAAATTGGCCCCGCCCCGGGGTCATTGATTTTCACTATAAACGTACATATAGAAAAACTTTTAAAATACCTTCTTGTAAAGACTCAAAAGGCCTAGAGCTTAGATATTTTGCATAAGGCATGTGTCTGGTAGACCTCTACCCAGATTGTTCAAATTATAGCCCTGGGACAAAAAACGGCCCCGCCCGGGGTCATTGGTTTTCCTTATATGTATAGAGTAAAAGCTTATAGTAAATAACTAAAAAAAAACTTTTTCCTAGCAATTGACAAATGCTAGAGGTTAGATATTTGCTCATGAACATTGTGAAGAGAATTCTCTAGCAAGATTGTTCAAATTATAGCCCTGGGTCAAAATTGCCCCTGCCCCTGGGGTCATTGATTTTCAATATATACATATAGTAAAAAATTAAAAAAATCTTATTGTCTGAAGGTACAAGGCTTAGAGCTTTAATATTAAATTTTGTTAAATGATATCATCTAAAGGTACTCTTCCAAAGTTGTTCAAATTTTGCCACTAGTGTCAAAATTGCCCTGCCCTGGGGGCCATAGGTTTTCCTTAAATGTATATAGTAAAAATCGGAAGAAAGCTACAGCTTAGATATTTGACTTAAAATGTTGTTTGGTGGACCTGTATCAAGATTGTTTTGAATGAAACCCTTGGCCTTGCCCCAAGGGGACAGTGACCTTACTTTCTTGTCCTTTGATGTACAGCTATGAAATTTTGACCATGTGCACAGTTTTAGTTGTAAAATTGAACTTTGATATCAGGTGACCTAGATTTTGATGATGTGACCTACTTTCTTTGTCCTTTGATGTACAGCTATGAAACCATGGTGCACAGATTAAGATGTAAAGTGAACTTTGATATCAGCTGACCTAGATTTTGACAAAGTGTCTTTCTGTGTTGTCCTTTGATGTAGTCGTGAAATTTAAGCTGTGTGAAATATGACCTTCACCACCGAATTCACTAGACTCAAGTGCATTGGTATATTCCTACTCTGATCTTTTATTTTTTATTAATGCGGTGGCATAGCATTTTTCTCAAATGCAATCTTGTTTTTACAGGAGCTGGATGATCTTCTGTCAAGTTTCGGTTTGTCACATCAGTCAAACACGTGTAATTCTGTAGCCATCCGAAATGAAAGTGAAAATGAAGTTATAGAGGCACCAGTTATATCCATTGAGTCACGACTAGACAGATATTTTACAGCTAGTCTTGTTTTGGATCCTGTTAAAATGCAGGGGACAATCAAGGTAATCCTGACACTTACCAAAATAGTGATGATTCCGCAGGAGTGACTTTGACAATCTAAAAACACATTTTATAAACAGGGGCTGAAAATTGGACAAAAAACGGGCTTCAGAAATTTTACCCTTTTCCTCATTTTTAAGCAAATTTTCCCTTTAATCAAAAGGGGAAAGGGAAAAAAAAATTTGAAAAGGGGAAATCAAATAATGGGCCCCCTTTAAAAAAAGAAAAAATTTTTGACTTTAAGGGATGTAAAAAAGACCCAAAAACCTCCCTTTAATAAATTTATTATTTGTTTGGAGAAAAAAATTTTTTGCCTAAACCTTTTTTGGTGGCCCTTTGAAGAAAAAAAGACAGGCAACTAGAAATATCAAACACCATATGGAAGAACCGGTCCCTAAACCACGTTTTCCACGGTCTTTACGGGAAGCCCGGGGTTTCCCAAAGGGCATTTCCTCCAGACGTTATTAAAGATGCAGTTAAGTATATACTGAGTTTACGCACGAACGGGAGGGATTGCCTCAGCCTGCAGCACTAAGGGGGAGGGATGATGAGGCCCCTATATATATTTACCGTCATCTGATACAAAAACATTCAGTGGGCACAGTGATTACGTTACACGCTTGTACGGAAGTTGGAAAGCGGTATGTTGGTTTATCAACATTTAAAGATATAATGGAATAATTGTGTCCCTCATATAAAAATAGCGTCGCCGAAAGAAGGATGTTGTGTAAAGCCTGTGAGGACTGTAAACAGGATATTAAGCTTGCCCAGAGTGAAAACGACAAGATAGATGCAACATTGAAATACCATCAACATGTGCTGCAAGCTAGAAAGGAACGTGATCTTTACGTGGAAAACTTGTAGAAAAATCAAAAGCAATGTTTGTAAACCGGGAACAACACAACCAGGCTGCCGGTGATAAACTTTTCTACAAATGACGTACATTATACATTTGACTTTCAGTCAGTATGTTAAGTTACCACACCAATGCACAAGAAAAGAGACCCACATTTTTCATTCAGCACCGAAAAAAGTGCAGGTATGAGTTTTCAATCTAACTATGCTAATTATCTATATTTTTCATGTATGCATTGTAAACTTTTTTGTTTCTTTTACAAATTACTATTTAAACGTGAAAAATTACCTGTTAGTACCATAGGTTAATATAAAATTTTCTTTTCGTTTTCAAAATCTATACTTTGAATAATTTTTCTATGCAGTAAATGTGTACATGCTGTATCTTTCAGATATTGGTTTCCGAGCCGATGGCTACGAGAAACAGTACAACTATCTCATAGATGAGGACGCAAACGATTGGTAATTAAAACAGTTTTTTCGGCATTTTCTGTAAAATTATAATAGAAAATTAAAATAAAAAAATTACTAAATGAATTATTATCCAGTATGTGCGATGATAAGCATACTTTTTAAAGTTTTTTTTTTGTAACTGCAATGCATGCAGTATTTTTTTTCAGTAACATTTCAAGTATAACAGCATTGAATATCATCGTGTCTTCTAAATTACAGCAAATTAGTTCAAATATCGAGTTTATGTGTCATTTTTCTTTTTGTTTTAGGTCCAGATGGCACACTTGTACATGGACCAGACCCGGTCATCTCAATGCTAGACCATGCCTTCAACTCGTTCGGTACTGGAGAAAGTGATTGTGGGATTCACGCAGATAATTGTTTTGGTAGTTATTTTTCACATCTCAAGTATTCTTATTAGTTGTAACTGCCTCAGTTTGAACTGAGCCATAAAAATGCCGGTGTAAAATAGTTCCTTAAAACTAAACTTGTTTAGTATTCTATTTTGTTCTAAATGTGCATGTATTGAGATTTAATAAAAAGTAGTAATGATTGAAAAATAATAGAGTTACTACAGGATATAACAATAACATAATGTAACTTTAGAGCTTTGATTTTTTTTTTTAATTTAGCTTTTATTTGATTTTTCTCAATTCTTTAACATTATTGTATGTAATTAAATACATGAATTTTAAAATCTTTTCCACAGGTTCAGAATAAGAATAGATACGTAACTAGCCTACTTGTCATGGCGTACGATGATTGGATCACACATAGAAATATCAAATACATGATGCAGTTTCACCAGGACATACAAGGTAGCTTTTGAATTTTTAATTGTTCTATTAAACGGTTACCAAGCAATTTCGTTAATTATTTAGAAAAGATATTATTTTCGCCGAAAAAATATATACTATATTAAGCCTAAATGAGACGAGAACTTTGATTTTAAAACATGTTTTCCTTAATCTCTAATAATATGAAAATGAAGGAAATGTAAAGCACGATCGAGTTCAGACTGTAAAAATCATGTATATAATATAGAATTGACCGGAAAAAGGTTTAATTACCGTAAAATATTTCTACGTCATAAGCTAATTGATGGTGTCAGTAAAACATGCAAATGAATGACAAATACACTGCTGATCAAATCTTTTATCTCATTAATATTAATAAGTCAATGGTAAAATTCTCAGGGAATTTGAGCTTTACCTCACCAATCATATTTGTTTTGCATTTAACTTTATATATTCAGGTGCTTGATCGACGCGGGATTTTGAACGATAAAGAAGTTGTTATCGGCGTTCAAATTGTGATACTCTCCAACACGTGACGGAAGTAGTGCAGAAGTCAGCACACAGTAATGTCCCGTTACTTATGGTGAATGGATGTGGAAAGGCTGGAAGGTGTTCCTCGCAGACAGATTCAAAAAAAGTGGCCGAACATCTCAAAATATCCCCACTTCCGTTCACGTCACTCGAACCCGGTATAGTATACATGAAGGTAGCTGCAGATGATACTAATGAAAAATACGATTTGTAATTTGTAAGACAACTATCTACAAATGGATAGAAATGACCTTCCATCTGTCATACATCCTGCAGGATTAAGCCGGGAACGTCAGACGTACTTGTACCGTCACGTCAGACCACTTGTGAGACGCCCGTTCCAAGATGTTCTTTTGCCCAGTTCCCCCGTCAAGCGATGGGCAGTGATTAGTTATACAAATTTCTATACACTAGTTCCTAAAGTATCAAGTGTTAAGGATATATTTAAGCTGGTGGTATCTCATGATAAAACTTACTATTCTGTGTACAGTGGTGATTTTGAGTATTTACTGTTGTGCTTCTACGATCACAGCGTTTTCGTAATAACTGATATTTGTGACCTATTATCATTAAAGTAACATTTTAATGTTATTTTTAGATAATGTTTTATTTAATAATTACAGAAATAGATAATTTTGGATGAGTGTACGTAATTTTTTTTACTAAATTTATTGAACGAGTTGAATAAAATCATATTAAGTGAACCTTATAGCAAAATATTGTTTTATTCAACGACTTCAATAAATTTAGTATTGAATCTACACGAAAATAATGTATTTTTTTATTCAATAAATAATGATTTTATTTATTGCATATATAAAATAAGAACTATTAACTGTTTTGAAAATATCATTTGTCATTTTTCATTGACGCGCCTATAGTGTACGCTTACATTAGCGCGCTTTTACGGCTATGTTTATATATAGCGCAAATGACGTCACGTCAAAAATGTTATAACACTAGTTTAATATCGTTTTTTATTCATAAAATAGCTTATTTATACTCCTGTGCCGCGGTTTATGTGATAAATTCAATTATATTACGCCACAACTGTCTCTTTTACGTAAGTAAATAAATACATTTTCGACGTTTTGAAATGATGTTATCAACGTTGACGTTAGTGGCGTTACTTGACGTCAGCTTTTTCAAAGCCGTTACGTTTAAGCTTTTTCGTGCAAATGTGAGTCGAATAAAGTATAGAAAGTTATACATTACAAGAAAATTTAAAAAATGCACTAACGCATGATGGGAAAAAGCCGAAAATATCCAAAAATTACTATAACGGCTGTTTATGCTTGGCGCGGCTCAAATGAAACAAAGAAACAAACAAAGATGTTTGATTTTTTTTGTGTGGAAGTTTATTCAATTTTAGAAATAATAATTGTTAATTTTTCTTATTGACCTATATCTTAGTTATAAAAGAAAAACTTTGATTCTCCACAGAAAAAATTAAAATTATTGTTGTGTTATGTAAAAATGTTCTGTTTATCTTACAGAAAAGACTGGGGAGCTTTGATCATTGTTGATGATAGATTTGTTAAACGAACAGAAAAATATTGCAAGAGTAAGTACAGTAAACACTTCCTAATCCATATACTCTGTAATCTGGCATTTTTGTCAAGTTCAAAACAGTTTTTCCTCTTTAAGGATTGTCGTCCAGTCCAGACAATTTTAAAAATCCAGTTCTTGTATTCTTTATTCTAAATACAAATGCTTTTTCTGTCCATCATTGACCATGTTACACAGTTTTTCTATATAAGGGTTCTTGTCCACTCAGTCCACACAATTTTCAAAGTCCCAATTCTTTGTGTTGCCTTCTTTATTCTAAATCGAAAAGCTTTCCCTGGTCTGAAACATCCTTGAACGTGTTACACTTATTATTGACTCCAGTTTTTAGAAGACCAGAAAGAAACAAAAAATTCATGTTATCATTCAAAGAACTTAAAGGCACATTATGCCTCAGAAATCTGTGTTTTTAAGTAGTTATGTGTCGTAAAGGTAGCAAAAATGTAAACAAAGTAGCATTTTAACTTCCATACAAAAAAACAAAATAATTATACCAACAACAGCCAACAGGAATAACATGCAAAAGAAAGTTCATATTTATAGCAGATGAGTATGTTTTTGGAAATTGTAACAAGATACAGAAATAAACAGGTTTTTAGAAATCAAATTTAGAGGCATTTCAGAGGCATAATGAGCATTTAAGGGAAAATGATTTTTAATGATAGATTCTTCATCATTATTATATAGTTACATTGTATGTTATATGTGTATTAACAGGTTTGTCAAGATGGGTAAGATCCAAGGTACAGACATTTAAACATTGTATGTTATATGTGTATTAACAGGTTTGTCAAGATGGGTAAGATCCAAGGTACAGACATTTAAACATTGTATGTTATATGTGTATTAACAGGTTTGTCAAGATGGGTAAGATCCAAGGTACAGACATTTGATGTGTTCTCCGACTTTCTCACGTCCATGTCAAACTTTACTGAGAAAATGATCAAAGAAATGCCCAAAGTGAGGTAAGTACATGTATATACCAGAATATTAAAGATATTGAACCTTTCTTGAAATATTTGTTTTTGAATTTTTATCTAACCAGAAAGTTCTAGAGGTGTAATGATTCATCGATGCATCGCGATCTGTCTTATCCTCGATGTATGCCTCGTAATGAAATTACAAATTCCAATATATTGCGATGCAATACATATTTCACCTCCCGATGTATCGATACAGCGGGAAGGTATCGCAATACACTAACAATATCTTCCAGGAATATAAGGACACACGTATTTTTTGAAAGACTGAAACTCGGATGAAAACAAAGAACAAGCGCGACTTTTATCATACCATCGTTGTCATCTCGTTTCCCCATGTCCGCAATAACGGTTACTAACCAAGTTTTATCAATTCCATGAAAATGGGCTGGTGCTCTTTGAACTTGTTTATAATAAAAACATAATTAGAGATCTATGCGATTTCAAGAAAAAACAACCTACAAACATGAATTTGTAATTTTATTTTGTCGCACTTAATGTCGGATTAAAATATTGATATTCGTCACGTATTTATACTTTCATTTCCGTTGACATCATTTTCCTGTAAAAAAAACACGACAAAACAAACAAACAGAAAACATGAAAACTGCAAAATATTTAGAAGGGGAAATTACAGTCAATCCTCCCTGGTCATATAATTCACGAGTTTTGGGAACATCAGACAGTGTTGTATAATGTGGAAGACCGGACTTGAAGTGTTTGCAAAATTTGCAAACTCAAAATAAAATACTCTGGGGTTGAGCACAAATCTTTAAAGAAAACTGAGACTGAAACTCATAAACTGTCATTTTCACAGTTCTTGACCTTATTGTAGATCACTTGTTACTATTTTTTTCACAAGAAAAATCTTTAGTGATGTATTGTAAGACTGAAATTGTTAAACTGCCATATTCACAGTAGTGGACTTTAGTGTTAGAATAGCTAGTAGATATCAATTTGCTGTTATGGTGTAATTAAAAATACCTTTAATCCTCAAGTTATCAGAAAAGTAAATTGTTGAAAGATCAAAATAGGAATCCAAGTTATAACAACAAGTTAAAGAGTTTATTTTTTTGTTATTGTAATAGTTTTATATTATATTTGTAATTATTATGCTGTAAACAAAAGGCCAAATTTTTATATACTAAGTCTGAAAGTCAGTATCGTAATACGTATCGCATCGCAACATAAGAATCGCAATATGCATCGCATTTCTTCAAAGTATGCAATACATATCGTGAATCACATTGTTTTGTAAAACAAATATCGTGATATGTATCGTGACAGAAAAAGCTGGCAATGCACAGCCCTAGAAAGTTCATTTTGTAAAATTTCCATATCTCTGTTTTGTTAACAGAATACAAAATTAGGGAAAAAAATGTTTCTACCCTTGAAGCATTAGTAATAATAGTTTTCAAAGAATGTTAATTTACTAATTAATTCAAATATTATATTGAGATGAAATGGTTATATTTTATACAGTTTTAGCAATTTGTTTATTTTGTCTGATATTAAGTTTTGTTATGATTATATATCTGTTTTTATATGCATTTGACCAGTGCATACCAATATTGTTTAGCAATGATGATTGTATGCATTGTTTGCTATTTAGTAAGAACTTATTTTGATATTTTTTCTAAAATATGATGAATGATTTTTGTCCATGTTGAAAGATGGACAGGTCCATTGAAGATATTAATTGGGAAAGAGCTAATATTGTCACCTTAGTGCAATAACTTAAATTTAGAAGGACCTTTCTCGTTACTGCACTAAGATGGCATATTATATACATGTATTGGTGTACATATGTCTGAATATATGTCCAGAGTAAAATTATTTACTTGATTATTTACAGTCCAGGCACGTCGTTTATTCCCAGTACACCAGAACAAAAAATGATAAATGGTCTTGTTAGTCCCCTACCTGTTTACCGGAGGGGACTTTAGGTTTACCCTCCGTCCGTCCGTCCGTCAGTCCGCACTACCGAATAGGGATAGGGGGCCATCTAACTGTAAACAGAACAAAGGAGAACAATAGAATTCATTCCGTAACAATAGAGTAAGGGGCCATTTGCCCTCTATTAAACAATAGAATATAACAAAAGAAATGGTCCCTTATTCCATTTCAGCCGGACGTCCGTCCGTCTGTCCGTCCGTCAGTCCGTCCGTCCACAAAACTGGATCCCACGATAACGCAAAAAGTACTGAAAATATTTTAATGAAACTTGATATATGGATAGATGGCATTATGGAGATTATGCACGTCTTTTTCTTTTTTTCCTATGCTGAAAATTCTGGTTGCTATGGCAACAAATAGACTGAAAATATGGCAAATTTTACACATAACCTGGATCCAGTGATAACGCAAAAAGTACTGAAAATATTTTTATGAAACTTGACATATGGGTAGATGGCAGTATAGAAATTATAAACATCCTTATCTTCCTATGTTGAAAATTCTGGTTGCTATGGCAACAAATAGACTGAATTTCAAGATTTCTGATTCTAGTTTTTAAGTTTTTTCACTATAAGTTCTTTATTTCTTAAGGTATTTTCTTCAAACTTTAAATATAAGTTGCTAGTCATCAACCACATCATATGTGACAAGGTTTACAACTCTAGGACAAAATTTATCAGAATTACCTCCCTTGAACTTAAAATTTTCATGAAAAAAATATTGTTTTTTTTAATAACTTCTTTTTTTTTTGAATGTATCTACTTCAAACTTCATATAAATTTTTCTTATTATCACTCAACATTTGTGAGAAAGTTCAATGCTCTAGCAAGACTATTTCCAGAATTATGCCCCTTTTGAACTTAGACTTTTTTTTGAGAAATTGGTAATTTTTACTCCAACTTCTTCAATCATGATAGGATTTTCTTCAAACTCCCACATCATAATAATATGACAAATTTTATAAATCTAGCATCCATATTTCCAGAATAATTTCCTCCTTAAACTTTTAATTTTTCCTATTCATTCTTTTAACTCAAATTCAAAATGAACATTCATTATTCATACCTTCATTACTAATTGTTCTTTGTTTCACTCACATCATGTATGACATCTTGCATCTTTATTTCAAGAGTTATCTCCTTTTTAAAAATTTTGCTTTTAAAAATGTTATATTTTGATAACAGGGATGTTTAAAAAATAACTTTAGAGTGTCCTTCAGTCCGTCTGTCTGTCTGTACATAAAAACTGTTTCCTGTGATCACTTTTAAAGAACTTTTTCAACAAATTTACTTAAAATAGAAACATGTGAATGGCCAATAGCCCTTCAGAATGTTGCTGGGGTTCTAACCGGTAGGGGACTTATGGATTGCTTGCAATACTATGATAATTGCTTGTATAATTTGAAAGATGGACAAGTTCATTGAAGATATTAATTTGGTAAGAGCTAATATCATTACCTTAGTGCAATAAATGGTTAACTTCTATTAGATTTAGAAGGACCTAACCCCTTACTGCATTAAGGAGACGATATGTATATGTTATGGGTGTACATATGTCTTAACATATCTCAATGTTAAAAAGATTTACTTGATTATTTACAGTCCAGACACATCATTTATTCCCAGTACACCATGTGACGACAGAAGAGTTTCTGTTTATAAGAGACATTCACCAGATAATTCATACTTAAATAGTACTATACAGGCTTCACCTTATTTCACGTACGTATTTTGTTATCTTTGTTGTAGTTTAAGATTTACTACGGAAGACCTAAGATGCTCCTCTATCTATTATTTCAAGCAAAGTTTGATACCTAAGAGCTTCTGTAAGCTATCCTAGATTGCTTCTTCACATGAAAGAATCTAAAATTTGGGTTGAAATTTCATTATCACAAGGCTAAGATTGAGCTTTAACTCAATTTTTTTTATAGAGCCTGGCCAGACAGCTTGAATATACACACTGTCTGACTGTATATAGGTGACATCTAGGCATTTTCATTATGACACAAAAACAGATTAATGTTAAATAGCTAAAATTTTTACTAAATTGTTATAGCATTTTTGGATGTCAATATTATAATTAGTTGTGGAAGGTAAATGGCATTAGTCCTATTCACTTTTTATGCCCCCATTTCGAAGAAAAGGGGGTATATTGCTTTGCACTTGTCGGTCCGTCGGTCCGTAGACCAAATGGTTTCCGAGTGATAACTTAAGAACCCTTAGGCCTAGGAACTTCAAACTTGGTATGGTGATTGGTCATGACCAGTAGATGACCCCTATTGATTTTGGGGTCAAGGGGTCAAAGGTCAAGGTCACATTGACCTTGAAAGCAAAAACGGTTTCTGATCAATAACTAAAGAACCTTAAGGCCTAGGAACTTCAAACTTGGTATGGTGATTGGTCATGACCAGTAGATGACCCCTATTGATTTTGGGGTCAAGGGGTCAAAGGTCAAGGTCACATTGACCTTGAAAGCAAAAACGGTTTCCGATCAATAACTAAAGAACCTTAAGGCCTAGGAACTTCAAACTTGGTATGGTGATTGGTCATGACCAGTAGATGACCCCTATTGATTTTGGGGTCAATGGGTCAAAGGTCAAGGTCACATTGACCTTGAAAGCAAAAACGGTTTCCGATCATTAACTAAAGAACCTTAAGGCCTAGGAACTTCAAACTTGGTATGGTGATTGGTCATGACCAGTAGATGACCCCTATTGATTTTGGGGTCAAGGGTCAAAGGTCAAGGTCACATTGACCTTGAAAGCAAAAACGGTTTCCGATCAATAACTTAAGAACCTTAAGGCCTAGGAACTTCAAACTTGGTATGGTGATTGGTCATGATCAGTAGATGACCCCTATTGATTTTGGGGTCAAGGGGTCAAAGGTCAAGGTCACATTGACCTTGCAAGCAAAAACGGTTTCCGATCAATAACTAAAGAACCTTAAGGCCTAGGAACTTCAAACTTGGTATGGTGATTGGTCATGACCAGTAGATGACCCCTATTGATTTTGGGGTCAATGGGTCAAAGGTCAAGGTCGTATTGACCTTGAAAGCAAAAACGGTTTCCGTTCATTAACTAAAGAACCTTAAGGCCTAGGAACTTCAAACTTGGTATGGTGATTGGTCATGACCAGTAGATGACACCTATTGATTTTGGGGTCAAGGGGTCAAAGGTCAAGGTCACATTGACCTTGAAAGCAAAAAAACGGTTTCCGATCAATAACTTAAGAACCTTAAGGCCTAGGAACTTCAAACTTGGTATGGTGATTGGTCATGATCAGTAGATGACCCTATTGATTTTGGGGTCAAGGGGTCAAAGGTCAAGGTCACATTGACCTTGTAAGCAAAAACCGTTTCCGATCAATAACTAAAGAACCTTAATGCCTAGGAACTTCAAACTTGGTATGGTGATTGGTCATGATCAGTAGATGACCCCTATTGATTTTGGGTCAAGGGGTCAAAGGTCAAGGTCACATTGACTTTGAAAGCAAAAACGGTTTCCGATCAATAACTAAAGAACCTTAAAAGGCCTAGGAACTTCAAACTTGGTATGGTGATTGGTCATGACCAGTAGATGACCCCTAATTGATTTTGGGGTCAATGGGTCAAAGGTCAAGGTCACATTGACCTTGAAAGCAAAAACGGTTTCCGATCAATAACTAAAGAACCTTAAGGCCTAGGAACTTCAAACTTGGTATGGTGATTGGTCATGACCAGTAGATGACCCCTATTGATATTGGGTCAAGGGGTCAAAGGTCAAAGGTCACATTGACCTTGAAAGCAAAAGCGGTTTCCGATCAATAACTAAAGAACCTTAAGGCCTAGGAACTTCAAACTTAGTATGGTGATTGGTCATGATCAGTAGATGACCCCTATTGATTTTGGGGTCAAGGGGTCAAAGGTCAAGGTCACATTGACCTTGTAAGCAAAAACGGTTTCCGATCAATAACTAAAAGAACCTTAAGGGCTAGGAACTTCAAACTTGGTATGGTGATTGGTCATGATCAGTAGATGACCCCTATTGATTTTGGGGTCAAGGGGTCAAAGGTCAAGGTCACATTGACCTTGTAGGTAAAAACGGTTTCCAATCAATAACTAAAGAACCTTAAGGCCTAGGAACTTCAAACTTTGTATGGTGATTGGTTATGACCAATCAGATGACCCCTATTGATTTTGGGGTTAAGGGGTCAAAGGTCAAGGTCACATTGACCTTGTAGGAAAAAAACGGTTTCCAATCAATAATGAAAGAACCCTTAGGCCTAGGGACTTCAGACTTGAGATGGTGATTGGTCATGATCACTAGATGACCCTATTGATTTTGGGGTCAAGGGGTCAAAGGTCAAGGTCACATTGACCTCTTAGGTAAAAACGGTTTCTGATCAATAACTAAAGAAACTTTTAGGCCTAGGAACTTCAAACTTGGTATGGTGATTGGTATTGACCAGCAGATGACCCCTATTGATTTTGGGGTTAAGGAGTTAAAGGGCAAGGTCACATTGACCTTGTAGGTAAAAATGCTTTCCGATCAATAACTTAAGAACCCTTATGCCTAGGAACTTCAAACTTGGTATGGTGATTGGTCATGACCAGCAGATGACCTATTGATTTTGGGGTCAAGGGGTCAAAGGTCAAGGTCACATTGACCTTGTAATTAAAAACAGTTTCCGATCAATTTACTAAAAACGCTTAGGCCTAGGAACTTCAACCTTTGTGTGATGATTGGTCATGACCAGCAGATGACCCCTATTGAGTTTTAGGTGAAGGGGTCAAAGGTCAAGGTCACAATGACCTTGTAAGTAAAAACGGTTTCTGATCAATAACTAAAGAACGCTTCGGCCTAGGAACTTCAAACTTGGCATGGTGATTGGTCATGACCAGCAGATGACCCCTATTGATTTTGGGGTCAAAGGTCAAGGTCACATTGACCTTGTATGTTAAAACGGTTTCCGATCAATAATAAGAGAACCCTTAGGCCTAGGAACTTCAACCTAGGCATGGTGATTGGTCATGACCAGCAGCTGACCCCTATTGATTTTGGGGTCAAGGGGTCAAAGGTCAAGGTCACATTGACCTTGTAGGTAAAAACGGTTTCTGATCAATTTACTAAAAACGCCTAGGCCTAGGAACTTCAAACTTTGTATGATGATTGGTCGTGACCAGCAGATGACCCCTATTGAGTTTTGGGTCAAGGGGTCAAAAGTCATGACCAGTAGATACTTTATAACCCTTATTAATTGTTTGATCACTGGGTCAGAAGTCATGCATAATAACCTTATCACATGACTAATTGGCTGCTGATAGGGGGCATACATGTTTTACAAACATATCTTGTTATATTATATGTCTATCACAATTTAAAAATTGTAGACTATATATTCCCATGGCTTTACTAATATGGATGTCAATTAATGGAGATATGTTTTGAAGACAACACAAGTTGGTGGTCTTCTAAAATTATGTGTAGTAAAGGGTCACTGAGGTGAAGGTCGTTCTTTTTACACTTCTGCTCATAAAAATCCTGTCTTTTGACTAATTTCTTATATTTGTTGGTAGAGTCCTTAATTTAACCTTAATGTTTGATGCATTTAGTCCACACATAGGTCAAGGTCATTAGTGCTGAAAATAGATTTTGATACTTTTGCTTAAACAGCCTTTGAAAAGTACTTTTTTGAAGAGAACACAAGTTTTAAAGTTTGTTTCGTTATTTTGTTGTTATTTGTTTAGTTATTTTATTTTTAATTGTTTGTTTTAATTACAGAAGTCCACCATTGAGTCAGTCTCCAGATTTGCAAAATCTATTTAGAACTCCTGAAACCTCAAGCAAGAGAAGATCAGTAACTAGCCCAGCTGCTCCAGTGTTTACTGGAGTTACCTCCCCTACAGTACACCAGCAGGTGCTTGCTGGAGTTACTTTCCCTACAATACATCAACAGGTTCTTACAGGAGTAACCTCCCTTAATATACAGCAGCAGATTCTGAATGTGATTAATTCAGGGACAGGACCAAAAGATCAGCCATATTACATTATTGTAAACCAAGGGACATCGAGTGAACAAACATTTCTATAGAACCAAACAAACATGGAGGTAAATGATACAAAAGTAAAATATTGAATTTATAATATCATTTAAACTTGAATTATTAAAAGAGACAAAAATTATTTTACCCTATTTGATTCCCATTAAAAATAATAGTAATTATTTATCTTTAAAAATTCAAAGGAACTTTTCTTTGGTTTTTTGACATGACAGGACTGAAAATATTTGTTTTCGTGATAAATGTTCCATTTGATGTAGGTCTTACCCAATATAGTGTGTGCAAATTTCAGATTGTTTGCTTACTATGTTGTTTTGTTCCTCAATATATTTATTCTAATTTTGAAAAATGACTCAAATCAGGCTAAGAATAGCACAAAAATGTGCTTTTCAATTTATATATTAGTAAATTTTTTTTTTGCATATCTTTCTGTTTTATGTGCCTCGGCTGATCTATGTCAGAAATTAAAATTTTGTGTCTTTAGAGTTTTGGACCTTAGTGGAGTTCCTTTAAAGTTTAAATCAAAGTTCTTTTGAAGTGTTTCTGTTTCTCTAGATACAAGGAAATTTTGCATAAAATGTTATTAAGTAGTAAATGCTTCTTCAGATCTTTACTGAACATTTAAAAATAACATGAATCTTATTATTTGCTGTTTTATGTGATTTAGGCAATCAGCAGATGCCCGCCCAGATGCCATCAATGGTTCCTCCGATTGTACCCTTAACACAAGCTGCAGGTCAGCAAGTGGTGTTGAACATGCCTGGAACCAGTCAGCATCAAACTATTTTACTGGCAATGCCTCAACATCCAGTGCAGGGAACCAACTTGCCACAGTCTGCCACTATTCCGGGAACCAGTCTAAAATCTGATTTCAGGGGAGGTAATCAGCTGGACAAAATCAATTCCACTGATGGTTTAAAATCAGAAAATGTGTCTAAAGAAGAAAAGAAAGCAGATATAGTATTCACTCTTGGGTCAAGCACACTTAGTGCAGAAGAACAACTGAAGAAATTTGTTAGTTCAAATCAAGCTCCACGAAATCAGGCCTACTATGTTGTTGTAAATAAAGGGGAGACAAATGAGAGGGCATTCTTTATTGAACCAAACAAAAAAGGAAAATCTAAACCCAACACTGAAAAGAAAATTGAAGCAGGTAATTACATGTAATTTGATTTTTTATATGTAATATGTACACTAAAGGTATCTTATTTTGTGTTATTATGAGTATTTTAAGACTGTAGATGTGACTTTAGACATATTTTGCTAGCATGTATATACCATCAATACCTATGTTTAGTTTTGGTAATAATCCACTGTTTTCTTCAAAGATTTATCTACCTGTTACAGGCAAATTTGCATTTGGATCTCTATTCTCCAGTCTCCTGTGAAAATTTATTTTTACCTTTCTGTCTGGTAAATACATGATTGTAGCAAATGAATTTTACTCCTTTATTTAGGTTAAAATATTGCAATAAAAAAAAACTATTGTCTTTTCTGTCCACTTAAGTTGGATAGTAAATTTGATTGTTGAGTTGGAATAAGAATAAATTAATGTCTAAACTAGACTTTAATTTTATGGATGTGTGCACTTTGTGTGTTTTCATTTAAGATAAATTAAAAGTCTTTGTTATGTTGTTTAGGGCGTATATTACCTATTTTTCAAAGCTTTAACAAGTGCCAAAAGGTGTAAATTCAAACACTAATTGTAAAATGCCTTATAAGAAATGATGATATCTTCAATATCTTATTTAATTGGACTGACATGGGGTATTTGTTAACATTTGTTGATGTACTGATGTTATTTCCAGAGAAAATTGATGACAGACTAGTTAAAACACTAGATCCAGTCAAAACAGAGCAGGACAAAAAACCAGTCAAGGTAGAACAGGAAGTGGTAGTGCCTGATTCTTCTACAGGAGATCCAGAACCTCAGAACAAGTTCCTAAAATTTTGCCAGCTTCCAAAAACCCCAGCTAAAGTTCCAGTGGCAGCTGTTACACCTCAGAGACAATCTGAACAGGTTTTTAATTAATTATTCATATAATTGGGAATTAATGGCAGCAATATCACATGATTGAATTACAGAAATATTTAGATCAAATTAATTTTAAATATGTAAGAGCTTTTTCTGCTGAAAATTAAAAGCTGTGGATCAAATATCACATTGTCATACATGTATTACATTTAGATTTGTTGCAATGATTTAATTACACTTATCTTTATGACGTATAATTGACTGATTATGAAAAATACTTAGGATAACAATATTGTGGTGTTGTTTTTGTCTCCTACACTATTAACTAATCATGACTCTTTTAAGCAATGCAAGATTGATGGCTCTACTCAGCTTTTGTGTTCCTCCTATTGTAGACAAAAGTTTGCTACATGGCCTAAAGCCTAATAAAATGACTGAAAGTGTTAGGCCTAAAAATAAATGTATATATTGTACTGGAGATAGGGCTCCTTTTATATATCACCATTCCTGTCTGTCAATAAACATTAATACTGGCATAAAATATAAAAACAAACAGGTGTACATACTGCCCCACTGTTGTGGTGCTCTTGTTAACAGCAGGATTATACCCTTGTAGACTGTTAAATAATATTTTTATTCTGTGTGTAAGAGGATTTATCAAAAGGAAAACCTGTAAATTTTTTGTAAAGATATTGTTACTGTTTTTAGGAAATCAAAACAGAAACTGTTGATTCTGTGAAAGAAGAACAAGGTTATCTTCCCCAGAATATGTCAAAAACTTCACACAATCCTCAAACTACATCAACCACTAGACAGGTTACAGCCTACATGTACATCACCTGTACTCTTTGAAGATGGCCAGCAGATGGACCAGCTCCTGACAGTATAGATAAAACAAATAACCTTGCTCATTTAGATAAAGAACAGAGCATGAAGAAAGAAACCGATTTTCAAGAAAAGAAATTCACTTTCTACAAAAACGCTTAAATCTGAGATTGAGGACTGTAAAGGAACATCAAAAGATGGAGATAGTAATATTGATGAAGTAAATGATGATAAAGACAATGCTGACGATTTTAAAGAAGAGAGTAAAGAAGGAAGAAAAATTAAGCCTTCAACAAGAGGAAAGGTAGACATGTCAGTGGTTGATAAAGTTAAGCAGGTAGAAAGAAGTCAGATGATGTTCTACAAGAACAATAAATAAGAAAATGTTGGAGAGGAATTAGTAGAGGGGGACTCGGCATCAGGTGATTAATTTTATTAATGTTTTTATCATATACAGTCTTAACAGTAAAATTCATAAAACATTAGATGTTATTAAACATTTTTTTAATCTTTTAGGAAAGTTTTCTAAAGTCAAAGTTTAAAGTCAAGTTTTAAAAGTTTACTTAATATGTTGTTTAAAGTAAATTAGCATAATTAATATAAAATGTGAAATTTTCTGAAAAAAAATAGCTAACATGATGCTCTTCATTAAAGATATACTATGTTCATCCTTGAGTTAAATATTTAATATGGAAATTTATAGAAATTCTTAATGAATATATCTTATTTGAATAAAAGAATGCCTTATGATTTATGAAGAATTTTATATTACTCCAAACTAGTAGCAAATGAAATAATTATACTCAACCTGGTGTTGTATATGTGTTCCTCACCTGTTTAAATCATTGTTGAATAGAAGAATGTATAAACTATGTATGGTAAGCTGCGTTCCTATTACAGGATAACTAAAGTTGGTCTTTTCTTTAAAAAGCCAGATTTTTTAACATTCATAGTGTGAACACCTGTAGTGTGTAGACTTTTAAACATAAGATATCATTTTGTGTGAAGTCAAAACATATTTATTTTATACATTGTATTTACCGCTAGACTGTGTAGCAGTTATCAATATTTTGTTATATCAAACTTGAGCATAGTGTATCTTTTACATTGCTCTTCTCTTATTGATACATCTATTTAACAATTTTATGTCATTATTAAGGTAATGATGTGAATTCGGACGAGGAATTTCTCAATACACGAAGACGTGGTGGACGGAAACGTAAATCAACAAGTAAATTTCAAGAGTGGTCAAAGCGGTCTAGAAAAGGCGTCACATATGAAGATACTGAAAACATTGAAGAAAAAGAAAATAAGGTAAATTTTTGAATTGCAGGAAGATAAAGACAAAGTAAATGCTTTACTTTTTACTTTGTTGAGAGGAGGAGGCTTTTTGGCTGAGTCATAAAAGGAACTCCTATGAGATCCAAAAGCCTAAAATTTGAATTTCTTACATAGATCAGCTAGAGCACCTAAGTAAAAAAGATGCAAAAGATAATTGAGAAATAAACATAATGAAATAAATTGAAAACTATATTTGTGCGCTATTCATATCCCAATTTGAGTGAACGCTTTTAAGTTTTGGGTGAATTTTCAGTTAGATATTCATTCTGGTAAAACAGAATGAGCAAAAGATCTGAAATTTTGCATACAAGCTATTAGTCAATACCTGCATCAAGTGGAGTATTCATTTCAAAATTAATTTCAGTCCCGTTTTGTCAAAAATCATGTCATTTTAAGATAATTGTAGACTTCTGATCACTAGTCACTTGCGGTTATTGCTTCGAATCTTGCCAAGAATTGTGGATTTGTTTTGTGTGAACGTCCATTTCCATCTAGCATGCTGAAACTGGTTGAAACCTGAAACAAAAACAAGTAACACACTGAGGATTGTCTAATTGTTGCAATTTAAAATGTTGAAAAATGGTCAAAGAAGTGAATAGTGGGTAACCCGACATATCCCTCTTCCCACCACCACCTGCAGAGAAGAAAAAACTATAAAAAGATAATTTGTAAAATAAAGATTTATTTGTTAAATAAAATGTTTAATACAGTTTCCTTTTCAGTATAATAAAGATTTATTTGTTTGTTTCATTTTCTATTTTTCAGGCCAGAAACCAGTTTTTATCATGTATAAAATGTGGTAATAAGTTGTTACCACTAGGCCAGTATGAGAAGCAGAAAAAACATCCAGAATTCCTGACTTGTGTTTTCAAGAAGAACACAGAGTTGATATATTTTCCCAACATGAAGACCAAGGATTGCCAATTACAAACAGTTGAATCTGAAACAAATAACAAAGGTAATACATGTACATGTATGTGCACTTGTTTATCTTATTATTTATAATAATAGTAACATTGCAATTGAATGTTCAGAGTTCTTGAAATGATAAGGTTTTTTCCTGTACCTCTTGGTTAAAGAATAATATCAACAGAGGGGCCTCGGTGGCTGAGTGGTTAAGGTCATTGACTTCAAATCACTTGTCCTTCAGTGCTGAGGGTTTCAATGCCGTCAGGAACTTTGGATTCTTTTATTTAGTTAGTTAAAAGAATGAAGGTGGTTCTTTGCAAGTGCCCCCTTGTGCCTGAAACAGACACTTGACATCTTCATCCACAGTAAAACTGGAAAGTCACCATATCTCAAGACATTTATGGTGTCGGTGTGAGAGAATTTGGGTTTTCCGTTATTTCTGATGAACAGGTTAAATTTAAGCGAGCCTTCAGTTTCCATTGGTATAATTATTGTATAAAACAAACCATTTTGAGTGAAAAGCAGCCTTCAGTTCCTTTTTGGTATAATTATTGTGTAAAATAAACTATTTTGAGTGAGGGCCAGCCTTCAGTTTCAATTTGGTATAATTATTGTATAAATTAAACCATTTTGAGTGATCATCAGTTCTGTAAAATCCGAAATCAACATTAAATATTTTATTTCCCAAAGCTAGTCTTTACTTACAAAATTTACTGTATACATATTTTTTTTGTTTTGCAGGATTATTGTTAAACAGTGTATATGACGATCGAGACATTAGGATGTTGTATACAGTATTTACAATGTATACAATGTAAGAATGATACAGTGATTGGAGCAAGAGTTCTGCTGGCAGATTCTACCTCACAATATACAGCTGGACAGGTACTTGTCTTATTTTATATCAAATAAATAACAAAATCCTTACTGGACAAAACCTTATCTTTTGACAACATTCTTTATAATTTTATACCTTTTGAGTTTAAGTGTGATAAGAATTGACCTCTAATGTTTGGAAATTATTTAGATAGCCGATGGAATGTCGGTGATGGTTCTACTTATGTGTCTGCTAATATGTGAAATGATGCAATGAGGGATGCCCCAAGGAGTTCCTCCACCAGTAAAGCTGAAAAGCAGCCATAACCCAAGTGTTGGTGCAACTTAAAACCAAACAAAACAAAAAAAACATTTATAAATACTTAAGTTAAAGGGCTTTTTCTAGAGTCAGAGACACACGAAGTCCCTATCTTACAGAATGTCAATAGTTTGACTTGTGCCCGTTTGTGTCTGAAATACAGAGGGGCAACTAAGGGGTTTCTCCACCAGTACAACTGGACTGGAAAGTCGCCATTTGACCTTTACCGTGTCAGTGTGACGTAAAACCCCAACCACAATAAAACACACGGTCCATTTCTATTCCATAAACGAATAATGAATGAAAATAATTATTTCTAGTTATTACTTATTTTATTTCAGACTTGGATTCTGTCATCAGCTGCTAAGTTATGATGTGGATATTTCACTTCCAAGTTTATCTTGTCATTTTGACAAACTGGTGCTACCATTTTCATGCTTACAGGGACTGTGATAATAGAGAAGTCTGACAATTGATCTGCCTTCAATCTTTTAACTTGCCCGAATGAAGTTCTAGTCACTTTAAATGTCTTTACTTTTTGTGAAAGAAATATTTTAAACATTTAACCAACAGAAAGTGAAAGTGATTAGCTTATCACACAAGTAAAGAGCCAGGCTAGCCTGTACATCTATGTAGTCTTGACCAGGCTCTATACTGTTTGTATCTTAACTTTTTTGTATCTTGATATTGGAATCCCTTAAACTTTGAATAGACTTTTCCGAATTTGCATTAGAGCAAATCCATTAGAAAAATTCAGGACCTTAGGGGTTATCATTGAATCTATTCTTGAAAGAATTTCTGGAGGAAGTCACTTTCTTCTATAACAGAATATCATTAAAAAAAACGCAGCAAAGTTTGATATAAATTTTATCACATAGGGAGCATGTCATTAAGAACATTTATAATTATTATTCATTGCATGTTTATTACTATTATGATATTATAAAACTTAAAGTTATCCCCCCTGAATCGGTTGTGAGATGTAGTTTGTTCTGACACTGTGTTCAATGCGCAAACTTGCAAAGTTTGGAATTTTTCAAAAAGTTCTTTGTAAATAAATGAATTGACCATAACATTGAATTACAGCATGTACATTATTGTTGTTTTATGAAGTACTTTAGGAGTTATTGGTCCTGAATTGATTAAAAATAGAGAAAAAATCAGGACAATTTACAAATATATAAAAGTTAAGAAGATCTCATAAGTCGCTTTGGTGTAAGTTAGGCATAGCAATATTTTAGACCAATACTTTTTAAAAAATCTTTAATTGGCCATATCAGTATATTGATTTGCAGCTTTTGTTTTATTATAAATCATGAAATATTTTTATAAGAGTTGAAGACCTGTTTAGTATACTAATATAATATACATGTTCATGAGTAAATAGGGGATATTTTAGTTTTTCCTATAAATACAGAATTTATTTTCATGTATGTGTAGTTGAAACAGGAACATATATATTTTTAAGGTTGTGAATGCTTAAATATATTCTGTGTAATATTCACCTGTGTATAACTGTTTAAATGAGCATTTACACAAATTTTCATCCTGAAAAAATATTATATATGTCTATGTTATATTTGAGTTTTGTTCTTTCATCAAATGGCTTAATAACATGTTGATTTCTTGGTATATTTTTATCAATTCATCATTTATACTTGCATATCTTTATGTCATAACGAATTTTAAAGAACAAGTATCTCAAATCAAGTTTACATTTAGTAAGAGTTGTGACCCTTGCTTGTAAGGCTAACATATACTTATGCAGGTGCATACATGATCTGAATATTTGTGTCATTTTCTGTGTTACTGTTCTTTTAAGAATAGCAAGGTGGTCAGTGGCCAGAACTATACTTTTCTCGTTGTAATGTATATTTCTTTGTTTAAAAGCGGAAATTAAAGGGATGCCTTCAAATAAGAGTGTTTGTCCTTTTTATACGCTTGTTTCAAAAACTTTTTTTTTTAAATGTACCATACGGCTAGACAATAAGTGTGTCCTGGAGTACGTGACTTTCGCACGGCTAAAACTTTTGGCTAGCCGTACGGGCCTTTACTGCTAGCCACTTTCTTTTTCTAAAAGAAACAAATAAATAAATCTTTAAAAAGAAAATTAAATTCCTTTTTATGTTGCCTCTACAACGTAGTGGCGACACATACTATAGGCATTACTTCTCCGTCGTCTGTCCGTCTGTCCGTTAAATCATAGATACAAATATGCGCCGATAAATCTGTCACCCTTCTTTCGTTTTCGAAATAAGTGGCCTATCACCTTAAACCTGTCTATTTTATCGTAAGCTTGTATAATAAGCTTTACCCTTATTTTACTGTCATAATATCACTAACCTTTTATGTCAATCTACCTTGCATGTGTTAATATTCCTTAGTGTTTAAGATAGTCACATTTATTGTCATTAAAGTCCGCCATTTAGTATGCTTCTTTGAGACTTCGTGATACATGTGATAAAGTGACGTCATAGTGAATTCTTAGCACTTAATAACTTAATGTATACAACCTATAAGTAAAATAATATTTTAAAATACTTTGGAACTGAACTGTGATTTTACTTCGGAACTTACACATTTCAGTATCAAACGCACGAAACTTTATTAAATAAATTGTTTATAGAAATGTTGTTAGTAACGGTCTTATGGTTTACTTAGATTATTAACGTAGTAACTTACTCAATTAAGTTAGATCGTTTTTAAAATGTTTCAATTTTGTTTCTTATAACTTATTGTATAATTCTCTTTTAAATACTGTTTAGCCACCGACACTTCATATTTGCTCTGCAAATTTTAAAATGAATACATGTAATATTACACAAGAAGAGAATGTTTGATAAGAAAGCCTGTTGTATTATAACATTTATATGCTGATGAATAAATGTGCATAGTTGAATACCTGGAATGAAATTCGTTAACTGTTATTCTTAGTTTATTTTCGATCAGATTTTAGTTCTTTAAAAAGCGTATAACTCCCTTATAATAAGTCAAGTTGTCTTTGCTGTGGGGTCAAACTAAATATTACGTTCCCGTTTGTCCTTCTGCCTATCTGCCTAGGACACATGTTCACGTGAAGGCAGAAGTCCCTGAACAAGTAGTAAGCCTAATTTTCAGATCTTCTAAGTATAGGTTGGTCCAAGAAGGATTGCAGTAACAATACTTAGGGAATTATTGGAACAATAGGTGACAGTAATTTTCCGTTGATGCTATTCATTCAGTAACCTCTTATTTGACTACATTTTCTTTCAAGTGGCTAATCGAACACTAGAGAGAACACAAAGGTAGCGACTTAAATATCAAAATTTGAGAATCAGTCTGTCAGTCAATCACAAAAATTGTCCGGACTACTTTTCAAAAACTGCTGTTGCAAATTCATCCAGACCTTTCTCAGTAGATGCCTTTGTCAAGGTAAGTTATGTCTCAATTACGGTTTTAGTTGAATGATGTTTAAAAATGTTTGGACCCAATCGGGTTTAAGTCTCTGTAAACCTTTCTCTACATAATATTCTACTTTAAGGACGAAATCAAACACATTTTTCTAAAATAGTTTGTTATATTGTAGGTATTTCTAGGAGCTGTAGGTGTTGGACCTTCTGGTAACCAGTTACAAGCTGTATACAGAAACATGGAAACGTTTACCTTCCAAGATGAACTGGGAAATTTAATTCATCAAGTTTGCACTGTATGTATAGTAATATCTTTTGCAAAAAAAAAAGAAAAATTAATAAATAGATAAAGAATTTCACCTTTATGTATTGATCTTCACTCCAAATTTGTGAACAGTTCTATACCATGAAATTTACACTGATTCTCAAAAGTTGACATTAAATGTAATTTTATTTAGACCTGTGTAATATTCTTAATCTTCAAAACTGAACTATGTGTCTTTATGTATGTTTATTATTTCATAGAAAGTTCCACATGGCGTCCTATGTTTCCTGCCGTCCTACAGAGCACTGGAGAAATTTATAGATAGGTGGAAGGTAAATAGTTTCATTAATTTCTTTTCAGTTTTCCTTTTTATACCAAACACAGGTGTGTGAATAATTGTTATCCCTCGCCAATGAAATTGGGAAGGGGATATTGTTTTGGCATTGTCCGTTTGTCCTTTCGTCTGTCTGTCTGAATTTTATTTCCGCGCTAGTTCTCTGCAACTACTGGCTGGAATTCAAGGAAACTGTATAGGAACCTTAAATACCAAAAGGAGATGGGCATATTGTTGCCTTGTTCTGGTCAGACCCTTCATTACAGAGTTATGGTTCTTGATTAGTTAAGCAGTATGCATATAGAGCAATTATTCTTTCCATGCTACTTCTCTGCAACTTACTGTGTCGATGTGACGTAAAACCCAAACAAATAAATGAATAAATACATCTCTACAACTTCTGGCTGGAATGGTCAGACACTTTAACTCAAGAGTTATGGTCCTTGATAAGTTTTGCAGTATGCACATAGAGCAATAATCATTTCTATGCTACTTCTCTGCAACTACTGGCTGGAATTCAACGAAAATTTTATAGGAACCTTCAATACCAAGAGGAGATGCGCATATCATTGCCTTGTTTCAGTCAGACACTTTAACTCAGAGTTAAGGCCCTTGATTAATTATGCAGTATGCAAGGAAACTTTATGGGAACCTTCAGTAGCAAAAGGAGATGGGCATATTGTTGCCTTGTTCCGGTCAGACTCTTCATTACAGAGTTATGGCCCTTGATTTATGGAATCATCAATATCAAGAGGAGATGCGCACATCCTCGGCTTGTTACGGTCAGACATTTAACTCAGAGTTATGGCCCTTGATAAGTTATGCAGTATGCATATAGAGCAATAATCGTTTCCACACTACGTCTCTGCAACTATCGGCTAGAATTCAACAAATCTTTATGGGATCATCAATATCAAGAGGAGATGCGCACATCGTTGGCTTGTTACAGTCAAATATTTAACTCAGAGTCATGGCCCTTCATTAGTTATGCAGTGTGCATATAGAGCAATGATTGTTTCCACACTACTTCTCTGCAACTACTGGCTGGAATTCAATTAAACTAAATGGGAACCATTAATACCAAGATGAGATGTGCATAATTTGTTGCCTTGTTCAAAGCAGACCCTTCATTACAGAGTTATGGTCCTTGATTAGTTATGTAGTATGCATAAAGAGCAATATTGCTATTTCTTTGCAACTGCTGTATTGATTTCAACAAAACTTCATGGGAACCATCGATACAAAAAGGCAATTTACATCAGTTCTCATGGCAATGTCCAGATATTACTATTTTCCACCGAGTAATGGCTCTGTTATTGCCCTGAATATTTATTATGTAAAAAGAATATTACTGTTTACGCCATGATAAGTATATAAATAAAGCCTTATGTCTTCAGTTGTTGTGTTAGTAATAACCAGTACTTGGCGGGGGATATAAATTCAACGAATTTGCTTGTTGAATATTTGTTCTGTGTGAAATTAATGATTTGTGAAATTTGATTCTATGATTCCATAAAGTTTGAATTATGTGAATTTGCTAATTGTGGATTTTAAAGTTGTGTTAACTGTGAAATTAATGATTGTGAAAAGTTTTATTTTAGGTGTGAAATTATTTATACTTAAAATTGTTCTTGTTCCTTTCATTTCACAGAAAACTTCTTATATTCAACATCGGATACTAAATCAATAAAGAAAATGTTGATGTATCATCAATATTTTTCTGCCAACAATTCTCGATACAAATTTGAAAAATTGGATATTTTTTTCTAATTAAATGTATAGAAATTATGAAAATTAACCACACAGAAGCCCATGTCTAAAACTATGCTGTTGTTTAATAATGGACATATTTCAAAGCAGTGATGTCAAAAATTGTTGGGGGAATCATGATCTTAAAAAAAACAACAAGACACATCATAATTCTATGAACAGAACATATATTTTATTGAAATCATTTAAACAGATGTGAATCAAATACAACTAATTATGAGTAATTATTGATTTATCGGTTTATCATCGATATTGATACTTTGTTGATAATGCTTTGCACTGAATCAATGACAGCTTAAGTAGCATTCTTGTAAAAGATGTGGTGTAACAGATCGTATAAGAGCTGGTCTGCATTTCACGGAAAGTCCTAAGTGTACCCTAAGTCCTTGGACTTATGACAAACTATAGGACTTACTTAAGACTGTTCCAAAAAATATTTTTTTAACTTTTATTTAAGTCATTCTCTTGAGAAAATTTAAAAAATACAATGCCATGCTTTTCAATTTTCTATGTGTAAATGTTTATCAGCATTTGTATATAGCTATTTAGAAATAATTGAAAAGTCTTAACATAGGAGTCATAAGTAAGGACATTTTCTTCGAAACGAAAATTGTCTCAGTTTTGGTCTTAAGACATATTTTAGACTAAGTACTTTCCATGAAACGCAACCTTTTAAATTTACAGCTTACAGGATTATGGAATAAGTTGTCAACCCGTAAACGTGTAATGGTAGAACCTAGAGCAGCTGATAGGGAAGATTTTGATGGCATGATGAAAGCATTCTACGAGGTTGTCAAGGGAGATCTATATAATCCTTATCTGGATGAAGGTAATTTGATCCTGTCTCTACTATATTTGTGTAATGGACTTGCCCCGTTGGAAATTTTAGAACAGTCCATTGTTATCTTAAGGGGTTTCAGTATGAAAAAAGTTTTTACTTAGAATACAATGTACTGCAAAATCATTTTTGTTTGTGGGGCACTAATTTTTGTGTCTTTCGTGGATAGGTCAGTCGACGAATTTAAGATCCAATGAAATTTCATTTTGTTTGCTGTAAGATTATTTTACATCACATTATTTACATTTTATCTTTTGGAAAAATAGACGGTCCATGAATTTAAGAATTCACAAAAAAATCTTCTTAATGACAAAAATAACATGAAATTTCATGCCCACAAAATTAAGTAAATTTTAAAAAAAGTAGCATGGACAGCTTTAAACTGGTTGCTAAGGTAATGTATTATTGCAGTTTGCATTTAAAGGGTTAAATCATTTCGACGATATGACCTTTCTTAAATGATTTTGACTGAACGAAAATCCTTTGTGAACTTGAAAAAAAACCCTGATAAGAGTTTTGCATGTAAGATTGATCTTAAAAATCACTTAATGTATTAACTTGAAAATTCACACATGACTATATATATCTTTTATTCCTCCATTGAATGAAGAGCAGAACAAGCATACATATAAATATCACACATACATACAAAATTATGACAATTCAACAAACATAATACAGTAGTATGTCAACAAACTAGTCAAATATTAATAACATTGTACTAATTTTTGAGACTTCACAAATGTATATTGATAACACGTACTGTAAACATATTTAACAAATGCAAATATTTAGTGTCAGTAAAGAGGCCAAAGACAGGTTCATAACTGAATGTGACTTTTTAGAACAATAAATCTAGCTGATTTATAGGCCTTTGTGAAACTAGAAAATTCCTGGTTGAAGTTTTGCATGCAAGATCATTGACATTTAAAAAAATGACCTCCAAATTGTTTGACAAAAAACAAAACAAAACAAAGTTTACCATCTTGTTTCAAAATAATGACTAAGATAAATCTTTTAACAGTTATATTGATCAAATACAAACATGTTTTCATCTACTACAGAATAAATATATTTATAAGTTATGTCATCTCTATTTAAATGTAGAAGTTGAAAAAAGGACATTTATGTTTTTTACAAAATGAACAAAATCAAAGAAAAGCATATTTGAAAAAGAAAATGTTAGTTAGAAATTAATTCTAATTAAAACAAGCATGAAATAGAACATATTTTACTTGTGTGCATGTATACATATCATTTAACATTAAATTACAATTGTTTATGTTTTGTTATGTCTGCAATGATTACCATTGCTTGGTTCTACATCATTTGATATATTTTGATAATATTTTTACTCTCACTAAAATAAAGTGTACTGGTCTCAGCACACCAACCTACAGCTTGAGGAGACTCATTCTCCAGTATAGTTGTCCTGTCTTTACAATCACCACTTACTCTATATATACAATCAGCCCTGTAAACACTCACAAAGAAGGACCCGTCATCTAACAGTGAAATACCCATTGGTTTTTTAATGTCTACATTCCTTCCTATCATCTCTCCCTGCCAATTAAACCATATAACTGCATTATTGTAGCTATCAGATACATAGATTGAATGGCTGTTTGTGGTGACATAAAAAGAGTCACTGAAAATACTGTCACCATCGGAATCTTTCTCAACTGTAATTTGAATATTACCTTTCAAGTCTATGATTTGGAGTTTATCAGGAGTTAAGAAGGTGACGGCAAGTTTCCCCTGATGATGGCTTATTCCATGGCACTGTCCATCTACTTTCAGTTTGTTTTTCAATGAGAAAGAGTTTGAAGAGAAGGAAATGAGCTGTATTGTTTTAATGAGTGGTAATGTAACAACAAGTGTATCTCTGGTCACCATGTTGATATTCCAGGGACTTGATTCAAGCTGTAGTTGTTTAATTGCTCCATTTTTTCTGTCTATCGTTTTAATTGAGTTATTCTTGAAATCTGCTACAAATAATTGGTTCTGAGGAGAGACCGTAATACCATTTATATCGCAATTATATTTATCTGTGGATGTTTTAACATTGATGTTTCTAGGGGTAGACATTTTCATTGGCACTGCAGCCTTATTTTTTGGTTGAGCTGGTTGCATCAGTTCCTTTTTTCTCAATGTTCCTAATGATTTCTTATTCTGAAAGAGTTTTTTGATTGCATGGTTTGGTTCAAAAGTGTATACATCAACATCATTGGTTTTTGGTAGCTGTTTTGCTATATTTTCATTGTGCAATATCAGTTGCTGAGCTATTTTCAATTCAGTAAACAGTTGGTCAGTTTTCTTGTTGGTGTTGAGATGTTTTAGAGTATCAGCTGATGCTTGAAGTGTGTTTTTGATGTCATCACATGTTGTTTCTGTTGTTTTCAATTTTTTGTTGTATTCATGTTGAATCGTTGAAGCAGTATCCTTAACCTCCTTTTCTAGTTCATCTAATCTCTTGTTTATCTCTATCCTGAAGTTGTCTATTTCTACTATAGCGTCTTTCAGAGAAGTTGACGAGTTAGCAATTCTTAGTTTCAGATCTTTTTTAATCTGGCAGCATTTGTCTGTCAGTTTGTCAATATCTTTTAGAGTTTCTTTGAACTCCATGCTGTCTAAAGTCTGTCCTGATATATCAGGTATGTAGTCCACATTGCAGGATGTTGTTGGGTGTTCAAGGGTCACACAAACACTACATATAAGAGCATTATGGTCATGACAGTAGAACTTGATCACTTCTTTGGTATGTTTGGTACAAGGCTTTGATAAATCACCATCCTGTGAGCCTAAAGTAGATTTTGATGATTTATGGAGGTTTTGTTTATGTGGCATGTGATCTTTATCTAGAAGTTGGTGGTGGCGTAGTGGTTTTGGTCGCCTGTGAGTGTTAAAGCAAGTTTGACATAAATGTTCCTCACAATCCACACAATAACCAAAGGCAGGTAGTCTGATGTCATCTTTGTCACATTGTTCACAGAAAATGTCAAAATCTTCAGCACCACCTCGAGATAGTGTAGATGACAGTTTCTGAGATGCCTTTTTACCAGGCACAGCCATAATGTAACCTAGAATAGAAAATAGTAGATTCTAGAAGTGTTTGACAGTGGCTTTATGTTCTTAACGAATAAAGAAACTTGAAAGAAAATAATTTTTTGTCTAATTCTTGCTGTAAATTCATTTCATTTTGTGGACATGAAAATGTGTGTGTTTTTTTTTAAATTGACCAAAATGACTATTCTAACAGTTTTTTTTTCAAATTGCCATCATTGTACTTTTACTTTGTGAAAAGGGGTTAGAGTCGATGACTTCTAATCCAGTTATCTCTCTGGGATGGGTTTGATCCCCGGGAGATGCTTTGGTAGTTTAGTGCGGAGGAAGGTAGTCTAGTACTGGTGTAACTCTCCAGGAATGATTGTTAGGAAACTACCCGCCTATATGACTGAAATACTGTTGGGAAAAGGCGTAAAATGAAACAAACAAACAAAACAAACAAACTTTGTGAAAAGCTTTTTAAGCTGAGTAAAAGAAACCAGTGTTATACCATACTGGTAACCTGCTGAATTTCTTAAATGGACTTGTCTAGCTTCCATTTTGGGAGTTGTCCATTATTAATATTGGGGGTATCAAGATTTAAAAAAGGTCAGTTTTAGCCCAGTAGCAAAAGCTGATTGTTTCAGCTCTGGTAAACATTTTTAATGGCTTCTGTGACTTTTAAAGGGTAGACACATCGCTGTTGACACACCAACCCCAACAAAATAAAAAATAATCCAGTTTGAGTTGTGGGTGGGGCACAGAAAATGTCTCTCAAGGTTATTCATGTTAAATCATTTTAGAATAATATATTATAAGTACAATGTAAACTTTATTTAAGTTTTTAACATAGATATTGAGTTAATTTACTCACCAGTGATTTATACTTCTCATAAGGTTATTGAAAAAAAATAATCTTCTTAAGTTCCTGATTTGACAAGTCATTTCCTGTCTACGCAATGGTATGTAAACTTGTTAAGTTAAATTTATAAACTGATATCATGTTACACCCACACTAGATATTCAATACATTACATTTGATTTAAAGCAGTAGTTTAAGGCTCCTATCTTTTTTGTAATTAGGTTTTATAAATTGATTATTTAAACAAATGAATAAAAATGCCTGCCCTTAATAAATTCAATTGAAATTTTCTTGCATAAAACAGTCATGTCAGTTAGAAGAAAACCCAATGATGTAGCTGGTTTAAAACATTATTTATGTAGCTCTTGGTTTGTTTAAAAACGATTTCTATTGAGTGGAAATATCACAATATGTTTGTATAGTATAAATGGGACAATTTTATATGACATTATAAAAGACTGTTTATCTTAATTTTTTATGTTTGGCTTTTTTGGCTGTTATTAAGTAAGTTAGATGCATAAACGAAAGAGGTTAAACAATTTAAACAGCTGAAAAGGAGCAACCTATTAGCAACTGCATCCATTTAAAAAAACATTTATTGTTTTCTTATTAACGTATCATTATCTACATTCCATTGGTATGGGTAGTGAGATTTATCAAGGTAGACTTGACGTCTATTATGCTCCCCGAAAAATTTCGGGGGAGTATATAGTCGTCGGGTTGTCCGTTCGTCAGTCCGTACGTCTGTACGTACGTCCCGAATTCGGTTTCCGATCAATAACTAAAGAACGCTTAGGCCTAGGAACTTCAAACTTGGTATGGTGATTGGTCATGACCAGCAAATGACCCCTATTGATTTTGGGGTCAAGGGTTCAAAAGTCAAGGTCACATTGACCTTGTAGGTAAAAAAGGTTTCCGATCGATTACTAAAGAACGCTTGGGCCTAGGACCTTCAAACTTGGTATGGTGATTGGTCATTGGAGCATATAGTCGTTGGGTTGTGTGTCCGTCCGTCTGTCCATTGTTCGTCCCGAATTCGAGTCCGGCCCATAACTTTGTTACTTGAAGTCGGATTTTAAAACTATTTTACAGAAATGATAACCATATTGAGACAATGTGTTGTGTACAACATTTTGGGTTGTTTTTACACTTTGAACTTTGTCCGTGACATAACTCTGACACTACAAGAGGTATACCTTCCTGTGTCCAAAACCTATTCGGGGAGCATCACCCGGTTCAACTCGCTCTTGTTTAACAGATTCTCCATTCACCCCTTTTTCATATATCTTTGGGTATGGGCTACAGGATCAACAAAAATACATCCATTCTTCATGTTGATTGTATGAACCAAATCTTAGAAAAAGTGTCAAAAATTTTACTGAGCAAAATTTTTATGCCCCCGAAGGATGGCTTATAGTAATTGCTCTCTCCGTCCTTCTGCCTGATAACTTTGTCCGCGCTTTATCACCAAAGCCGATGGGGGATTTCAGTGAAGCTTCACAGGATTGTTTGTCACCATGCCTAGTTGTACATACTCTCTTGATTTTCCGCTTGATTCTTTTTGGAACAGTTATAGCCCCCTAATGGTCAATTTTCGAGTAAAAGAAGCTTGTCCGCGCTTCATCACCAAAACGCTGGGGGATTTCAGTGAAACTTCACATGAATTATCAGTATCATCCCTAGTTGTTTATCGCTCCACTGCACAAAATAGCCGCCAGAGCTATAAATAAAAAAAAACTTGTTCGCACTTCATTTAAAAAAACGCTGGGGAAAATTAAGTGGAACTACACAGGAGTAATCAGTATCATCCCTAGTTGTGCATTTATTTACAATTTTAACATGAAAAAATTGACTTATGCATACATAAATTTCATATGAAGACAAAATAAAAAAACAAAACAACAAAGATCAAGATTAATTCAAGGAACATCAAGGATGAATGTCCATATTTATTCCTTACAGACTGTATTTAAATTTGTGAGGGAAAAATTTTTATGGGTTGGAAAGTGGTTGCTTATGGGGCTTTTAGTGTTCAAGGAAGAAACTATAGTGTAAACTCATAAAGAATGTTTGTCTATCTGTCTGTCTGTTAGCAATTTCATGTCTGCTCTGTATCATTTGAACTAAGTGAAGGAAAATTGAATTTTACTCAGCAGTCCATACTTAGCTCTAATACTATATTGGTGAATAAGACCTGTTTTTCATAGCCACAAAAATAATACAATGTTAAACATACTGTCCAGTATTGTAAAACAAGAGTAGTGAAGATATTATAATATATTTTTGATACACATTATAGCTGAGTGTAATGATGATGACTCGGAGATAGATGGCGCTCTATTCTTTGCTGTATGCCGAGGTAAAGTTAGCGAGGGGATGGATTTTGCTGATGACAATGCCAGAGCTGTTATTACAGTAAGTCTCCCATTCTTATCTGCAATAACGTTAACTCCAAAATAGTATTATGTAATCTTTGGTCACCAAAAATTAGGTTCATATTTCTTGTATATATAGGAATGACAAAAAGAGGATGGGACCAAGCAGCCTAAACCAGCCCTGATTTTACTTAATTTGAAAGATGTAAGCAGTAAAGCGGCAGTCCTAGCACTATTTCAACCTCTTTTGCATTTGTATATAGGTTGGTTTACCTTGTCCTAGCTTCAATATTTGTATATGATAATCAATTTATAGGAAGGAACACCTTATCCTAGCTTTTATATTTATATATAATTAAGTATTTATACCCCGGAAACGAAGTTTGGGGAGGTATATAGGAGTCACTTGGTGGTCAGTCAGTCGGTCACATTGCATTTTCCTTGTCAGGAACCTAACTTGAAGACTAGTTGGAGTTCAATACAACTTCATACAATGGTCAAGCACATTCAGAGGAAGTGCTGTGTACAAGAACCATAACTCCATCTTCAATGATTACAGAGTAATTGCCCTTTGTTACTTTTCCTGGTCCAGAGTATACTGGTGGGAATTGAAAACAACTTCATACAATGGTCAAGCACAATAAGAGAAAGTGCAGTGCATAAGAACCATAACTCTATCAAAAGTAATTACAGAGTTATTGCCCTTTGTTACATTTCCATTGCTTTTTTGTCAGGAGCATAACTTGAAGACTAATGGTTTGAATTCAATACAACTTCACACAATGATCAAGCACAATGGGAGAAAGTGCAGTGCACAAGAATCATAACTCCATTTTGACTAATTACAGAGTTATTGCCCTTTGTTACTTTTCCTTGTTCGGCACATAACTTGATAACTATTAGCTGGAATTCAATACAACTTCATACAATCGTCAAGCACATAAGAGGAAGTATGGTGCACAAGAACCATAACACCATTTTGACAAATTACGAAGAGTTTGAAGATACACATTCATGTCCGGACTGTAACTTTGTCATGGATGGAAGGATTTTAGAATAACTTGGCACAAATGTCTACCACATCAAGACGATGTGTCGCGGCTAAGGCTCATGTTAGTCTTTTTGTCCATGTTTCCCCACTTACACAACAATCATGTCCAGACTGTTACTTTGTCATGCATTTAGGGATTTTGAAATAACTTGGCACAAATGTCTATTGCATGACAACATTCTGTCGTGTCCAGGAACCACCTCCCTTTTTAAAAGGTCAAGATCACACTTTTGAAGGTTCACGCTATCACAATTAGATATTATAGGTACAATAATACAAAGAAAAATATTAAGCAATTAGTGACTTTCATTCTCATTTCTTTTCATAATACCTACATGTTTGAGAAACCTTTTGGGGGCATTCATCATTATTGATATATATTTATCTGTTTATAGGTTGGAATACCTTTCCATATAGGTACAGTGTATATGTTTATCTATTGAAAGATTGGAATACCTTACCCTAACTTTAGTATTGGTATATGTTTATTTGTTTATAGGTTGGAATACCTTATCCTAGCTTTAAAGATGTCCAGGTGAAGCTTAAAAGAGAGTACAACGACAAACATAAGATTGATAGAGGACTTCTAAGTGGAGGTGACTGGTATGAAATCCAGGCATTCAGGGCATTAAACCAGGCTCTAGGAAGGTGTATAAGACACAGGTAAGTTCATTTAAGTTTATTCAATTTTAGAAATAATAAATGTTGATTTGATTTTTCTCATTGACCCATATCTTACTTATAAAAGGAATACTTTGATTCTCCACAAAAAAATTAAAATTAAAATTATAGTTGTGTTATGTAATAATGTTTTGTTTATCTTACAGAAAAGACTGGGGAGCCTTGATCATTGTTGATGATAGATTTGTTAAAAGAACAGAAAAATATTGCAAGAGTAAGTACAGTAAACACTTCCTAATCCATATACTCTGTAATCTGGCATATTGTCATGTTCAAACAATTTTCCTCTTTAAGGATTGATGTCCAGTCCCGACAATTTTCAAAGTCCAATTATTGCCTTCTTTATTCTAAATAGAAATGCTTTCCCTGGTCTGAAACATCATTGAGCATGTTAAACTTATTATTGACTCCATTATTTAGAAGAATGGGAAGAAACAAATTTAATTTTACTATGTCTAGTATTCAAAGATAAGGGAAAATAATTCTTAATCATTATTATATAGTTCCATTGTATGTTTTATGTGTATTAATAGGTTTGTCAAGATGGGTAAGATCAAAGGTACAAACATTTGATGTGTTCTCTGACTTTCTCACGTCCATGTCAAACTTTACTGAGAAAATGATCAAAGAAATGCCCAAAGTGAGGTAAGTTTATGTATATACCAGAATATTGAATAAATTTAACCTTTATTGAAAAAGTTGTTTTTGAATTTTTATCTAACCAAAAAGTTCATTTGGTAAAATGTCTGTATCTTATTTGTCAACAAAATACAAAATTAGGGAAAAAAATGTTTACTCTTGACGCATTAGTCAATAGTTTTCAAAGAATGTTAATTTACTAATTTAATTCAAGTTTTATATTGATATGAAATGGTTATATTTTATATATTTTTATCGGTTTATTTTGTTTAATATTAAGTTTTGTTATGATTATATATCTGTATTTATCTGCATGCGACCAAGATCGGCTGCCGTCAGATGATTGTATGCATTGTTTGCCATTTGATAAAAACTTATTTTGATTTATTTTTTCCTAAAAGAAGATGAATAGTTTTGTCCAGGTTGAAAGATGGACAAGTCCATTTAAGATATTTAGTTGGGTAACGTCACATGATTTGTCACCTTAGTGCAATGACTGGTGTAACGTTATTCTTAAAATAATTAACAAACGAAAACGATCGTATAGTGATTTATTCAATTAATGTCCTTAACATAACTTAAGTAATTCAAGAACAAAACTACAAGAGACTCAACACTGTTAACCACTCGGCCACGGAGGCCCCATAATCCTCAACACTGTTAAAACAATGCAATGTTTTTATAAAAGACTTTGCACGTGCTTATGACAGCTAAATGACATACCAAAGTAGCCAATCACTTTTAGTGTAACAAACTTTTGTTACGCCCTATAACCAATCAAAAGCACGTTTACATATTCAAATTTGACTTTTGGTCAAATGTTATATTGATAAACACTCATCACAACAATTAAAATGGTTTATATTTAATTGTCATTTTAACGTCTAATTTGACGAACTGTACTTTAATATTAAAATATCATAATCGAAGTAAACAACATCTGTCAGCTGGTAGGCAAATAACACGGTTTTGTTTCACTGCCAGTAATGTATATGTAGTTAAGCTGTCAAATTTTATGAGACAACATTCCAAAGAAATGTATATAATATCGACATATAATTGAGTAATGAAGTTTGCAAATAAAACTAATTAAAAGTTGATAAATCAAATAAGATAATCAAAACATGTATAATTAATTAACTATAAGTGCCACTATGTTACACTGGTTAACTACGACATATATTAGATTTAGAAGGATCTAACCCCTTACTTCACCAAGGAGACGATATTTATAATTGTAAATGTTATAGATGTACATAATGTCTTAACATATCTTATTGTTAAAACGATTTACTTGATTATTTACAGTCCAGACACATCATTTATTCCCAGTACACCATGTGACGACAGAAGAGATTCTGTTTATAAGAGACATTCGCTAGATAATTCATACTTAAATAATACCATACAGGCTTCACCTTATTTCACGTAAGTATTTTGTTATCTTTGTTGTAGTTTAAGACTTACTACGGAAGACCTTAGGTGCTTCTCCATTCATAATTTCAGGCAAAGTTGGATACATGAATAGAATCTAAGTCTAAGATCTTCTGTAAGCTAGCTAGATTGCTTCCTCACATGAAAGGATCTAACAATTCTGTTGAAATTTCATAATCACCAGGCTGAGATTGAGCTTTTAGTTATATATAGTTTGGCCAGACTGCTTGAATATGCAATACAATTTGGTAGTCTCTTTCTTAAGGTGTAGTAGAGGGTCACTGAGGTCAAGGTCATTCATGCTAAAAATAGATTTTTAAATTTCTGCTCATAAAAATCTCGTTTATTGACCGATTTCTTTTAATATTTGTTGGTAGATTCATTTAACAGATTCCTTCAACCTAAATTTCCCATGGAGCAAGTGGACACTTAGGTCAAGGTCACTAGTGCTGAAAATAGATTTTCATACTTTTAATCACTTGTTAATACAGCCTTTGAAAGTATTTTTTTGAATATTACACAGCTTTTTAAGTTTGTTACGTTACTTTATTATTATTTGTTTAGTTATTTTATTATAAATTGTTTATTTTAATTACAGAAGTCCACCATTGAGTCAGTCTCCAGATTTGCAAAATCTATTTAGAACTCCTGAAACCTCAAGCAAGAGAAGATCAATATCTAGCCCAGTTGCTCCAGTGTTTCCTGGAGTTACCTCCATTACAGTACACCAACAAGTGTTTCCTGGAGTTACTTCCCCTACGATACAGCAACAAGTACTTACAGGAGTAACCTCCCTTAATGTACAGCAGCAGATTCTGAATGTGATTAATTCAGGGACAGGACCAAAAGATCAGCCATATTACATTATTGTAAACCAAGGGACGTCGAGTGAACAAACATTTCTTATAGAACCAAACAAACATGGAGGTAAATGATCAGAAGTAAAGTATTGAATTTATTATATCATGAACTTGAATTATTGAAAATGACAAAAATTAGTTTACATTATTTGATTCCCATTAAAAATAATAGTAATTGTTTATCTTTAAAAATTTAAAGGAACTCTACTTTGGTTTTTTGACGTGACAAGACTGAAAATATTTGTTTTCGTGATTAATGTTCCATTTGATGTAGGTCTTACCCAATAACGTGTGTGCAAATTTCAGATTGTTTGCTTACTATGTTGTTTTGTTCCTCAATGTATTTATTCTAATTGTGAAAAATGACTCAAATCAGGCTAAGAATAGCACAAAAATGTGCTTTTCAATTTATATATTAGTAAATTACCTTTTGCATATCTTTCTGTTTTATGTGCCTCAGCTGATCTATGTAAGAAATTTAAATTTTATGTCTTTAGAGTTTTGGACCTCAGTGGAGTTCCTTTAAAGTTTAAATCAAAGTTCTTTTTAAGTTTGTCTGTTTCTCTAGATACAAGGAAATTTTGCATAAAAATGTTATTTAGTAGTTAATGCTTCTGAAACCTTCTAGTACATGTATATACACAAGATATTTTCAGAATATTCAGATTTTTGTTGAACATTTAAAGAAACATTAATCTTATTATTTGCTGTTTTATGTGATTTAGGTAATCAGCAGATGCCCGCCCAGATGCCATCAATGGTTCCTCCGATTGTACCCTTAACACAAGCAACAGGTCAACAACAAGTGGTGTTGAACATGCCTGGAACCAATCAGCATCAAACTATTTTACTGACAATGCCTCAACTTCCTGTGCAGGGAACCAACTTGCCACAGTCTGCCCCTATTCCGGGAACCAGTCTAAAATCTGATTTCAGAGGAGGTAATCAGCTGGACAGAACAAATTCCACAGATGGTATAAAATCAGAAAATGTGTCTAAAGAAGAAAAGAAAGCAGATATAGTGTTCACTCTTGGGTCGAGCACACTTAGTGCAGAAGAACAACTGAAGAAATTTGTTAGTTCAAATCAAGCTCCACGAAATCAGGCCTACTATGTTGTTGTAAATAAAGGGGAGACAAATGAGAGGGCATTCTTTATTGAACCAAACAAAAAAGGAAAATCTAAACCTAACACGGAAAAGAAAATTGAAGCAGGTAATTACATGTAATTTGATTTTTTATATGTAATATGTACACTCAAGATATCTTATTTTGTGTTATTATGAGTACTTTAAGACTGTAGGTGTGACTTTAGACATATTTTGCTTGCATGTATATACCATCAATACCTATGTTTAGTTTTGGTAATAATCCACTGTTTTCTTCAAAGATTTATCTACCTGTTACAGGCAAATTTGCATTTGGATCTGTATTCTCCAGCCTCCTGTGAAAATTTGTTTTTACCTTTTTGTCTGTTATTACATGATTGTAGCAAATGAATTTTACTCCTTTATATAGGTTCTAATATTGCAATATATAAAACTATTGTCTTTTCTGTCCACTTTAGTTGGATAGTAAATTTGAATATGGTGTTGGAATAAAAATAAATTAATGTCTAAACTAGGCTTTAATTTTATGGATGTGTACGGTGGCACAAAGGTGATATGTGTTTGTTTTTATTTATCTCGTGGCCAAGAGATAATATGTCATGGCCACGATTTGCTAAGTCGTGGCCACGAGATAGCTATGTCGTGTCCTTGAGTTACTAAGTCGTGGCCACGAGATAGCTAAGTTGTGGCCACGAGATACTATGTCGTGGCCACGAGTTACTAAGTCATTGCCACGAGTAAGGTAGTCGTGGCCACGAGATAGCTAAGTCGTGGCCACGAGATACTATGTCGTGGCCACCAGTTACTAAGTCGTGGCCACGAGATACTATGTCCTGGCCACGAGTTACTAAGTCGTGGCTACGAGATAGCTAAGGCATGGCCACGAGATACTATGTCCTTGCCAAGAGTTACTAAGTCGTGGGAACGAGATAGCTAAGTCGTGGCCACAAGATAATTAACCAATCAGAATACACTATATTATTATATTATGAATTTTTTAAACTTAACAACTTACTTTTACATGCAACATTAATCTTTGAAAATACTGAAGATATTCACTTTGAACTTGTCGTTAGGATCATATTAAAAAGTCACCTTGCAAGACCCATCTGACATTAATTTTGACTATAGCTCTTTGTTGGGACAATTTTGTGATAGAATTGGTCAGTCTGTACGTACTACGGCCTGTAAGCCTTGTTTATACGGTAACATGAGAATGAAGTCCTGGTTTATTTCATTTGTAAGGGACATTGCCCATGGACAGTAGATAGCCTATAAGGTAAAATCCTTGTCTGATGAATAATTAAGATGGGATAAGCCATGGTTTATATAACCCAAAGAGATCATTGCACCTGATCAGTAGATGACATCTAATACTTTCGAGGTCATTGGGTCAAAAATCAGCTTGGGTCACAGTGACGCTTAATGTAAAATTATTGACAAGTCAATAAGTTGTATAAATGGAACTTTTACAGGCTGGTGAGGTAGGGGTATCTTTGTACTAGTTAGTTAGGGAATTTCACATAAATGGTGTAATCTGATTGGTTATTTATCTCGTGACCAAGACTTAGCTATCTCGTGGCCACGACGTAGTAACTCGTAGCCAGGACATAGTATCTCGTGACCACGAGTTAGCTATCTCGTGGCCACGACTTTGTAACTTGTGGCCACAACATAGTATCTCGTGGCCACGACTTACCTATCTCATGGCGACGACTTAGTAATTTGTGGCCACGACATACTATCTCGTGGCCACGACTTAGCTATCTCGTTGCCACGACTTAGTATCTTGTGGCCACGACATAGTATCTCGTTACCACGAGATAAATAAGAACACACACATGTCACCTTTGTGCCGCCGTAGATGTGTGCATATTGTGTGTTTTCTTTTAAGATAAATTTGAAGTCTTTGTTATGTTATTGAGGGGCGTATGTGACCTATTTTTCAAAGCTAAAACAAGTGCCAAAAAGTGAAAATTCAAACACTAATTGTAAAATACCTTATACTTAAGAGTGATAAGAAATGATGATATCTTCAATGTCTTATTTAAATGGACTGACATGAGGTATTTGTTGACCTTTGCTGATGTACTGATGTTATTTCCAGAGAAAACTGATGACAATCTAGTTAATACACAAGATACAGTCAAAACAAAGCAGGATAAAAAACCAGTCAAGGTAGAACAGGAAGTGGTGGTGCCTGATTCCTCTACAGGAGATCCAGAACCTCAGAACAAGTTCCTAAAATTTTGCCAGGTTCCAAAAACCCCAGCTAAAGTTCCAGTGGCAGCTGTAACACCTCAGAGACAAACTGAACAGGTTTTTAATTAATCACATGAATGAATTCCAGAAATATTAAGATCAAACAAACTGAAATTAAGAGCTGCAGATCAAATATCACATTATCATATTATGTTTAGATTTGTTGCAATGATTTACTTACACTTATCTCTATCAAGTATAATTGACTGATTATGAAAAATACTGAGGATAACAAGATTGTGGTGTTGTTTTTGACTCTTACAATATTAACTAATCATGACTCTTTAAGCAATGCAAGATTGATGGTTCTACTCAGCTTTTGTGTTCCTCCTGTTGTAGACAAAAGTTTGCTATATGTTCTAAAACCCAATGAAATTAATGAAAGTGTTAGGCCTAGAAATAGATGTATAGATTGTTGTAGTGGAGACAGGGCTCCTTTTATATATCGCCATTCCTATCTGTCAATAAACATTTATACTTGCATAAAATTTAAAAACACAGATGTACATATTGCCCCACTTTTGTGGTGCTCTTGTTAACAGCAGAGTTATACCCTTGTAGACTGTTTAATAATATTTTTATTCTGTGTGTAAGAGGATTTATCAAAAGGAAAACATGTAAAGTTTTGTTAAGATATTGTTACTGTTTTTAGGAAATCAAAACAGAAACTGTTGATTCTGTGAAAGAAGAACAAGGTAATCTTCCCCAGAATATGTCAAAAACTTCACACAATCCTCAAACTACATCAACCACTAGACAGGTACAGCCTACATGTACATCACCTGTACTCTTTGAAGATGGCCAGACAGATGGACCAGCTCCTGACTGTGTAGATAAAACAAATAACCTTGCTGAATTAGATAAAGAACATAGCATGAAGAAGAAACCAATTTTCAAGAAAAGGAATTCACTTTCTACTAAAACACTAAAATCTGAGATCGAGGACTGTAAGGGAACATCAAAAGATGGAGATATTAATATCGATGAAGTAAATAATGATAAAGACAATGCTGATGATTTTAAAGAAGAAAGTAAAGAAGGAAGAAGGACTAAGCCTACAACAAGAGGAAAGGTAGATATGTCAGTGGTAGATAAAGTTCAACAGGGTAGAAAGAAGTCAGATGATGTTCTACAAGAAGCAAAAGATAAGAAGAATGTTGGGGAGGAATTATTAGATGGGGAATCGGCTTCAGGTGATTATATTGTTATCATATACAGTCTTACATCACTAAATTTCATAATCTACTAAATGTTTAACTTTCTTTTATCTTTTAAAGTAAGCTGTGTAGAATCAATACTACCGAACATATACATTACAGTTATAAAAAAAGTTCAAACTACCAATGTAATGTGTTCTTAAAGAAACTCCTCTCAGTTCCAAAGGCCTAAAAACATAAAATTCTTAGTAAGTTTTTCAGTACAATTTATTTTGTAAAGGCATGTTATACATGTTATAGGGCAGTGATTTTTCAACTTTATAACAGAAGCATATACAAAGCCTTTTCTCAATGGAAGTTTTTTTTATATCATACATTTTCCCAAAAATCTCCACTAACACCAGCCTTTTTACTTCAAAAATTAACAATTTTAAGTGATAATTTTCCCCAAAATCAAGAGCATGATGCCTCTTCCCAATTATGTGAGAAAAACCACTGCAAAGAGAGAAAATTGTGCAACCTTACAGGGACCCTCGGCATCCCATTCTGCTGCTTTACCGACTGAGCTATCCGGCCTCTTACATATCTTCTCCCATAAATAGTGAACTGTTCTGAGCTGTGAAAGTCAGTTAAAACACACTTATACAAAGTAGCATAATTGATATAAAATGTGAAATTTTCCAAAAAGACATTAGCTAACCTGATGGTCTTCATTCACATTGTTCTCCTGTTATTGTTACAAAATAATTAGCAATCTTTTACTTTATTTAGGTAATGATGTGAATTCAGACGAGGAGTTTCTCAATACACGAAGACGTGGTGGAAGGAAACGTAAATCAACAAGTAAATTTCAAGAGTGGTCAAAAAGCGGTCAAGAAAAGGTGTCACAAACGATGATAATGAAAACACTGATGAAAAAAAAATAAGGTAAAATTCTGATTGCAGGAAGATATAATAGTAAATTAATTTACTTTGACTTAATGATTAACTTTATAAGTGGATATATTTCTGCGTGTCGAAAAGCTAGTGAATAAAAAAAATTAAAGAATATGCGCTTGAGGAAATATTAGCAAAATCGTGTGCAAGTGTAGCATTTAATGACAGGTTGGTTGATATTGATGCTAGAGTAAATTATAGCGATTTTCATCAATTTGCAAAATTCGCCAATATTTCCATCTTGCTAACTTTACCACTTATACAGTACATGTCAAGTAGTATGTAGAAAGTATGTAGAAGAGGGTAGGAGTTATTGAGATTGTCACTTGCCAAGAATCTTGCCAGGTAAAGTTTTTCGTGTGAAGAATTCCATTTTCAACTAGCATGCTGAAGGTCTTCTTTCTCTACTACAGTCGACTCCACTTATAACGAACTCGCTTATAACGAATCTTTAATAGCGAAATAAATCTGACATCCCCGGCCGGTTCCTTCTTTATTTTATATTAAATCACATCGCTTAATATGTACTTGCTTAAAACGAATTTTCGGCTATAGCGAACCATTTTTTCAAGTCCCAAACGGCAAAAAACTTGTAAATTTCCTCAGTTAAAACAAACTGTTATAATTGAAATATCGGGATGCTCTCGATAAAGATCTGTACATGAATACCACTATTTGATAATTATTCAATCGAGTGATTGCACAAGTAAGAATAACGATTTGTTAAAATGTTGTCATAACATAATTTCCTAATTTGTATTTCGCACCCTCAGTTAATAAATTGCTGTAAATACCCGATATTTACCAAATAACCGATTTTTGTTTGCAATATTAACCAAACAATAACAAACAAATAGTAAGAGAATACAAATGGTAAACACTTTATAAACAAGTACTACCTGTCTAAATACATGTACCATGTACACAATATATTGTTCAATAAAATGACCTGCGTTAAATTACCGCTGCCATAAATTACGGATTATACCAGTAACCAGTGGCAGGTATGCCTTTTTCACGGCAATTTTTTCCATCAAACAAGTCAGCAAATTGTTGCTACTTCACTTTTAGCAAACTTCGGATATAACGAACGATATTTAAATGTCCAATTGAGTTCGTTATAAGCGGAGTTGACTGTATTACTGGCTGGTGCTTAAATAAACCATTAAAGCACAGAGGTCTGTCTAGGGTCTTCTGCAATGTAAGATGGTAAAAAGGACCCAAAAGAAGTTAGTAGTGCTTAACGAGATATTTTCCTTTTCCCTCCTCTTCCTGCAGAAGAAGAAGAATACATGTGTATTTAAAAAAAAAGCCAAACAAACTTATATTTGTTAAAATAATGTTTTATAACAGTTTTTCTATTGCTATTAATTTTATGCTTCATTTCCTATCTTTCAGGCCAAAAACCAGTGTTTATCATGTATAAAATGTGGTAAACAGTTGTTACCACTAGGTCAATATGAGAAGCAGAAAAAACATCCAGAATTCTTGACCTGTGTTTTCAAGAAGAACACAGAGTTGATATAATTTCCCAACATGAAGACCAAGGATTGCCAATTACAAACAGTTGAATCTGAAACAAATAACAAAGGTAATTAACGTGTACTTGCTTGTCTAATTAATTATAAAAAAGTAACATTGCATTTGAATTTTAAATGGTTCTTTGAATGAAAAGGATTTTTCAAATACCTTTATTGTTGAAGATTGAACACAGAGAAGATTGAACACAACTGAAGGGGCATCCGTTGCCAAGTGGTAAAGGTCATTGACATCAAAGCGCTTACCACTTAACGCATAGGGTTTCAATACTGTTGCAGACTTTAGATTATTTGTGAGGAAGCTACCCAGCTAGCTTACAATACTTAAGTTTCAATTTACAAAACAAACCATTTTGATGATCACAAGTTCTGCTGAAACAGACAACATCATTAAAAATTCTTATTCCCAAATGCTAGTCTTTACTAACAAAATTGACTGTATACATTTATAATTTGCAGGATTATTGTTGAACAGTGTATATGACGAGACATTAGGATGTTGTATACAATATTTACAATGTATACAATGTAAGAATGATACAGTGATTGGAGCTAGAGTTCTGCTGGCAGATTCTACCTCGCTGTATACAGCTGGACAGGTACTTGTCTTATTTCATATCAAATAAATAACAAAATCCTTATTGGACAAAATCTTGTTGGGTTTTTTTTTTGACAATATACTTTATAATTTTATACTTTTTGAGTTCAAATGTGATACAAATAGACCTTTCATGTGTTGAAGTTTTCCAGATAGCCAGTAGAATGTCGGTGGTGGTTTTACTTAGGTGCCTGCTAATGTCTCAAATAATGTGTGGCTTTCCTCCACCAGTAAAGCTGGTAAGTTGCCATAAGTGTCGATGCAACATAAAACCGGACAAAATAAACAAGAAAACAAATTGAACAGACCTCTACCACCAGTTAAGTTAAAGGACTTTTTCTACAGTCAGAGTACTACTGATATGTACACAGTTACACACACAGTCCCTATCTTACAGAACATTGGTGGTTCTACTCAGGTATCCGTTTGTGCCTGAAATTTTGTACAGAGGAGCATCTGAGGTCTTTCCAGTAAAACTGGAAAGTCGCCATATGACCAATACTGTGTTGGTGTGACGTAAAAACTCTACCATAACAGGAAAACACAGTCCATTTATATTTCATAAAAGTATAATGAAAGAAAATAATTATTTCTAATTATTACTTATCTTATTTCAGACTTGGATTCTGTCATCAGCTGCTAAGTTATGATGTGGATATTTTACGTCCAAGTTAATCTTGTCATTAACAGACAGACTGGTGTTACTATTTTAAGACTTAAAAGGACTGTGATAAAAGAGAAGTCTGACAATTGATCTGCCTTCAATCTTTTATCTTGCCTAGTCACCCTAAACTTCTTAATTTTGTGTGAAAGAACTATTTAAAACCTTTAACCAGCTAAAAGTGAAATATTAACCTTTCAAGTATAGAGCCAAGTCAGCCTGTGGATATATTACTATACACCATTGACCATACTCTACACTGTTTGTATCTGAACTTTTTTGAATCTTGATATTGGAATCCCTTAAAATTTGAAAAGACTTTTCCAAATTCGCAGCAGGGTAAAATCATTACATTCATTTATCAGGTAAAGGTTTATCATTGGACCAAGTCTTGAAAGAATTACTGGAGGAAGTCACTTTCTTCTAAACAGGAAACAAGATCTAAACTTATTTTCATCACATAGGGAGCATGCCATTAAGCATGTCTTTGTATGTTTATTATTACACTTAATGTATTCGAAAATGATATCATGAAAATTGAAATTATCCCCACTGAATTGGTTTTGGTCTGACACTCGAGAACGTGTGGCTGATGCATTAACTTTCAATGTTTGTAAATTTTGACGAAGTAGATGTAAATAAATGAATTCACTGTTATATAGAAGCACAGCATGTGTATAATTGTTGTTTTATGAAGTATTTCAGGAGTAATTGCCCCTGAATTGATTAAAAATAGAGAAAATTATCAAGATAATTACAAATTTAAGAGTTTGGCATTTCATTAATCTTCTTAGTCTATATCTTCAGCAGTTATTGTTATTAGGTTGATAGACAAAGCTATATTTTAGACCAAAACTTTTTTTTAAACGTCTTTGATTGGCGATATTAGTATATTGACTTTCAGGTTTTGTCTTATTATAAATCATTAATAATTTTTGAAAGAGTTTTGTCTCATAAATCAGTTAATACATGTACTTCAACACTAAAATTTATTTTATACTTATGAATGAAATATTGATGAAATAAAATGCTTACTTTCATTTTCTGTATTTTCAAGGTAAAAATTTAATTTTCACTGCAGTTAAACTTATTTTCCATATTTTCACTGATGTTGGATTACTTCCTTCTCAATTCATCTAATACACAAAATTCGAGGGAAAGTCTTTGAAATTGTAATGTCATAAGAGAGAAAAATGTATATTTATATATACAGGAAAGTCAAGATTTATTTTCATCTTGTGGTATAAAAGTTATCATATTTCACTCTAGGCTACCGCCAACATGAAATATTTATTTTCCTACCACTCAATGAAAATATATCTTGAATTTATAGAAAAAACTCAAATAATCTCTATCTATTCATGAACATGAATTTTGTATTATAAAAAACAGATCTTTCGAAAAAATGTTTTATTTGAAAGCTTGTGAATGTTAAATTATATAATCTGCGTAATATTCACCTGTGTATAGTTGTTTTAATGAGCATTTACACAAATTTACCGCGGAAAAAATACATATTTCTATGTTGTAATTATTTAAGTGTTGTTCTTTCATCAAATGTCTTTTAGTCATATTTTCATGTCTTAATATATTTTTATCAAATCATCATTTAAACTTGTGTATCTTATGTTATAACGAATATTAAAGAACAATTACCTCAAATCAAGTTTACATTTAGTAAGAGTTGTGGCCCTTGCTTGTAAGGCTAACATATACTTTTGCAGGTGCATACATGAAATCTGAATATTTGTGTCATTTTCTGTGATACTGTTTTATCCTTTAAGAATAGCAAGGTCAGTGGCCAGAACTATACTTTTCTTGTTGTAATGTATATTTCTTTGTTGGAAGGAGGTAATAAAAAGTTGCCTTTAAATAGGAGTGTTTGTTCTTTTTGTCAACCAATGGACACTCCATGTTTAATCATTGACTTGTACAAGGGTTATTGGACTAAGATCTAAATTTTTTTTTCTATTTTAAAAACTTAAATTTACATCAATGATTTGGTGTATTGCAAAATAAAACTTAAAAGGAACAATAATTATGTCTCCCCCACCTCGGGGGGAGACATATTGTTTTTGCCCTGTCCGTCCGTCCGTCCATTCTTCGTTTCCGGACGATAACTAGAGTTCCTTTTGACCTACAGCTCTCAAACTTCATAGGATGATTGGTCTTACAGAGCTGATGATCCCTACTGTTTTTGGGGTCAGTAGGTCAAAGGTCAAGGTCACACTGACCGTTGGTCAATTTCTCGTTTCCGGATGATAACTAGAGTTCCTTTTGACCTACAGCCCTCAAACTTCATAGGATGATTGGTCTTATAGAGCAGATGATCCCTATTGTTTTTGGGGTCAGTAGGTCAAAGGTCAAGGTCACAGTGACCGTTGGTCAATTTCTCATTTCCGGATGATAACTAGAGTTCCTTTTGACCTACAACCCTCAAACTTCATAGGATGATTGGTCTTATTAATCAAATGATCCCTATTGTTTTAATGGTCAGTAGGTCAAAGGTCAAGGTCACAGCGACCGTTGGTTAATTTCTCCTTTCCGGATGATAACTAGAGTTCCTTTAGACCTACAACCCTCAAACTTCATAGGATGATTGGTCTTATTGAGCAGATGATCCCTCTTGTTTATGGGGTCAGTAGGTCAAAGGTTAAGGTCACAGTGACCATTGGTCATTTTCTCATTTCCGGATGATAACTAGAGTTCTTATCAGTGAGGACATTTAACTATTATTGATATATCAGTGACCCATCAATACAAAACAAATTGTCTCATATGCCAGAGGCTACCACATTACCAGGATGGAATTCTCTTGAACCAGATCAAGGTTTTGATCATACCAACCATATGTATATTGCAAGTCACAACTGCGAAGGCTTACTACCACATCTTCAAGAATTTACCTCCAATCTGTTCCTTCAACATATGGATATCATTGCCCTGCAAGAAACCTGGATGAACCAGAATTCTACATTCAGAAATCCCCTCCAGACCTATAATGTAGAATTACAGTGTCGACATTATAATAATAATCATCTGAATACATTGGACACTAATCAGTCAACTGTTAAAGGTGGTGTAGCCCTCTTCATTCATCCAGACTTTGCTTATGAACGAATACCCACGGATGCATGTAGAATCGAGTGTGTTGCTGTAAAACTTTTAGCTAAACAACTGTCTGTCTACTCTGTATATAAACCTCCGTCATTGCCGATTAACTTGTTCCTTCAAAAGCTTACCCTTGTCTTGGAAAATTCACCAACAGAAAACTGCATAGTTCTAGGAGACTTCAACATTGACCTCATTCAATATTTAGAACATCCATTGACCCACACTATGTTACGACATCGCTTTAAACAAATAATAAACAAGGCTACTACAGCACACAACACACTTATTGACCATATCTACCAGAGAGGCTTGATTGTGAAAACGAGTGGAGTCATCCCAACACACTACAGTTATCATGATTTGACATACATTGAAATTTGAGTTGTCTTTCAATAGTGTAAAAAATCTGACAATATGAACGTTTGTTTCAAGTATCATCAAAATCCTTCAAAGGGTTGAAGAGTTATGGAGCAGACACAATTTCCTTTAATTTCGTTTGTGAAACTATATATGATATGACCATCAAGTGCAATTCCGTTTGACGCCCGTCTGCCATACGCTGATTGAATAACCAGGATTTTCAAAATTGAATACCTGGTTAAAAACAAACAGTTTAGGAAGCATCTTCTCATACAACCTTAACAATAGAAACCATCCATAGACAGCCTTCATTGAAGTGACTACCGGGTATTTACATTATCTTATCTCCATTTCCATTCCTGTTTCCATTCACAGTTATTCTCAGCAGTGGGGGAGACATGCGCTTTTTTACAAAAGCATCCTCTAGTTTTTAAATGAAGTTTTTTACAAAGCAGTTATATAGGATAAATCTTTAAATATTTCAGAATGACCTGTACAAGTTATTTAAAACAAAGGCATGTTAAGATCATATTGCATGTGGTACAGATTGAGGCAGTTTGGTCAAAGTTGCTCCCTACACTATGTAGTAAATTCATATCCTGTCGCTGAGGGCATTGAAATTTATGGTGAGATGAAGGTATCCAGCTATAAAAATAGAATATGAATGTTTCTACTAGGGTTTCCAGTTTTTACCAGAATGTTTTGTCCAAGAGGGTGCCAGTGTTCTACGAGGAATTATTGATAGTCACTATATGATCCTTAAAGGCAACTTAAAATTCAATCCAGCTGATCAAATAATCAAAGCATCTGACTGTCTTATTTAAACCTACTGTGCTTTACCTATAATAAACCAGGTATTGCTATAATTTTCAAACTATAAAATCAGTACAAATGTTGGCAAGTAAATGCTGTTTCTGTGACACAATATTTACAATTTTTTATTGTCAATTTCTTTTTACATGTTTTCAATGCAAACATACATTAAACAATTTTTCAGCACAAATATGTCTACATAAACTTCTATCCAACAAGCGAACATTGGTTCTACTTGAGTGGCACACTTATTCAAATAATGCCTGAAATCTGCTGGAAAGTCACCATCTGACCATTACACAGTTTGTGACTTTAAGCCAACAAAATAAACCGATAGAAATTACCAAACAGTTGGGTCTAAAAAGATATACTAGTAATAAGCACTCATTGCTTAACTCCAAAGCAGCAAAACTTTCAATATAATTTCATGGAATTTCAATCATGTGTATAATAAATTAAACATCATGGATATTGTATAAGGAAAACAAACATTACATTCAGAAATATTTTTTTATATTTATTTTGGTAATAATCATTCATATCTATCTTTTATATACATAACATATTGCACATTAAAGCAAAACAAAAGTCAATAAATATACATATTTATCAAAGGGAGAAATTGACAATTTTTTATGGCAGATTCAGGTGGTAGAAGTAAATTAGTTAATAATTTCATTGAAACTTGGCTCAATATATACTCAAACCGGTGTCAGACACCTACCCTGGGATTCTGGCATTGATATTTTTTACTTATTCATATTGCATAAGCTATTTCGTACTCGTTGGTGAGCACATCACAGTTTTTGATGATATGCTGTACAGAAGCACATATTAAAAATCGAGAGACTGGAACCCAGGTTATTGGACACAATCTCAGCAAAAGCAAAAAGAAGATAAATATTATATTAAAACCCCTGGCTTGGTGGATTTCTGATCAATTCCTTTTTTTTCCTTTTTAAAGGAAACACCAATCTATTCACTTGTAAATGTACATGACAATGAGCAAGCAGTCGAATTTTCACTCTGTAAATGTTCCATCATCCTCATCAGTGGTCCACAAGTCCTGACAAAACAATTTTTTTATTTCATATCCATGCCGCTTTTGCCACTCCGTAAAAATGGTAGTGCACTGCAGTGCAGAATTTTGATGTGATGTCATTTCCGTTATAAAAACTCAGTAACATGCTAAATGTTAGCGATACACCATAGGCGTGTCAATGAGAAATGATTATTTTTCACTTGAAACAGTCTTTATTTTGGATATGTGATAAATAGAATATTATATTTGTGTAGATTCATTACTAAATTTATTGAACTCGCCAGAGGCTTGCATAATATAATTTTATTCAACTTGTTCAGCAAGTCAGAATTGAACTTACCCTCATTCAACAATGTAACTTTGTAGCATACTTCATACTGGACCCAATTAATCTTATTTAAGTTATCTATACAGATGTATTGTAGGACATAATTTGATTGTATTGTGATATCACATGAAAGGATTCAGTTTCACAGGTTCAACATTATATGTAAGTTTATCAAGTAATGAACTGCCATTGATTATTTTGGTTGTAGCTATCACATAGTCGGTCCCACCTGAAAAAATAATAAATACATAATGTTTACATCAAATACATTGTTAGCATTAAGAAGAACAACATTAAATTTAAATATGAAATGATAAAAGCTATCTTTCTCCATTATAAGAAAAACATACCCTGTCTCAAAATCTGTACAAATCATTTTACATTCAAAATCTGTATCAATCGTTTTACATTCAAAATATGTTCTGATCATTTACATTTATTTAAAGGGACTCCACTGAGGTTTTTTGACATGACGGGACTGGAAATGATTTTTTGAGATTATTACTCCATTTGATGTAGATCTATACTAATAACTTATGTGCAAAATTTCAGATCATTAGCTTGCTCCGTTTTTCTAGAATAATTATTATAATAGTGAAAAATGACCCAAAATTGAAAAGCGTTTAAACGCTTTTCACTCAAATCAGACTGAGAATAGCACAAACATATGATTTTCAATGAATTTCTTCTATATTTCTTGGTTATTTTGTATTAATATTCTGATTCAAGTGCTCATGTTTATCTATGTGAAAAATTAAAATTTTATGTTTTTAGGCTTATAAACCTCAGTGGAGTTCCTTTAAAATCTCCATTAGCATTGATTTCCATGTATGTAGTTCTGTAGGCATTTATTAAACTAATAGCATTTACAAAGCTGTTCCAGGTTCTGTAATATAATACTAAGCTTTTATAATAAAACTTAGTCTTTAATGTTTATTAAACATGAAAACAAAAAACAAGCCTATGTTATCAATATGTCTTTCAACAGATTTGAACACTTATCTAAAACATGTATTCACAACGTTACAACTTTAATGATCTCATTACTTGATTAACTCTGGGTGGACGAAAACAGTTAAGAGCCAGGTCAGGCCAAACACCAGTGCAGTTTGACCAGGCTCTATACTGTTGGCAACTTAAATCTTATTACAAATTAGCATACCGGTAATTAGTAGGTGAGTATGGAAGACATATTAATAAATTTCACATAAGATTTTTATCAAAATAGATCTTCTAGCAACCAATTACCATAAAAACATATTAATTTATATTAAGATGTTATCAGAAATTGAAGAAAATCTTTTAAAGCTGAAAATTTAATTCAAAGATTGCACAAGCTAAAGTTATCTACCATTTAAAATCATTGATATTATATTTAACATATTTTAAAACAATGTCCGGCATTATTCAAAAGTAAATGTTAATTTTTCAATGTAAAACAATTTATCAATAAAGAAAAAAATGTGTTATTGTGACATCCTGGCAGTTCAGTTAGCCTGATGGTATTACCCTAATAATTACCTAATAACAATAATAATTTAAATTAATTAATAATTAATATATCAATTATCACTATATTCCACCCTTACTCTGCTGGCTTTGCAAAACAGACACGCTCTATGCAATAATGTATAATCATGTTATGGATGAGGAGCGAAATTCTCAATTCTAAAAATAAACTTCATGTTCTATCTTTTGACAGTTTATAGGATTTAACCCTTACCACAGTCGATTTCTTAAATGGACTTGTCCATCTTACAATATGGACAAAATCATATTCATCATTTACGGGAAAAATTTCTAAATAAGTACTGACTGAATAGACTATGATCAAATGGCACTGATGTGCCTGTTGATATTGGTCTGCACTGGTTAGTTAAGTGTACACAAATTTATTCTAGTTCCATTGTGTTGGAAACTATAAGCTTATTGAAACACTCTTGAATGCACTGGTTGTATGGGTAGAATCAGTTACAACAGTTGAAGGGTTAAATATAAAAAATTAAGAAGTCAATAGTTTATAAAGTCTGGTGTAAAAACTGGCCTGTGTACAGACTGGTTAATTTCTATGCCAGCACACAAAAATTAATGCTAACAATTTTTTAAACAATTTTTTTCTCTCAAACTTTTCAAATTTTTCATTAATGTTAAAAACACAGCAAACAAAATTAATCAAACACTACAATATTAAACTGGCAAAATGATGTTTGTTCTTGGCATCTTACCAGTTCCTTCTTTTTCTGCTTTGTCTGTAAAGTTTGTAAAATCAGAACTACATATGGGAATCTAAAACACGTGTGTGCATGCAGTTTACAACAGGGTTATAGTGGTGACAGTGGTATAGGAAATACAAACATCCCTAATACATACATGCAATACAGGCAAATAACAGAAAAAATATTCAAGAGAATATTTAATCTTAATTTTTGTTTGTTTCATTTTACGCCTTTTCCCAACAGTATTCAGTCATACAGGCGGGTAGTTTCCTAACCATCATTCCTGGAGAGTTACACCAGTACTAGACTACCTTCCTCCATGCTAAACTACCAAAGCATCTCCTGGGGATCGAACCCACGCCAGAGAGGTAACTTGATTAGAAGTCATCAACTCTAACCCCTCGACCACGGAGGCGGTCTTTTGATCTCAATAATGGTCACAAAGTGTAACACTTAAAGATATATTATGCTCAAATATGATATTAGAAAATTTTTAAAAATTGCTACAATGTCTCTGTGAAAATAATAAATAAACATGTTTTCAACTTCACATTTTGTAGAATACTAGATATATTAACTTTTAAACTTAACAAACTATAGTAAGCCAAAATATTAATATTATAGTGTCAATTAAAAGAACTGGCAGTTTTTTGTGTGTGTTTTTTTTTCAAAGAAAGGATTGACCTTACTTGACCTGCAATAGGGAATACATTCTTTTATTCAAATTAGACATACTCAGTACCAGTAAACATTTAATAGATTTTGATAAATTTCTGCGATAAAATTATTTTACTCAAAGATGAGTATAGTATATCTTTAAAAGCTTGCAAAAATAAAATAACCTTATGATTTTTAGAATTACAATGTAAAGTGTTGTATTTTTAAAGCATTTTTCCCCTGGTCTTCTTTAGATCCTTTTCAATTTACTGAAATATTGTTCAACAAATCAAAGATATTGGACCTATCTAACTACTACACCTGGATAATCCATAGTCACTAGCTGACCTTGTTTATACCAAAGAACACATGGTTTTGTTTGTGATAAGAGCAATGAAAAGAAGAGCTGGGACAAAACTTTTCTCTGCTGAAAATTAGAAAGGTCCAATAAATATGAATCTTATTTTTTTTTTACTGAAAATTAGAAAGGTCCAATAAATATGAATCTTATTTTTTTCATCTGATGAGTAAACACAAAAAATCTTTTTAAGATTAAATAAGACTAGAGGCAGCTATACTCAGCAGTTTCCTTTTATTTATAATCTTACAATATGGACAAAATCATATTCATCATTTTCAGGAAATTTTTTTAAAATAAATACTGACTGAATAGCAAACAGTGCAGACTTTGATCAAATGTCACTGATGTGCCTGTTGATCTTGGTCTGCACTGGTTAGTTAAGTTTACACAAATTTATTCTAGTTCCATTGTGCTGGAAACTATAAGCTTATATTGAAGCACTCTCAAATGCACTGGTTGCATGGGTAGAATCGGCTGCTTTCAACAGTCAAAAGGGATACATATAAAAAAATTAAGAAGTTGATAGTTTAAAGAGTCTGGTGTATAAACTGGCCTGGGTCCAGCCTGGTTATTTTCTATGCCAGCACACTAAAATTAATGCTAACAATTTTTCTCTCAATATTTTCAAACTTTTTTTATAAATGTTAAAAACACAGCAAACAAAATTAATCAAACACTACAATATTAAACTGGCAAAATGATGTTTGTTGTTGGCATCTTACCAGTTCCGTCTTTTTCTGCTTTGTCTGTAAAGTTTGTAAAATCATATCTACATATGGGAATTTAGAGCAGGTGTGTGCATGTAGTTTACAACACGGGGTTACAGTGGTGTAGGAAATACAAACATCACTAATACATACATGCAATACAGGCAAATAACAGGATATTCAAAAGAATATATAGTCTTAGAAATGGTGACCTAGCAAAGTGTAACACTTAAAAGCTTGCAAAAATAAAATAACATTGTGATTCAGATTCAAGAATGTGTCTTAATGGTTACAGCTTACTACATAATTGAACTAAAATTGATTTTGTATAAATAAAAGTTTGCATTTTTATCTGAATCAATGTAATTTTGGGCACTTGAGGTATTCCTCCATCAGTAAAGCTCAGCTAGGAAATTGCTACATGAACCTAGATGGTTTTAGTACGACAAAAAAAAACCCCAAAAAATCGACAACAAAAAACTGTTGGAAAAAAAATCTTTACATAAAGGGAATTTTGGGTAAAACTGTTTGCATAGCTGCCTGCTAAAGCTTCAGGTAAAACACATGGATGACTTTATATAAAGGACATGGGGGGATATCTTCATGCTCACATTATTTTTCTATCTGAAATGAGGTCCGTCTCTAAGCTGGCCTTTCTGACAGTCACCATACAGTGAGTATAGTAACTGACTACCAGTCAACAATTTTGTTGTTGCTACTATATAATCACACCCTATAGTAAACAACAATAGTCAATATATCTCTATATCATGCTATGACATTACAAAACATATCAACAAGATATGACAATATAGTTCATTAACCCTTAGCCTGCTAGTTTCTAAAAATGGACTTGCCCTGCTCTGATTTAAGAACATTTTATTGGAATTTAAATAGATTTTCTTAACAAAATACAATAATTGAGCAGTGTCTATTCAAGGATTCGAAAACACAGGGGGGAATTTTATCAAAAAGTGAACATTTATTACATTTGTTGATCTTTTTTATTCTTTCTCTATGTACAATTTTTCCCTGCCTCTGAAATAATAGGGGGGAATTCTCAAAAATATGAATGAATCCCTCATCCCCCCTCCTAGAATAGACACTGATTGAGCTACAAGTATACAACCTGGTAAGATTGTATGGACGTGCAGGCTGACCTAGCACTTTATTGGTGGCAAGACTTATCACTGTCAGTTACCAGCAGGGTAAGGGTTACAAGAGCTGTCCGTAAGACAGCGCGCTCGACTTTTTTATTGCTTGCCAATAAAAAAAGTTTTTGCAGTAAAAGGCAATACAAGAATCTTTGTATTTTTAAAGTGAACAATGGCCATGAGCATTAAGATATTTAGTGAAGAATTATTTTATTATGACATAATTTATGGTAAAGTGAACAAGTGGATAGGAATGAATTTTTTTAGATTTTTTAAGTTTTTTAGTGCTTGCCTATAATACAAAACATTGACAGTTAAGGGCCATAATTCAAATAAAATCTTTGACAGAATTACCTTCTCCTGGACATGTTTGGGAATCATGATTGTAAACAAGTATTCCAACTTTCAAATTAATATCTCAAACAGTTCAGTCAAAAAGTGGACTGGTACTAAAAACTTAACCAAGATTCTAAGTCGATAAAAGGCCTTAATTTTTAAACAAATCCTTGACAGAGTTACCTTCTCTTGCGTACAGATGGGGGTAATGATGTGAAATAGCATTAAAAGTTTCAAAGCAATATCTCAAAGGGTTAAGGCAATAAGTGGATTTTACCCATATTCAATGTATTTTCTAAGTCAAAAAGGGGCATAATTCTGTCAAAAACCTTGACAGAGTTATGTCCTCTTGTCTGTTGATGAAGGTCGTGATGGTAAACAAGTATGGTCAGTTTCAAAGCAATACCTCCAATGGTTTTGAAATAAAGTGAGGTGGTACAAAAAACTTAACCAAGCTCAATACACTTTCTAAGTCAAAAAAGGGCCATAATTCTGTCAAAAACCTTGACAGAGTTATGTACTCTTGTCTGTAGATGGAGGTTATGATGGTGAACAAGTATGGTAAGTTTCAAAGCAATACCTCCAATGGTTTTGAAATAAAGTGAGGTGGTACAAAAAACTTAACCAAGCTCAATACACTTTCTAAGTCAAAAAAGGGCCATAATTCTGTCAAAAACCTTGACAGAGTTATGTACTCTTGTCTGTAGATGGAGGTTATGATGGTGAACAAGTATGGTAAGTTTCAAAGCCATACTTGTAATACTTCTGAAATAAAGTGGGGTGGTACGAAAAACTTAACCAAGGTGTGACGCCAACGCCGACGCCGACGCCGGGGCGAGTAGGATAGCTCCCCTTTTCATAGAAAAGTCGAGCTAAAAAAAGGTTCTGAAAGTCTAAAGAACATGCAGTTACTATGTTAAAACAAGCTCTGTATATAACGATAAGGTATCACCATGACTAATACATGCACAAGCTTATGAAGCAAGCTTTACTCCTTTGATTTAGAGAGTTCTAATACATCTTATATGTGGGGATAATCAAAAGTTATAGTAATAATATGAGTCAAAGAAGCAAATACTGCTGATTTGAGAGTAAAATTCAGACCGCGACTTATAAGCAATCAGTGTTATACACATTTAGATACAGAATAAATATTTCCATTTTTTTTTTTAATCTACCATGCAAAGAGTTCTGTTAAATACAAGCTATACAGAGTAGTTTGTCATGCACAAAAACACAAACACAATGAAATGATTATTGTGAAAATATTGTACTCACCATCGTCTTGTTGTGCTAGAAATCTAAGGGCCGCAACTTCCGCGTATGTTACCCCACCCAGGAAGAAGACTAGAGTGACTTTCTGATCAGCCATACTGGAATGTGACGATGTTATAGAACTTCCTGAAAGACATGATACAGAAGAAAATGCATTACTATAGCAATTTATTATGTATGATCGTTGAATAACACACAGATGCATTTTTTTGGGGGTTATGGGTTTTAACATCGCATCAACACAGTATAGGTCATATGGCACCTTTCCAGCTTTAATTAATTAATTGTTTTGTCCAAAATGAAAGATGCACGGCAAGAATTTTACATTTTTTTCCACTTGCAAATTTTAACAAAGAAATAACTTGCAAAACCAAATGGAGCATGTTTTCAACATAGTGTTTACCAATTTATTACATGATGCTTTTGCATATAGATCTATATTTGTTTATTGTGACATTGCTATTTCACATGTATATGTATTGCCTTTGGAAATGACATTTTCATTAAATTTTGTGTTGTTTGTTTTGTTTTTACAAAGTAAAAGTATATCAATTTATGTTCATTAACTATCATTCATTTTGAGTGTAAAGAAACGTTACTGGCAATTTTTAATTTTTGACTTGCATTTTGCAAGTTTGCGAGTGGTAAATTCAAGCCAAGAGATGGACAAGCCCATGTAAGAGGGTTTAGTTGATCATTATTATATCATTATGACAGCTATCAATAAAGAATCGCATTAGACGATCAACTTTTATACGGAAATGGCTAAAAATAGTAACACACACTTAGTTCACAAGTTTTTTTTATCAAAAGGTAAGAAACTAGTAGCTTACTTCTTTTTCTAAGAGCTACAGGAATTTGTTGGACCTCATCAACCCTTGGTCCCGGTAATATACTCAGTACCTCAGTGATACTTCTCCAGCCTGGTCGGGCCAGATACTGTATCAGTCGCACACTTAACGGGGCATAACCACTGTATACATACGATATATCATTGGGGGCCTGAAAAATCAACATATTTATTGAATAACATATGATAAACATTTCTAAAAATAAATGCATTTTTCAAGTAGTAAGTTACCTGAAATTAATTCATTTGCGCAAAAAATTATGTAACATGTTATTAACAAATTAACAAGTAAAATGCTATATCTAATGAAATATTTTCATGAAATTTATCCAGAAATAAAGCATTGAGTCTTTAATATAATTGTTGATTCTCGAACAAACATAGAATGTCTCTGTTCTGTAACACACATGACTATTTCTCTTAAACAGAATAAAATGTTACGCAATAAAATACGCTTAGCTGTTATTTTAAATCAGGTTGTAACCATTTCACAATGATTTCCTGCATGCTCCATTAGGAAATATACTAACATATTTCTTTTTCACAGGTATTTTGGAATTCCTCATCTTCAAAATCAAACATTTATTTTGTCAAATACAGGCAGCTGATATATAAATGTAGCTATATACTCTTTAAGACATATAAGTGATAGGATAAAAGCCTTGTATAGTATAAGGAAACACAATTCCTACCAAATAAGGTCACACACTCATAACCCTAAGGTTATGTAGTGGAAATTTCATCTTATAAGGCCACTACCTCCTACTGTTGAAATTATAAAGCAAGACAAAAACTAACCATTTCATTGACATCCTCTACAGTGAGTTTAAGGGACTTTCTGACAGTCTGGTAGCTTCTGTTAGTATGTAACCGTAGCATCCCGACTCTCTCTAAATTGGTCAGTGTCACTAGATGTTGTAAACCATACGTCTGTAATAAATATTACATTGTAAATATTCTATAATTATTTAAATAATCTGAAAAATAAACCAGAGCACCACATGCAGTGATAACGCTCATTAAAATAACAAAAATAAAATAACAGTTTTCGTAATGACAAAAATTCTTAGTTAAAAGGGCATAGCTCATAAAAATATAGCTTTCAGAATTATGCCCCTTGTCTAACAACTGCCTCTTGTTATGATAAGTTTCATACTGATACCATTAAAATTGTTTGAGTAATGGCCTAAATAAAGTTTTTGCCCCATGACAGTAACAATGCCACAGTGATCATAATAGCTTGACTTTTTATTTGAAACGGACAAGCTAAGAATAGTCAGAAGAACAAACAAGTGACTTTACACCTCCCTGTACACGGGCATAAAAATTAATCCATAACATGATTTTTTTTTACAAAAGATACATATATGACACTAAGAATTCAATTATGCGGCTATTAATATAATGTGAATCATTACTTGCAAATGTTACTAGAATATCTATTCTGGCTAATGAACTGAAATTTTGCACAGAAGTTGTTAGTCTTGACCTTCATCAAACAGCACATTAATCTTGGAAAATTATTTCCAGTCCGGTCATGTCAAAACCAAACTTTATTGGAGACCCTTTAAAGTTTTAAAAGCAGAACAAGTCCAAAGTCATAATTAAGGCAGTCTTACTGTAATGCTTTCTGCTCAAAAAATTCTTACATCGGTCAAAATCGTAGCAAATTAGTTTTTTTCTGGAATGTTATTTTCCAAAATCTTGGGTATTAGATTATTTACAATTTCATCCTGTATATGTACTAATTTGCGGTTACAAATGGTTAAAAATTATTGAATACTGAAGATTGTGAAAAATAACGTTCCGGAAATGACCCGATTTATTGTGATATTGGTTGATGTTAGAAATATTTTAGCGGGAAAGCATAAACCAGGTTTACATGTCATTAAGCATGTTTCTTTTTCTTTCTAGACTTACCTGTACAATTTCTCGTTTATAATATTCAAAAACTTTTGGCTTTAATCCATTATTACAGAAAGACTGGATACACAATAATCTCAGAACCTAAAATAGATGATAACATACAGATTATGTCTATACAACGACAAATCAATGCTCTACAAAGAAAGATGGTTATCTTTATCAATCATAATGCAAGTGTTTAACAGTTTTATTTTTCCTTGGAGTTTATTTAAAACAGCACGGTTCCATATTCATGCTAATTTTCATGAAAATTTTGAAAATGTATTAAAGAATAAAATATTGTGAAGTAATCAAAAGGAAGCCATTTACACATTAAAAACAGCACTCACAACTCATGTTATTAGTAATGCATCTGAAATATTGTTATAAAGACACCAAACAGGACAGGGCACATAAGCAACAAGAGGGCCATGATGGCCCTGAGGTCGCTCACCTGTATATAGGCCCCCCCACCCCCGGGCCAATTTTTACCCAAGGGCTTTTATTTGTTTATTTGAACAGACTTGGTAGACACCCATAAGAAGATGTTTCATGCTAAACATCTAAGTTCTAGCTCATTGGCTTTTTTAAAGAAGATTTTTAAAGTTTTTACTATACACATATAGTTAAAAACAATGACACCCCTGGGGCAGGGCCAGTTTTGACCCCCGGGCGTTTATTTTAACAAACTTTGTAGATATTTACTTAAAGATGTTTCATGCTAAATATCTAAACTCTAGCTATTTGGGTTTTTCCAAAGAAGATTTTAAAGTTTTTGCTAATACATATATAAGGAAAATCAATGACCCCCCGGGCGGGGCCAGTTTTGACCCCAGGGCTTTATTTGAACATACTTGGTAGACACCCATTAGAACATGTTTCATGCTAAATATCTTAGCTCTAGCTCTTTGAGTTCTTTAAAAGAAGATTTTTAAATTTTTACTATATGCATATAGGGAAAATCAATGACCCCCCTGGGGCAGGGCCAATTTTGACCCCAGGGCTTTTATTTGAACAAACTTGGTAGACACTCATTAGAAGATGTTTCATGCTAAATATCTTAGCTCTAGCTCTTTGGGTTCTTTAAAAGAAGAATTTTTTAAGTTTTTACTATATGCATATAGGGAAAATCTATGACCCCCTGGGCGGGGTCAATTTTTGACCCAAGGGCTTTTATTTGAACAAACTTGGTAGACATTCACTAGAAGATGTTTCATGCCAAATATCTAAGCTCTAGCTTTATGGGTTCTTTAAAAGAAGATTTTTTAAGTTTTTTACTATATGCATATAGGGAAAATCAATGACCCTCGGGGGGGCCAATTTTGACCCCAGGGCTTTAATTTGAACAAACTTGGTAGACACTCACTAGAAGATGTTTCATGCTTAATATCTTAGCTCTAGCTCTTTGGGTTCTTTAAAAGAAGATTTTTTAAGTTTTTACTATAAGCATATAGGGAAAATCAATGACCCCCTGGGGTGGGGCCAATTTTGACCCCAGGGCTTTTATTTGAACAAACTTGGTAGACATTCACTAGAAGATGTTTCATGCCAAATATCTAAGCTGTAGCTCTTACGGTTCTTTAAAAGAAGATTTTTTAAGTTTTTACTATATGCATATAGGGAAAATCAATGACCCCCTTGGGGCAGGGCCAATTTTGACCCCAGGGCTTTTATTTGAACAAACTTGGTAGACACTCACTAGAAGATGTTTCATGCCCAATATCTTAGCTCTAGCTCTTTGGGTTCTTTAAAAGAAGATTTTTTAAGTTTTTACTATATGCATATAGGGAAAATCAATGCCCCCCTGGGGCGGGGCCAATTTTGACCCCAGGGCTTTTATTTGAACAAACTTGGTAGACACTCACTAGAAGATGTTTCATGCCAAATATCTAAGCTCTAGCTCTTATGGTTTTTTAAAAGAAGATATTTAAAGTTTTTTCTTTTGGTTGCCATGGCAACCAGAGTTCTGCATGGAATTAAATTCTTTGAACAATTTTTAAAGGTGACCACCAAAGGAACATTCCTGTGAAGTTTGGATGAAATTGGCTTAGTGGTTTATGAGGAGATGTCATTTAAAGCAAAAGTTTACGGACGGACGGACGACAGATGGACGGACGGACGCCGGACGAAAAGCGATCACAAAAAGCTCACCCTGTCACTTTGTGACAGGTGAGCTAAAAAACGCACAGGATGTCATTATAAAACAGAAAATCATAGACACCTACAAGGTAATTAAGATGATATTCATAAAGATGAAAATCAATTAATGAAAATTAATTGAAAGCCTTTATTTTCAACTTGATTACGCAAATTTCATCAAAAAAGCACATTATCAGATAATTTGTCTTATCCTAACAATACCTTCAATAACGGTTCTCGTCTACCTATACAGTCATCTATATACTGGTTAACTTTATCTGTCTCCTCTCCTTTATATAATTCTTGTTGACATCGTAAACATTCCATAAACTCATCTGTGTCTGTACCATCCTTAATTAACTCTGCTATTGATGTATCTGTAAAACAATATCATTAAAAGTTTGAGGGAGTAAAAAGAACAGCAGTGTTACAAAAAAAGTAACATTAAAAGTGTAACAAGACAGAAACAAGCTAATGCCTTGTGAGAAATATCTAAGCTCTAGCCCTTTCCATTTTGAAGTATAAGAACTTTTAAGATTTTTCTTTTAGTTGCCATAGCAACCAGAGTTTAGCATGGAATTCCATTACATTCTTTGAACAATCTTGATAGAGCTTCATACAAAGAGTATTCCTGCCAAGTTTCATTAATATTGGCCAAGTGGTATTATAGAAGATGTTGTTTGAATAAAATGAGGACAGACGAGGGTGTGGAAAAACCCAAAATGTTCAAAATAATAAGATTGCAAGTTTGAGGGAGTGAAAGGAAAAGTAGTGTTATAAAGTAAATTTGCTTTTGATAATTTCAATTAGATAATTTCAAAACCTGTTTTGTTTGTGTTTTTTTGTGTGATTGGGTTTTACGTCACACCAACACAGTATAGGTCACATTTTGATTTTCCAGCTTTACCTGAGTAGAACCACCAACATTACGTAACCTAGTTGGATAGTTTCTCACATGAAAGAATCCAAAGTCTCTAGCTGGATGAATCATCAAAAAGTTGACTTCCTATCTTAAAAGAGAACAACATCCATCATGATACTTCAACCCGTACCAGTGAGGGGCATCAAATTCAACAATCTCATCAATGGGCCATCCAACCGCTGTTAGTATGATAAAATTATATAAACAATATTACGTGTTGCTAATGATGCTCTTGCTTGCTGTAAATGAGGCAGCTTGGTCACAAAATTCTTCATTTCACCAACTGTTTTAGCGGAATGTCTCTCCTAAAAAATATAAAATTATGGTTAAAATATGCGTAATATAAAATCATGTTTTAAGTATGCTTAATATAAAATCATGTGTTAAATATGCATAATAAAAAATCATGTTTTAGATGCATTTATGTATAATATAAGATCATGTTTTGAATATGCATAATAAAAAATCATGTTTTAAATATGCATAATAAAAAATCATGTTTTAAATATGCATAATATACGATCTTGTTTTAAAAATGCATAATAAAAAATCATGTTTTAAATATGCATAATATAGGATCTTGTTTTAAATATGCATAATAAAAAATCTTGTTTTAAATATGCATAATATACGATCTTGTTTTAAATATGCATAATAAAAAATCATGTTTCAAATATGCAATATATACTATCTTGTTTCAAATATGCATAATAAAAAACCATGTTTCAAATATGCATAATAAAAAATCATGTTTCAAATATGCATAATATACATTCTTGTTTTAAATATGCATAATAAAAAATCATGTTTCAAATATGCATAATATACGATCTTGTTTTAAATATGCATAATAAAAAATCATGTTTCAAATATGCATAATATACGATCTTGTTTTAAATATGCATAAAAAAAAATCATGTTTCAAATATGCATATAGAGGAGAAGAAAAAAGATATGATGACAGTCATAATACTGGTTTGATATAAACAGTATGAGAAAGTAAAGAAACTGATTTATATAGATACATGTATGATTTTGCTAAATATAGTGACAAAAAATAATTATTCCATGTACAGTGGTTGTTTTTACATATTTTTATACCAATGTTAGAGGCATACTGTTGTTTCCTTGAGCAAGAAACTTTACACTCATTGTCCTGAACTGATTGGTTATACTCAGTCAAACTAAATTCAATTCTAAATATAAAGAAGGACAGGATGTACAACTAGCCGTCTGAATTAAATTCTGTGTAAACTAATGTTTCAAAAAATATTGTAATACTGTCTCTCAAATGAGTATTTTAACAGATATTTATATTGTTTAAATTGACTTATGTATGATAAAAATTTTTTATAAAAGATTTCAACAATTTTAATCTTGTGGACAACCATAAAATAACAGGACTTTGTTCTCTCTTCAAAATTCATAACTTTTGGTTGGGTCAGAACAAAAAATTTAAGGTATCAGTAAGCATAACTAGTGCAGTGGACACATTTCCTTCCTCACAAAATTACTCATACAATGTCGTAGTCAAAATGAATATATAAGTCAAGTCTTACATCAAACTGTTGTGTGATAATTTTTGCCTTTTTGCTGACAGTGTTACCAACTGCACTGAAATTTTTGTCACGCAGCTCAGAGAACAGTTCATCCGTGGAATTTAAGACGACGGATTTGTACTCCATGTCTGAAGTGCTCCCACTTTCGTCCTTACTTCTAAATTTCTCTGGTGGTAGTTTTACTGAGGCTAGAAATAAAACAAAAACACCATTATCATACATTACAACGTGAATAAGGGTAGACAATAAACTATCTGGCAGCCTGACGAGGCCCCCCGAGAGACAGCAACTTTGAACAAGTCCATAACACAAATCTTCAGTTTTTATTTTTATTTATTTTTTGCATAAAAGTCTATGACTTTTTATTTTTATAATCTTAATATAATAGCTTTGAGAAAATTGGGGGAGGGGATAAACAACATATTATAATATACATTCACTTTTTTTGCTGAAATGATAAAAAAAAATCTTATAAGAAAAATAAACTTTTCATTTCGTAAATAACCCTTTTCAAACCGATGTGTCTAAATGTTTTTAACAAATCTTTATATTTTCCAGGAAATTTCAAGATTAAATTCAAATTTCATTAACAATTTTGTCAGCAGTCTATATTTATATACAAACAATCACTGTGAAGTGTTATGAAAGTCAAAAAGTATAAGGTTATATATGAGGAAATCTCTATAAAATTTATAAATGGTAAAACTATACTGTTTCCAAAATCATGTCAAAAAGTTGTGGAAAAAAAGTGTCTCAGTTATTTAACACACATGAAAATTAGACATAAACTAAACTAGAAATGTGTCATCATGCCACGGATGCCCCCGCATGCAGCCAAAATTTCAAATGTTATAATATTTAGTTCCAAATTTGTTTGCACAAATTATCTTTTTCATTCTAAGTTCAAAGCCCTTAAAACTTTTCAATGTTAACACAAACCATTTTTATACAATGTTCAAGGCACTGAAACTATTCAGTCTTAACCATTTTTATACAATGTTCAAGGCACTGAAATTATTCAGTCTTAACCTTTTAAAAATAGCATATTGCATATTTGTAGCCAACATAATGGCTATATACATTTCCACAAAAGTATGAGTGCTGAAACTGAAAGTTCAAAATTTTTCCAACATTCAGGAAAGATAAGTTTGTCTAAAATCATTGAACCATGACCAAATTCAAACTTAAACTGCTTATTCCTAAGATGTATCTATATTATTTTCAAAGTGAAAGGGACATAACTCTGCCAAAAAAATCATCGAACCATGACCAAATTCCAACTTGACCTGCGCATTCCTTTGACATATCCATATGTCAATTTTGAGTTGAAGATGTAACACTGTTGGGTTGATAATGAACAGAAACTGTAAATTTCATATCATTTTCAAAGTGAAAGGGGCATTACTCTGCCAAAAATCATTGAACCATGACCAATTCAAACTTGGTCTGCGCATCCCAAAAACATATCCATATGTCAAATTTGAGTTGAATGTGTAATATTGTTGGGGAGATAATAAACGGAAACTGAAAATTTCATATTATTTTTAAAGTGAAAGGGGCATAACTCTGCCAAAAATCATCGAACCATGACCAAATTTGAAATTGACCTGCGCATTCCTTTGACGTATCAATATGTCAAATTTGAGTTGAATGTTTAATACTGTTAGGGAGATAATAAACAGAAACTGAAAATTTCATATTATTTTCAAAGTAAAAGGGGCATAACTCTGCAAAAATCATCGAACCATGACCAAATTTGAACTTGACCTGCGCATTCCTTTGACGTATCGATATGTCAAGTTTGAGCTAAATGTGTTGTACGATTGGGGAGATAATGAACGGAAACTGAAAATTTCATATTATTTTCAAAGTGAAAGGGGCATAACTCTGCCAAAAATCATTGAACCATGACCAAATTTGAACTTGACCTGCGCATTCCTTTGACGTATCCATATGTCAAGTTTGAGTTGAATGTGTTGTACCATTGGGGAGTTAATGAACGGAAACTGAAAATTTCATATTATTTTCAAAGTAAAAGGGGCATAACTCTGCCAAAAATCATCGAACCATGACCAAATTTGAACTTGACCTGTATTTTCTCATGACATATCAATATGTCAAGTTTGAGTTGAATGTGTTGTACCGTTGGGGAGATAATGAACGGAAACTGAAAATTTCATATTATTTTCAAAGTAAAAGGGGCATAACTCTGCCAAAAATCATCGAACCATGACCAATTTCGAACTTGACCTGTATTTTCTCATGACATATCCATATGTCAATTTTGAATTGAATGTTTTGAACCGTTTGGGAGATAATGAACGGAAACTGAAAATTTCATATTATTTTCAATGTAAAAGGGGCATAACTCTGCCAAAAATCATTGAACCATGACCAATTTTGAACTTGACCTGTATTTTCTCATGACATATCCATATGTCAAATTTGAGTTCAATATGTGCAAGGGTTATTAAGATAATGAACGGAAACTGATGATGACGGAAGGACGGAAGGACGGAATGACGGAATGACGGAATGACGAAACAGGGTAACACTATATGCCCCTGCCATTATATGGCGGGGGCATAATAAAATGTTCCAGAACAAAATATATAAGCAACTATATGTATTATATGTAGGTTTTAAATCACTTGACAATGATTTTGAGCAATAAACGATTTAAACATACTATTGTTGATGCCATAGAATTCATCAATCAATCCCTCATATGTAAGTTGAGTAAGAAGAGGTGTTAATAGATCGACGGTCCTATCAATTATCACGAGGTTGTCTATTTGCGGAGTAATCTGTGGTTCGTGACCTTCTAATTCACGTCTCATACGAAGCATCATGTCAACAACATGCTGGTAAACAAAATAAAAAATTGAGCCGTGTCACGACAAAACCAACATAGTGCGTTTGCGACCAGCATGAATCCAGACCAGCCTGCGCATCCGCGCAGTCTGATCAGGATCCATGCTGTTCGCTATCAGTTTCTCTACTTGTAATAGGGTTTGTAAGCGAACAGCATGGATCCTGATCAGACTGCGCAGATGCACAGGCTGGTCTGGATCCATGCTGGTCGCAAACCCACTATGTTGGTTTTGTCATGACACGTCTCAAATACATTCAACTTATCATTCTGTTTATCTGTTGTTGTTTTTTGTAGCATTAACACAAATAACAATGCTGGTAAACAAAATAATACATCTAATTTTGTTTGTTTATGTGTTTTTATCTTGTTGTGTTAAGCAAAAACTAAATAACATTTTAGTCATCTTCGAGGAGGTAGTTACATGACTAGCATGTTTGAATTCTGTACCATTTTTATCCTGTTATTTCTGGTCTATTAATAAGTTAAAACAAAGGTATAGTACAAATGGATGGGAAGGACAAATAGCATTACATGTATTATTATCAACCATATCATTACATTGTACAGAAAAGCATGTGTGCCCTACCCAGGACTATTTCTGTATGTAGTGCCAAAGGAAAGTTGGCCTTTTTGAGTAAATAAGACAAGTACTTTCAGGCCCGGCAAAATATGACTTTGACTTCCTTGTCTGTTTTTATCTGAATCATATATATATCTCACTCCTGCCTCTATCTATCATCCATCATACAAAAAATCATAAAAACTTTCCAACTGTCAAGCTCACTCCTATATATACAACAAAAATTTCATTTGCAGAGGACTGGTGTAATCAAAAAGAGTTATTCTTCAAAACTTACCTTAGCACATTCTCCCTTGCCATCAATATTTGGTATGATACCATATAAAGTTTGTAAAGTGACCAATGATTGGGCTGCGTAGAACATACTTGTGTTGTCATTCTCTAAATAACATTCCTGTAACAACAGATCATTATAAATATATTTGTATATATCTTATAACTCAAAGTATCTCTTTTGAAATTTTACTTAAAACAAACATATTCCTGATGAATAACCTGATTGTTATCACACAAAAAATCTTTCACAAAATTATTTTTACATCAGCTAAACCTCTGTTACAATTGATTACAAGTAAGTATGGTTTCAGAATTAAAATGGATAATTAACAGTAACTACAATGCAAAATGTTACAACAGGTAGAATTTAATGATAGGTTAGCTGATATTCACGCTAGAGTAAATTTTAATGATTTCTGTCAATTCGCAAAATTCGCCAATATTTTCGTGTCGCTACCTTAACCACTTATACAGTATCATATGTTGTATATTACCTGACATTATAAAATAGATAATACTTGACTGCACTTAGAAATTTCACAGATTTGACAAAAATATAATGAGCTGACTGTATATTGTGTATACCTTGAAAGAATTGTCCATCTCCATTGACATTAGGTCATAATCAAAAGGAATGAGAGCGAGGCTGAATTCTTCTATATTGGTAAACGAACCATGAACTCCGGCTTCCTGCAACAAAACAAATACAACATTCACACATATATCATATATATAGTTATATACATTAGTAAACAGGCCCCCGTTTGTGGACAATGGCTGTAAAAGCAAAAGAACCAGTGCGTCCATATGACCCTTGAAATGACTCCTTGACCCTTGAAATTACCTAAAGGCCTGATTTGTCCCTCAGGATATTAACTGGAGGATCAAATTTTGTGAAACTCATGGGGATTTTTACCTTGTAATTGGCAAATCTTAGTCTATATTGGTCAAAATGACCCTCAGGATTCCATGGCTTGCGAAACCCCTAAGTACAAACCCAAAGAATAAAATAATTTTCCAAATGTGCTTATTGATCAGTATGAAGTAAAACATTATTTCAAAAAAATACACTAAACACATATAATAAGACATTAATACAGACTTTGCATGCGAAAAGTAATTGTAATATAAATATATTGTTGCCTTAGTGCAGTAATGGGTTAACTCCTATTAAATTATATAAGGAGTTGGCCTGTTATAGCACCAAGGTGACGATATGTTAATACTGGTTCTCCTGAATCTTTAACCAGTACAACTTCATACATTGAGCAAACAAGTAATATCCCTGTGAGTTACACAGAAAAAAATAGAAATATATCAGATTAGACAGGATATACTGACAGCTGCCAAAAGAGAAAAATGACAATTATTACTACATGTACCTTCAGCTTTTTTTCACACAAAAGACTTTTTCTAGGAACAAATATGATGTGAAACTCTCTTCTAAAACCACCTTTCTGGTCTTCTCTGAAGACAACAACAACATGATAACATTAATATAATGGTACCTGTACTAAAAAGGTAAAAGAATAAATCCTAAATGTCATAACTATATTTAATTTGATTTTGTATATCTATTTTACTCAGTGCTACAAGTGGGCAAATAAATCAAATACATATAAAATGTACTATTATAGATTTTGAAGTATAATCACTACATTCTCATGCCATTTATTCCAAGTGTTCATATTTTATACAATGTAACCAGGAGTTTTATTTTAAAATTCTTCATTTTTAATTATTGAGTTTTTATCGACGTCACACAACCACAGTATAGGTCATTAAGGTGATTTTCCGGCTTTACAGGAGGAGGAAGATATTGGGTGCCCCTTGGTACATTACTTCAGGAACAAGAGGCCACCACAGACATTCCTTTAGTTAGGTGGAAAGCTTTCCCATATGAAGAATCCAAAGATGCTTGATTGGCTCCAACCTACAAAGGTGTAAGGCAAGTGGTTCACGGACAACCCACAGCAGTTTTAAAGAGTCTGTTTCATTTTGGATGAGGAAAACAGTGTGCATTGTGTTTGTTTAACCAAGTTTTATATATTTACCTTAAAAGACTTTGTGCAATCTGGTCCATTAGTTCTAATTTAGGTCTGGTAACAAAGATAATATTTTGTACAGTACTGGTTGGCAGAGCCTGGTTCTCCTTGGGTAACAACATCATTTTTTCAACATCATGTTCCTGTTTTGAAAAAAAAATTCTAATTGTTAGAATATAAAATTCATTCTGATCTGTTTAAAAACATCATATTTTTTTGTAAAAGCATCATTTTCCTTTTTTTAAAGGTGTTTAGTTGTTGTTGTTTTTGTAACTTTTTAGCTATTATAATTACTTGTGAGGGAAGAGAAAATATATATGCATCTCATTCTAAAGGCACTTTTTTCAGTCACCAGAAACACTAACTCTACAGCATGTGGTGTAAAATCAGCCATTTTAGCAACTCCACCACTGACAAATGTAAAATTTGCTGTCTAAATCATATAAAACATTATTGATGAAAAAAACAACAGTTAATACCATTTTTTTATCAAATATGTCTTAAAATTAATATTACTTAATTGCTAGGCTACATTTCAAAATAGCTGACTAAGCCAGTATGACCACTGAAATGAAATGGCACTTACTTTTAGAAGAGAGTACTCTGCAATCAGTCCAAAAGGTCCAGTTAGAGCATCATCCCATACAAGAGCCTGGAAACAGAAAATTTTTAATGTAAACAACAATATGTAACTGTCTTTGTCACCAGTAGGGTTAAATCGTTGACTTACCGACTTGGCAATATATGCAACTAAGTTCCCAGAAGATTCTAGATATTGCTTAGTCAGAAGACAGAAATTATTCCAATGCATTGTCACTTGCATGTGTCATGCAAGCTGATAATACAATTTGATAATCAAGTAATTGTGTGTGAGCTTTGATATTCGGGCCACTTATATATATGTAATTTATGTTTTTAATTGTGCAAGTTGTTGATATCCTTTCTTTTGTTGATGCCAGTAAAATTTGCCAATGGAAGATTTTATATGCCAAAAATAACATTTTGTCACATTTCGCAACACTTGCAAAACAACAGCAGGAACCCTGTACAGACATACAGTGTAACAGCAGGATGGACAGGTGAAATGGCACACCTGAGATACCTACTCCTTCATACTGCCTGTACATACCTTTTACACTATTGTGACCTACTTCTTAAAATAACTTACGGGTAAATTATATTGACCACTTAGAAAGTTTATCAGACCAAATTTAATTTCACTAGACAGAATGAAATCAAATAGTTCTACACTATGTTATATTACTTTTTTATGACTGGGGCATGTGGACCTAGTCTGGTGGGGGGGGGGGGGTCCAATTTGAGAATTAAAAAAAGTATGAACATAAATTGGGTGCAGTGCAAAGTTTAAAAGGGTATGACCATACATATACTGCTTATGTGGTTATACTCGGTTTTTATCACCTATCACAATTATCTAATATTGCCAGAGCTGAATTAACTGACTTGGAAGGAAATTGGCTCTTTGACTTGGGGACTTCCTGATATTCAGCTACTTCTACAGAAAAGAAACAAAAACAAAACTTGAGATAAAATTAGCAAATACTTGTGACAAAAATGAACACTGGTTATTGATTTCTATGTAACTTTTTTTAGGCACATGCCAGAAGGCTGAAGCAAATATAACTTTAATTTTGTTCGAGGGTAACTTTCTAGGCACGTGCCAGAAGGCTGAAGCAAATATAGTTAATTTTGTTGGAGGGTAAAGGCTAAAAGCCAGGCAACTTCAATATTATTTCTGAATAGGTAGTCAAGACTTCAACCGCATGGGAAAATTAGCTTGACCTGTCTGACATTCTTCTAAATGACTGATCTACATGAACTTACACAGAACGCCCATTCTCAATAAAATAAAGCATTTGAGGTTGAAAAATATTAAAAATTTGATGTTGTCATTGTGTCATTTTTTATCGCTGAAGTAAAAGTTTAGGGTATTTTGCAAGTTTGCCTGAAATATTTTGAACAAGTAAACTACGATATAACAGGATGGCATTTATTTCGGTAATGACACTGTATTTCTTCGGTAACATAGATTTCAGATCTAATAATGTAACATATTGGCTGCATATTAACAACAAATGTCTTTAAAATATATCAAAATTGAAATTCTCTATCTAGATGGGACTTTCTAACCCAGGAAAATTCAAGGAAGTTGGTACCTTGCTAATTTTCAGTTAATTTCTTCAAAGTTAAATATTCGTAGAAAGCAAAAATAGTCCAATTTTTGGAAATGATTATTTTATGTCTTCATTCAAAGGAATATATACATATATAATATATGAGAGGTCGAATGCATACACAAATGTTGTATTAGCAATTTTTTTTCAAACAACATTCAACTTTTCACTTTCTTAATATTTGGAAAATTTATTGCTAAGCAGTTCTATATTTATCCCCATATAGGATGTCACGTATGTTTTCATTTTATTCAAATGCAAGTAAAGGTTGAGAAAACAATTTTATTTTTTTGTAAATAATGTAATATTTATGGATATTTTTTAACATTATTATATATAGAATGAAATACTGCCAGTAAGCTTCTTTGAGAAACGAATTAGTTGTTGCTGAGAACATCAATATCTTGTAAAATATTTTTAACATTTCTGCTGGTACATCAACATATTATTTACATATCTTTCCTTTGTAAAAACAATTTTGTATCTTCTTACATCTAATACAAGGTAACCGTTACTAAACAGGCATGAAATCCCAAACTTTATCTTTATTTTCAAAATTGTTGAATTGTCAAGTTGGAGTAACGTATGTTTCACACTCGCTTATTTATGAACTTAATCACGGAATTGAAACTTACTTGTAAAATCGATTTTTTTTATTTAGGAATCACATGTACATCATTCTATTGTCATAAAAATGCGATTTTATGTTTTTTATATATGCAATGTGTAAACAATATAAAGTCTGTTTGATAAAAGTAACGTTAGTTTCACTGTGGTTATTAAACAAGTCAAAACTCGACCAAAGTTATCAAAATTCTTTACTAATGTCAAAAGAAGTTAATGTGCTGTTATACCGTGCTTTCTGAGTTCAATTTCCTTTTGATAAACTACTTTAAAAAGTTTGATAACGTTTGTTTCTGTAACGAATGTTTCATTTTTACATGAAAGTGGGGTTAAAAAAATGACGCAAACCGTTTAAACCCGCCATAATTTGTGGTTAATATATCAGAGTTACACACATGTTAATTTTCTTTCTTGTTTGGATTCTTCTTTGAATGGATTGGGCTCTTAAATAATGGTAACGACCATGGTTTTTTTAAAAGCGTTTAAAAAAATTTTTAATAAAAAAAGAAAATTTTTGAAAATATAATGATTTTGAGAGGCGCAAGCTTTTTTTATTATAATTAATAAAGCTTATTTTTAAACAGCATAATTTAATTATGTAATTTTGGTTCCCCATTTTTGTTTTTTGGTTTTTCATTATTTTTTTATATCATTGGCAACATTTTATCACCCTTTAAAACATGAGATTTTAAAATCAAATATAATTTACCAAAATCAAAGTTTATATACACCAGAAGCAATTGCACAGACTTTTTTCTTTTTTTCGGAACTTTTTTTCTGAGACACAATTTCAAAGTTGAAAATTCTAGGTGGCGACAGTAACATATGTAACATTTTAGGGCATTAATGGTACTTGTAAAAGAAAAACAAGAAACATGGCAATGCCATGAAACCAGGTTTTCAATTATCACCATTGTAGATAAATATGTTGTATTTGAAATAAAAATACAAGCAACAAACAATGTAAACTATGTGCAATGTAAAACATGAAATAATGTAGGAGGAATTGCCACAGTGAAGAAGTGTTCACTATATATTCTGTAAAGGAAAAAAAAACAAAGGGCCATAATTAGGTAAAAAATTATCCAATCACAAAACCCCGACAAATATGTGCCGGGCGCTTGGTGACATTTTTAAGCTTCTGTGAAAGTTTGAACAAAAATCCGTTGAGAAATGTAGGACGAGTTCAGCACAGAAGAATTTATTCACTATATATTGATAATTCTGTATAAGGAAAAAAAACAAAGGGCCATAATTAGGTAAAATATTATCCATTCCCAAAACCCCAAACAATATGCGCCAGGGCACTTGATAAAAAAGCTTCTGTGAAAGTTTGGTCAAAATCCGTCGAAAAATGTAGGAGAAGTTGCGCACGATAGAAATTGTTCACTATATATTCTGTATAAGGAAAAAAAACAAAGGGCGATAATTAGGTCAAATATTATCCAATCACAAAACCCTGACATTATGCACCAGGGCCACATGGATGACAAAGCTTCTGTGAAAGTTTTGAACAAAATCTGTTGAGGAATTGTAGAGGGAGTTCAGCCACAGAAGAAATTGTTCACTATATATTCTATATAAGGAAAAAAACAAAGGGCAATAATTAAGGTCAAATATTATCCAATCGCAAAACCCCGACACAATGCCCAAGGGCACTTGTGACAAAGGTTCTGTGAAAGTTTGGGGTCAAAATCCGTGGAGAAATGTAGGAGGAGTTGCGCACAGAAGAAATTGTTCACTATAATATTCTTTATAAGGAAAAAAAAACCAAGGGCTGTAATTTGGTCAAATATTATCCAATCGCAAAACCCGACAAATATGCCCCAGGGCACTTGATGACAAAGCTTTCTGTGAAAGTTTGGTCAAAATCCGTTGAGAAATGTAGGAGGAGTTGCGCACAGAAGAAATTGTTCACTATATATTCTATATAAGGAAAAAAAACACGGGCCGTAATTAGGCCAAATATTATCCAATCGCAAAACCCCGACAATATGCGCCAGGGCACTTGATGACAAAGCTTCTGTGAAAGTTTGGTCAAAATCCGTTGAGAAATGTAGAAGGAGTTGCCCACAGAAGAAATTGTATGCCCGCCCGCCCACAAAGGGCCGTAATTTGGTCAAATATTATCCAATCGCAAAACCCCGACAATATGCCCCAGGGCACTTGATGACAAAGCTTCTGTGAAAGTTTGGTCAAAATCCGTTGAGAAATGTAGAAGGAGTTGCGCACAGAAGAAACTGTTTACGCCCGCCCGCCCGCAAAGGGCCGTAATTTGGTCAAATATTATCCAATAGCAAAACCCCGACAATATGCCCCAGGGCACTTGATGACAAAGCTTCTGTGAAAGTTTGGTCAAAATCCGTTGAGAAATGTAGGAGGAGTTGCGCACAGAAGAAATTGTTCACTATATATTCTATATAAGGAAAAAAAACAAAGGGCCGTAATTAGGTCAAATATTATCCAGTCGCAAAACCCCGACAATATGCGCCAGGGCACTTGATGACAAAGCTTCTGTGAAAGTTTGGTCAAAATCCGTTGAGAAATGTAGAAGGAGTTGCGCACAGAAGAAATTGTTTACGCCCGCCCGCCCGTCCACCTGCCGACATACCTCAATCTAATAACCAGTTTTTTCCTTCGGAAAACCTGGTTAATAACAGATAGAAATGTAAAACTGAGAGTGTCCCTAATAATATATTGATCTTATCCTTGACCCTTAAATTCAGATTTTATCTTTATTCTATTTTTCATCATATTACACGATTTAAAATAGCTCTGTGAAGCAAATTTCTCCAAGTACTACTGGAACTTGTATGGAAGTGCTGCATTTTGGATATTTACATTACTCCACCCACTTTTTGGACATTACATTCAGAACTTAACTTCAATATTTGTTACTGACATAACATTTGTGAAACAGATAATAGTAGAAAATACAAACTTTAGTTCCAATGCATTTATCTAAACATTCTAACAATTCTCTCCTGTAGTAATCACGCAGGGCTCCTAAATTTATTTTTCCATTTCCTAAATGGGAAGCACCGGAAGCGGCCATTTTGGATGCTGAAGTGAGAGGGGGCAGTTCAAACTAGTTACAATTTAATGTTTACATAAATAATAATTTCATTTGAATGTCAAACATACTGAATACAGACATTTAGGAATGAAGAATTGAAAGAAATGTTTCAGATGCATTTGAAACTTCAAATCGCCTCTTTTGTCAAATATAACACGTAATTATCTTTGACAGATAACACACATTTTGATACGACCCCTTGATGAGGATCTACTTTCAGGATGTTGTACACTGGCTTTCTAACTGTAAAACAACAAAAAGCAGTGAAAACGTACGTTTTTGAAATGCCTTAAATTTAACTTATGATTAATTTTTATTAACTGATAATGACTGCGAGATGTTTTTAGCAAATTAGTAGACCTCTATAACTTCCGGTTACCTTTTTTTCGCCGCAGAATGTTAAACAGTTGTGCTTCGGCTCCCAATAGCAGTCAATCAGATTCAGAATGGAGCTCGAAAGAATTGGAATTGTTTAGTACTTGGAATTACTGAATTGTCTCAAAATGTCTGCAACATTACTGTCAAAGCGTTCAATGTCCATGTCGGACCAACTAGAAGCGCGACAGTCACTTCTTCGTGCAGTTAAAAAGGAGGTAAAGTACTAAATTGTTTCTATAGTAGATCTAGTAATTATTGATCTAGTAATAAACATAAATAATTCATGAAAATGTTTATTGGGTATAATCATTTGGTTAACCACATACGGTGTCAAATGACATAACATGTGCACATACATTAACATTATACTATATTCTATATTCAAGACATTTTTGAAGTTAATAAGTATACTAAAATTTCTCTTTATTTTATTTACAAGTAAAATTTTGTTTTACATTCATTTTTTTTTCGCTAAAGAAATCTCAAATAAAGAAACCCAGAGGTCATTGATAAGGAAATTGGTTTTTATTCTTGTAAACTTACCATTGGGCATTGAAGCTTGAAATTTCATTTGAACTTACTCATTATGCAGAATGGGTGCAGTGGTTAAATAATTTTATATTAATGCTTTTTCACACCTTAGACAAATCACAATATATATTTTTATGTGCCAAAGCAAGATTCTAAGATGCTTTTTGTTCTTGGTCAGAATCTTACCTTAACTGTCCCAATAATAAAGCACAAAATCTCAACTGGTAGTACAACTACAACTAATTAGACTTGTCAAAGAGACATCAAGTCCAACCACTAACCATTTCTACACGGACACTACCCAATTAGAAGTTGTTGGGAGTGATAACCAGCAATGACAGGAAGATAAGCCCATTTTACCTGATAGATATCTGTTTTTTAAACAAGGTCCTAATTAGATTTCATTTTTCAACAAAGAACTGAAGACACATAAATTAATCCCATTTAATTTCTCTCTCAACGGTAATCAAGTTTTAAATCTCCCATCTTTAATAGTAACTGGTGGATATGTAAACATTACCCCTCTAAATTTTCGGTCTCCTATGATCTCGATCTAGACCTGTAAATATTGGAGACCGGGAAACAATTACACGTAATAAAATGACATATGTTTTTATCAGTCATTCTCATTTCTAAAGCAGTCATTGTATACATTTGTATACATTTTAATGATTTTTTGAAGCGCTGAACGATGTGCAACAGTGTGTTGCCAAAACATTTTCCATGCATACAAATGGTGCATGAAAATGACAGTTAAAATTAGACGAGAAGTGGGAAGAAACACTAATAGTTCAACCTGTTTACGCTAAATTAATTAGGCAAACAATTTGTTGGACTTCTTCACATCTTAAAGGGCCGGCAAAATCTGATTTTGACTTACTTCACTCTTGTCCGTTTTTATGTGAAGCATTTTTTTAACTTGTCCGTATGATATTTACATATAGTTTATTCTTGAAAATTTTCACTTGTCCGTACAGGCTGTGGGACAACCTGGGCAATACAGACAATTGATTTTGCCGACCCTGCCTTATACTAAGGTCTTCTAATTGCTTAACTGAAATGAATCTATGTAAATCTTCTTTTTGGCATCATGGATAGAAATGGAATCTGAGTCTATCATTGATATTTTCTGCCAATCAATTAACGATACAAATTTGAAAAAAATGGATGATTTAAACTAATTAATTGAATGTCTAGAAACAAGTCCAACTATTTGCACTAGCTGTGTGTTAAGAGATAACAGTGCTACAGGGTGTCCGTTTGACCCATGAAATGACTCTTTGACCCTTCATATTTCCAAAAGGCCTGATTTGACCCTGAGGATTTTAACTGGAGGGTCAAATTTTGTTAAAATCATGGGGATTTGTCCTTGTAGTCGGACGTTCTAACAGGAGAGTAATAATGTGGCTACTCTATTGTTCTCTCTATTGTTCTTTTTAGCCAATCAAAAGAAAATAGCCACATAAAAGCATTACGGAATAAATGACATCAAAGAGAAAGAACAGTTACCTATTGTCCCTCTAGCCACATAATTACAGACCTGTGAGTGCGGTAAAACTTAGTCAAAATGCCAAAATATAGAAATATGATAAAATATCACCCAAAACTTTAATGAAAGTAGTTGCCCGCGTCAAAAGAACATGACATTGTCTAAAGCTATGCGTTTGTTACTTAATAGACACATATTTCATAATAGATCTATAACAAAAGAAAGTTAGAAAATAGAAAGCATGTAGTCTTAGAGAACATTTTATAAACAATACAATGCATTGTACTGGAAAGTAAAATGAGCCGCATCATGACAAAACCAACATAGTGCGATTGTCACCAGCATGGATCCAGACCAGCCTGCGCATCCGCACAGTCTGATCAGAATCCATGCTGTTCGCTATCAGTTTCTAGTTTGTAAGCGAACAGCATGGTTCCTGATCAGACTGGGCGGATGCGCAGGCTGGTCTGGATCCATGCTGGTTGCAAACCCATTATGTTGGTTTTGTCATGACACGGCTCAAATCATGAAATCATCTACATGGTACAGTCCAATTATTACTTGATTGCAAATAGGTATGAAAGTGAAATGTAGATAAATAATATATTGATGTTTCATCAATGTTTGTCATCATATACAGTCATGTACATGTACATGTTTATATTGTTGCTGAGCTTTGGGCTGAATGAATGGAAACCTGTAGGTTATCTTAAAAAATTGTCTGAAAAGCCATAGAGTTGAACTCAAACTTATTGTTTTTCTTTTATTCTTAGAATTATAATATTAGGCAGTTGTATACTTAAAAGTATACAAAGAAACAAGATATTGTTAAGAAGATTTTCATGGCAGATTTGACAAGCATGGCAAGTGTTTTATTCTGATAGTGAAGTTTTCAAAGTCCCATACATAGAACTTAAATTTTTAGCAGCATTGACCCGTTGTCTGAGTGCTTATTCTCGAGAAATGTTGGCTTAGGTGTCTTAAATTTAAGTTCAAGACTTCTGGCTTCCAGAGGTTCAAAAGTATTAATTTCTTTCACATTTACTTTACTGTGACAGCCTCTGAACTATTATCTAAATTTGGAGTCTGCACATATCCGTCCCTCTAAGATTTGCCACTTCTTGCCAGCTATTTCCACCGAAAAGGGTGGCTTTAAGTGTAAAAAAAGGTGGCATTTAAACTAGCAAGAAGTCTCTCTTCTGATTTGTTGATTTACATCATTTATAAATGATTTTTATTATCCGAAAAAAGTGAATGTATTAAAAGGTTTGATAGATTTGCTCAATTTTCATTTAAGAAGAAAAAACTTAATTTAAAAGGCAATATATATCTTGTTTAAAATAAATGTAAAAACGTCAGCAGGTTTTATGGTTCTACTATACTTGACTCCATGTTAAAGTACTCTTGTATATCATTTATATGTAATTTTAGTGTTTGAAGTTAGTTTTTAGCTTGTCTGTTTCAAATATTATAATCGCTGCGTCATAGTTGTTGTTGTGCAAACACTTAAATGTAGCCAATTTAAAGATATCAATATGAAACTTGGAATGCTTGCTTATCATGACATGAGGCAGTTGTTAGACAAGGGGCATAATTAGAAAAGCTATATGTTTGAAGTTATTCCCCCTTTTAACTTAGGATTTTTGTTGAAGTGGTTATTTTAACAGACGAGCATTAACACTTCATGCAATGCGCTTTTAGTCCAAAAGGATTGCAGTATTTCAAATGAATCATTACAGTCATTTAGTGTTTGAAATTTAAACAGTCGAGTGTTTGTCCAATAGGATTGCGGTATTAATCAAATGAATCGTAACACATTTACTTTGGTAAATCAGCAAACTGTTAATCAATCTAGTAGATCGACAGTTTATCAAAATAATTTAAAACAGTAAGTTGGTTAAAATTTATAATATTAGTACGTATTTACAAAATGAAATTGGTCAAACGCGGAACAGACATGCGACCGATTTAATTTTGTTAAAACATACTTATAAATTTTAACCAGCTTTAAGTGTTTCAAGTATTTTCCAAATTAAGTTTGTGATGAAACTGTGTCACTCTTGAATGCAGTTTTGGAATTTTATCTATTTTTTTAATGAGCTGCATCTTGGCTGCGTGATTGCGCCATTTGCGCATATTTTTTGCAGATTGAGTAATTTAATGAAGTCAATGCGCGCCAGAAGTCGTGCATCAAACAATCTTTTCAACTTAATTTAGTTAATCTTCATCGTATTTTGAACGCTAAGTCTTCTACCTGTGGGACAATCCCCCATAATTTTGAAATTCTAGACGCAACACTGAATGAGGAAATAATTTCAAGCAGGAAATTTATCCCAAATTGTATATACATGTATGAATAAATTTGTTTACAAAGTATTACATAATATCTTATCAGACTCATCTCAATTTCAAATTGATTTAAATTTTAAGAAAATTTAATTTATGACTTTTTGAGTTAGAATTTATTGTGCTCATAAAAATGTGCAATTTGAAAGAAATGTTAAATTCTGACCCTGATTTATATGTTAAAGGGCCAAAATAAATTTTTATTTTCATGCTACTTTAAAATATGATGTCACAGAAGAACTAAAATGTGTCATGTTTTATTGATTGTCAATATTTTGGATCACTATAAATTAAAAATGTTTTACAAATGTATTTTGTTGCTACAAATCTTTTGTTGTTTGCCATGTAATTAAAGATCCTGTAACACACTTTTTTTTCATGGTTTTATTTCATAAATATGATGCTCAAATTAAGATTTGTCAATATTGTAAGTTCCAATAAGCATTATTTATAAAGATATTACCAAATTTAACATTTCAAGTAAATAATAATTTCTAAGTCAAATTTTCCAGTAAGAAATGAATGCATATAATTTTTTGATTCAAAATAATGTGCAGAAATATTTGGATTACACATTTTACATATTCTACGACATTTGAAAATTGTTTTATTTGCATAATTATATTCATTTATAAGTTTTTTGCAAGTGTGGTATACAAACAGTGACAATATCAATCACAAAACATACAGGATATTTGAGTAAATATTATTACCAGTACCATGTATTTATAAATACGGTCATGCTTTAAATGTCTTAGTAGCAAAAACGTGCAATAATGTTATATATCATGCATCATGTATCTTCAGATATTACAAGATTTAGACTAAGTGATAAAACTCACAGTTTTGGTTCAAGTCAGATGATTTTGAATATATAGATAAGCTTTTGCAATGTAATATGAAGTTAATATTTGTGTACCCTTTGAAGCTGAGTGAGGTTCATTTGTATAATTATAATCAATCATTCACGAAGAGAAAAATTTATTTTTGTATTTGTAAGTGTCAGTTCGTACATAACAGTGTACATTTGTAAATTCAGGGCACAGAAGGAAAATTTAACTTGAATAGAGAATTTTTTAAAATTTTGAACGATTAAAAAAAACCTCATAATTCGAACAAATTGTCGGGGTAAAAATTTGATGTCACTGGATGAGCCTTCCCTTTTAGTTATCTGCCTTAAAATGAAACTGAAGTTTTTTTTTAATAATCTTTTAGGGTTATTTCCAAGATTTTGAACACATATTGCTGACTTGCACATTCTGTCTGATTGAATTATCCAGTTCAACTGTCATTGAACCAATATACATGTATATAAATACATACATACACTGATTAAAATGTTAGTAATACTGTAAACAAACCTATTGTTTCTAATAGACTGACAATCTCTGCTATTGTCAAGCAGTAAGATATGTTATTTGATCCTAGAACGGAAGAAAACATGATAAGCTGCGAGAAACAAGGTCAATTACTTGTTGACGGTGAAATCTAGTACGATTGCAGTTCAATATTTCATGATACTGGTAAACATAGCGTTATTGGAAATGGGTGTTTGTTTTTTTTCACCAATCCCCCGCATTGACGTAATTCGGCTTCTGAGAAACTTGTGGTGTGACACGCCATCATATAGAGCTGTCACATTCAGTGGATATTGTGTATTGGTTAGCCGGAGGTTTAATTCTCCCTGGAGACGTGTTTCTAATTAGCATACAAACTAAGTTTTACATGAAAGTTTATTGAAGAATAAAGGAAACAATTTGCATGAAATAAATGGATTCTGTCACAGAACACATCCATACTAATACTTTCATTTTAGTTATCTTCAGACAACAATATTCTGCCCAGTCTCTCTCGTGACTTCTTCTTTCCCCGGGAGAAATTTAATCACAACATTTTAGTTACTTTTATTCTGTAAGAATTTCAGGTGTTTCAGTTGGATTGAAAAATAATAAAAATTTAGTATTGCAAAGAAAAACACAACCTAACTTCTTTTGTTTCCAAAACTTTCAATGCCTCGAAATTAATTATCGAGTCAGGCACCTGCTAGAAGAAAGCCTCAGGCCTCAAAGTTATAAAAAAAATTCTGAATTCTGTCTCAAATCTCAGGTTTTCATTGGTCCAGTGTACATTCTGTGGCATTTTCAGACCAATCAAATGCCTGCGTTTGAGCTATAAGAATTTTTTTATAACCTAAATGGACGCTGGTGTTTGGTTTAGAGTTACTATTCATTTTAATACATTTGAACGGGAATAATTATTGTATATTTTGATATGTTATAATATTGTGACATGTGTATAAAAGACCTTATAAACCTCTAAATACATGGTAAACTTATAATACAGATATATGTAGTCTCATACATAGATAGATAATATTATATTGAAGTCAAACAACTTTTTTAAGGGACCTAAATAATCAGGTTGCATACAGTACTATACTGTACATCATGATTAAAATCAACTCCGATATAAAATAATGCTATACTGAGTATAACAACATAAATAGATAATGAGATTGACTAATGTTCTCTCTAAATTATTCAATATAAAAAACAAATGTGTACAGTTTACTTTTTAGTTCCAAATTCTTTACTTTTTTCCATAAACCCATAAAAGGCTGGTATAGGAAATGAACAGCCTTTTGCCACCGGTGCTTAGGTCACTGGCTTTTTCCCTTACTCAATTTAAATCTTGACAGATCATTTTGAAATGTTATTATGATGTTGAAAGTTCCAAAATTGGACGCTCAGTAAGACTGACAATCTCAAGTGAGAAATATAGTGACATCATCAAACAATTTTGAACCTGCTCTTTTGGTTTTGGTGAGAATATTGCTAAGAACAAAATAAACACTATTATTACATGCTTTTCGGTGGTTTATAGAAATATATCAGTGATATAAAACTGGTAATTTCACTGTTTGAAACAGTGAAATTACCACTTTGATAATTTCACTGTTTTGAATTTAAGCCCCTTACGTTGTTTCAGTGAAATACCAGCGTGCACAGTACTGGGTACCAACTTAATTAATGACGTGACGTCGTAAATGACGTCACGTTGTATTATTATTTGGCGCGCTTTTCATTCAGTATTAGGTTTAATGTCTTTTTAAGACGTTTCTTTGCATATAATAAAAAGAAAATTTGTTTAATTTTGAGTAAGATCGAAATATATTTCACCTAGTGAACACCAAAAGTTCATATTACACTTGTGGCTGCGCCACTCGTGAAATATACCTTTTGGTGCTCACTCGGTGAAATATATTCCGATCTTACACTGAACTAAACAAATATCCTCTATTTATATGTATTAACATATATAGTGAATATAACTAAATGGACAAGCCATGCCTTGAAAATCAGTAGGATAATGGATAAGTTAACTATGAACGTAATTACCGACGGATGTTTTTTTCCTCAGCTTATTCTTTTACAGTTCATATGTGAGCAATGTTCTGCATCTGGCTTGCGTCGTTTCCGTCACAGTATTGATTATTTCTGGTCAACTAGCTCAGTAACAAATTTATGTTTTTTTCCCCCTCTTGATAGGAAATTAGAGTCGATGAATGGCATTGTACATGTAGTTTTTCTAGTTTGGTCAAGGTCATTTCGCAACAATCTCTGCTATTGACGTCATTGGACAATTTATTAGAATTCGTTTTATGGGCCAAGGCAAATTAGTTTGTGGAGGTGAAATATTTCCATGATTTTTTTTTCTCAACAGAATGATTCAAACAAAATGATTCAGAATTAAAAGTATTATAAAATCATGATGCATTATATTCAATATTGTGATCGACTTATCTAAAACTTGATGAATCTATAAATGTGTAATAATATAATATTTTAAGTAATATTTTTGTTAACATTGGTCTTTTCCTCATTGAATATAGTCAATTGGATACTGTTGCTGGCTATATCAAACTTCTGTTTTTTCTTCTATTTTAGTTTGAATCTGATTGGGGACATCATGCAAGTTCTTTTCTGTTAACATGTCATTAATATGCTAGCCTGCCAACGATCATTAATTTTACTGAGCACCAAAACTTGTACTTGGTTCTTCTTTCTGCATTAGCAAAGATGGAAGTTTGTCATAGATGATTGTATAGCCTATGATACTTAGTTTATACAAAATTTATTTTAGTTTGATTGTGTAAGGAAGCTATAAGTTTATATACAAGTCATGTTAACATACATAATGAAATTCCTCCAGCTTACAATGAACAGGTCTAAATGCAAGGCAGGACAATTACATATAGTCTGCAATGTTAAGGTTTCAGGCAGTGTGATTGGGTTCTGAACAAAATTTTGATCCACTTTTTGTGTACTACAGTCTTCTTTATATTAACCTTTTTAATAGCTAAACTTGTGACTTGTGAATCTACTCATGGCATCACTGCAGACCAGGATCACTCAGCAACTCCACATTGTCTGATCCTGGTCTGCACTGTTTCTTATTCACTGAGTCAATACATCTGAGCCGCGCCATGACAAAACCAACACAATGAGTTTGCGACCAGCATGGATCCAGACCAGCCTGCGCATTGGCGCAGTCTGATCAGGATCCATGCTGTCTATCAGTTTCTTTACTTGTTATAGGGTTTGGAAGCAAACAGGATGGATCCTGATCAGACTGCGCGGATGCACAGGCTGGTCTGGATCCATGCTGGTCGCTAAACCATTGTGTTGGTTTTGTCGTGACGTGGCTTAGACATCTTTTGAATTTCCCTAAAAATGATAAATGGCCTTGTCCAGATTGAAAGATGGACAAGTCCATTTAAGATATTTAACATGATAAGCTTTAAAGAATTTAGTCTATGCTATGAAAATAATAGGAAAATAGTAGAGGCCGAGTAAAGAACATACAGGCAATACATGAACTGTCTGCTGTATATTAAAAGGAAAATTTTGTTGTCTCCCTCGGGTATAATAATGATAGAAATTACTTCCATCTTAACTGTAGCAATACAATTAGAGTTTCTGGTAAAAATTATTTTGAATTATAATTAAGTTATTATTGAATTACTATTGAATTATTGTGTTACAGGTGAAGCAGATAATGGAGGAAGCGGTGACTCGTAAATTTGTTCATGAGGAAAGCAGCAGTATTACCTCCCTTTGTGGTGAGTTTCTCATAGAATTATCTCCCTTTATTATGAATCCTTGTATGCTTTTGGTGAGTATGTCATAATAAGAATCTGAGTGTAAATACATTTAATGTGTTTTTTTATGCCTTATCATATATATTACAATATATAATTTTGTTAAAATGGAAGGTCCCTCACCACTGTGGGTTTTAATCCGAATAGGAACTTTGCATTCTGTCATGCGAGGAAGCTATCCAGCTAGCTTATGGAACATCAGTGGTTCTACTCAGGTGACTGTTTGTGCCTGAAATAATGCACAGAAGTGCACCTGAGGTCTTCCTCCACCAGTAAAGCTGGAAAGTCACCATATCATATCATTTGATATGACATATTCTGTGTTGGTAACGACATAAAACCAAACAAACAAAATGGCAGTGACAGTACTCTGAGTCAGTTTTGAACTTAACCCATAAGCTGCTGGACCAAAAGTGACCTTTGTTTTTATTATAGAATCAGGCCAGTCTGTACATCTGTGCAGTCTGACCTGGCTGTATACTGTTTGCTGACCAGGCTTTATAATGTTGGCTGACTAACTTAAAAGTTTTAACTTGAAATTCCAAAATTGATAATGGACAGTTCTCAGGGCAATGATAAGGGGCAGATTTAAAATCCCTATTCCCAATCCAAATCAGCCTAATTTTTTCCTAAATTTAATAAAGTTATTCAAAAGATCAATTTTTTTCAACTTCTGAGATTTGACTTGTTTTATAAAAGAGGTGACAGGCTATTTGAATAGTCGACAACAATGTTATTGTATGTATGATTTTTTTAACAATTCATTATAGCAAGAAGAGTCCAAGACCAATAACCTTTTAGCATTGATCTTGCATAGAACTGGTTTCAACTGGTTCAAGAAGAGCTATAAAAACAGTAACTGCTGGATGCAAATTGTAATAATAATGAAAATACATAAACAAATAAACAAAGTAAAACCTAAACAAATAATAAGAGAACTTGTATGTTAAAGTATTCCCCTGGAGATGATTACGTGACATAATTGTTATAGATATTCTGAGGTTTTGTCTGTTGCTACTTGGCAATATAATTGAATAATTGAATGATCAGCACAAATCGAGCACCCACGCAGCATTTACCGAGTATTAGCACAGTCAATATACAATATCATTGCCACATAGAAACGGTGGTTATGAAAATCAATGTTGCAGTTTTTGAAAGATGGGAATATTACGAATATTACATTGTTGTCATGTATGCATGTACATGATGAGATAATTGAATGAGATAATTGAGGTAAATGAGATAATTATAAGGCAAGGAAACCACTATTCACAGGAAACTTGTCTCATGGAAGTGATTGATGCCAGAACAAAATGACATTGCCATCATTAAATGTCTCATTTATTTTCATAGCTTCATTTTATATTGTAGGAAGGTCAAGGTTGATTTTATTGGCAAAAAAAAAAATCAATGATTGGATACTTTATAAGACACGCATATATATTCCTTCAGTCCTTGTGACTTTATGTAGGCTAATTAATAGGGAACGATCTGAGATAAGCATCGTATACGTCACTGATAAGAGACCTGTTCTAAAAATAGCCACATATCGATAACTTTCGGACAAGGAAACTGGTTAATCTACATGTAGATTATACAACATGTAATGGTTACGAATACTTTTATTCACATTTGTCTCAATGAAAATGATGTTCCTGGAGTTAAACTTGCATAAAGCATGATTGAGATGGTTTAAAACCATCAGGAAAATAAAGCTGATATGGTGAAAAAGAAAGATAACTTTCGGAGCAATACTTTCCCTGCATGTCAATTTGAGAAAAATGCCGGCGCTTGGCATTGTTTTTGTGTCACTGTTTATCAAAATTAGAAATGGTGATATGATATGGAATGATTTTAGGAAAACTGGGACTCAAAATGAAAGAGTATCTTTCTGTCCCAGATATACCGTACACAATTTTGTTTCTATGTAAAATACGTAGATTGGAGAAGTCATGAATATATCCACCAAAGTGCTACGAGTATTAGATTAATGATTTATATTCTTAATTCTTTAATAATTTTAGAATAAGCAAACTCTGCATTTTCCTATTTTACCTAATAAAAAAATGCCGATTCTAGTATTTATTTTATCAAAATAATGTATACGTACATGCATGCTTGCATGTATAAGTAAGTAAGTAAATTCTTTATTATAGTGACATGTGTTTATACGTATATACATACACATAAATACACAAAGATGAACACCCGGCCCATAGGACCTATAAGTCACCTTAACAAAAGATCATATTCTGAGCATGTGTTATAGTTTTTAACATGTTATTAACATAATAGTAAATTCATATCAATACATGTTATGCATTTACGGACAGTTCAATTTTAATTAATCATGATCTATTATACAATAAATCTCTCCTTAACAGATATGCTTGTACAATAAATTTAATAACTTTATTTTGATGGTTGTATATTTAAAAACTGAATTGACAATTGAGGTCCGTTATTTAACATAACGCTGTTTACGTATAGACAATAAAATATATTTGTTTTTTTATTTTATGTCTCACACAAAATATTTTTTTGTTAAAATCATCGCCAATTACTGGTGCATTTTTTAAACTTTGTTTGTAAAGATGTATAAAGAGGCCAGAGCAGATTGTGAGATATGTTTAAATTTAACTTTAAAAACGTACAGCGTGTAGTTGTCCCTTTTCTTTTCACACTAAATTCCATTTCCAACTTGTTTGCATTCTACAATTTCTTAAAATATTGCATGTAAACAAAGTAAATATACGCTGATTAACATCATGTGTAATGTGTACTCCCTAATCCCTTGTCCGAAAGTCAGTACAGGTGATGTAGTGGTGATTAGGTAAAATCTATTTTTAGAACAGTGTTACCTTCAGATCGAAGGCTATTTGGATCAGTCATGAATATGCGGTCATGAAATTCAAGAAGATATTAGCTAGTCCCTGTGGAATATTAATGATTCTAATATAGATAATGTGACCTCATTACCAAGTAACTTATCTCCGTATCTTGGGGAAGAAAGCACAGCCTCCGTGTCTTCTCTAATCTAGTGACATTTGAATAATTTGAGAATTTTTTTTATACATTAATAATTGTTCATAATTAAGTAAAGCTTTTAATGGTTATGAACTTCAGACTTGTTGCTTTGTCAAAAAAGTTATCTGAACTGTAGACTAACCTCAGTGTTTGATTTCTTCAATGATATTTATTTTATATAATTATTGATATTCCATTTTTAACCTCCAGGGGGCAGGGGAATATATATTTGCCTGTGTCTGTCCAACATGCTATCTGGCTGTCACATTGTCTTGTCCGAAATTAGACTGACCATACAGTTGAATGTTGATGTATCGTTTGAACTATCCTATCTTTTTTCTAGCTGTTATTTACATTGACCTTGACCTTGTGCAAGCTGAGAAAAATTATGCTTTATGCTTTTACAGTTTTAGGTATTGTATAAATTTCATAAAATTAAAAAGAAACAACTTGGTACCAGACCAGAAGCATGTGATATTAGGTCTAGCACCAAGCTGTTTGCAAAGGCTATTATGATAACTTGAGACAGACTGATACAAATAAACCATAACAATTCTGATTGCCCTCAGCAGACTTTAGGGTTAAAGCATATTGATTTTGATTAGCATATTTTATTTTACACATTTTCAGGAGCTGTAGAAGCATGCTTACTACATGGACTACGTAAACGAGCATTGGGCCTCTTCAAATTCAGTAATACAACAGCATTATTACAGAAGGTTTCCAAATCATTTGAACCGGCAATGTCAGTGGTTAAACTGGTCAGTGAGATTGAGCTGAATAATGATCCTTCAAGGTAAAATTACCAACAAAATGTGTTGTTGGTTTTTTTGTGTATCTTATGGTTCTGAAATTTTGGATCATAAATATAGTTGCAGCTTTGACCTTCTGTGACCACCTTCAATATCTCCATGACACCATTACTCATTGCTGATGTGTCTTGATACCTTCCATGGATCCCTTAAAACCTTTCATGCATCTCTTGATTTCTTTTATGGATCTCTCCATACCTTCATGGATATCTTGATACCTTCCATGGATCTGTTGATACCTTCCATGGATATTTTGATTCCTTCCATGGACCACTTGATGTCACCCATGGATCTCTTGAAATCTTTCATGGATCTATCGATACCTTCCATGGTCTTCTTGATACCTTCCATTGATCTCTTGATACCTTCCAATCAATGTATCTATTGATACCTTCCAATCCATGTATCTATTGATACCTTCCAATCCATGGATCTATTGATACCTTCCAATCCATGGATCTATTGATACCTTCCAATCCATGGATCTATTGATACCTTCCAATCCATGGATCTCTTGATACCTTCCATTGATCTCTTGATACCTTCCAATCCATGTATCTATTGATACCTTCCAATCCATGGATCTATTGATACCTTCCAATCCATGGATCTATTGATACCTTCCAATCCATGGATCTCTTGATACCTTCCAATCCATGGATCTATTGATACCTTCCAATCCATGTATCTATTGATACCTTCCAATCCATGGATCTATTGATACCTTCCAATCCATGGATCTATTGATACCTTCCAATCCATGGATCTCTTGATACCTTCCAATCCATGGATCTCTTGATACCTTCCAATCCATGTATCTATTGATACCTTCCAATCCATGTATCTATTGATACCTTCCAATCCATGGATCTCTTGATACCTTCCAATCCATGGATCTATTGATGCCTTCCATGGATCTCTTTCCACCTTCCATGGATCTCTTGATACTTTTCATGGATCTCTTGATACTTTTCATGGATCTATTGATACTTCTATGGATATCTCAATACCTTCCATGGATCTATTGATTTCTTCAATGGATCTCTTATCATATTTGCATGGAACTTGAATAGTTTCTTGACAGTTGGATATGACATCATGCATTATAGATAAGTTTTTGGGATTCCCTTTTGAATGAAATACTTCTTCAAAGAAAATTCGTAATAACATAATTCAGGCTGACATTTGGGAATTTTACATTTTTGAATTGTGAAAAAGAAACGTTTTAGCTTTGAGAATGCTTCTGTTACTTACGGTAACTGGCTGTAACTAAAAAAAAAAGGCCTGTATTATAGTAATTAACCTGCAAATGTAAATCACAAAATATAATGAAACTACATTAGTCCCATGTTTGACATCTCTTTCAATAGTACATTGATTATATTAGTTGAATAGGAGTGGGAATGCACTTGAAATGCTTGGATCTAAAAAGATGGAACAGTGGGTGACGCAAGTACTCTAACATATCCGTCCATCTTTCTTTCATCTTGTATAGATTTTGACATACATGTTGACTGGCATGTTCTGTTATTCATCACCCATTCAGGCAATAATGATTCTTTTTTATGCTGTAAACAAAACTTGGGATGTTCTTAATTCCTTCTGTAAATTTATGAGTATTGAAAGCATTCCAATTGATTGCCACACGGAGGAGAAAAATTATTTGAGAAATTGATTTTCACAGTGGTTACAGATCTTATATACTGTGAATACATTTATTTTCTCACCATAGATTCTCTGTAAATGTCATTTCGTGTCAGTAACACACGTTTAAATTAGCTTCGAAAATTGGTTTGTTACCATTCTTTGCTTTATAGACATATAAACATGTGTTTTTTCCCTCATTTTGATCAGAGGGAGATTAATATTTAAATGTCATTTCATATTCTAATAGCAGTTAAAAAAGGATGATCTATTTAACCTTTTGACCTTGGGGTAGGATTTATGTACTTGAAACTTTAACCATAAACATGCTGAATTTTTTTTTTAATGGAATAGTCGAGCTTCCTTTTTTGGAACAGTCCATTTATCAAGTTAGTCTGTGAGCCAATAGTATGGTTAGGCTGCACAGATGTTCAAACTGGCCTGGTTCTATGTTTCAAACTGGCCTTTCTCTATACTGGTGGCAAAGACTGATCACTTTTGGTTCCAGCAGAGTAAGGGTCTAAGATTGGCCAATGTTAGAAGAATTGGTTAAAATATCCAACATATAGAATTGAGCAGCCAATGGGTTCATTTTTCATCATACAAGGCACTTTATACTGTTTGCGTAACTATCTGACATCTGTTGTAGTTCAGTGACTGTTTTTGGGAGTTTTTTTTTTACCAACAACCAAAGTCTTTTAAATTAGGAAATTTTAGTTTTGGAACCATACGAAAGTTTGGCAAATTTTACAAAGCATTGTTTTCATAAAGGCCATAATATTATTTAAGTATTTCCTGAGCCAATGACTTGTATGCAATCATGGTAAAAGCTAGAGCTAAAAAATTACTTGAACAACAAACTATATAATAATAAAACAATTTACAAGATTTATTTTAAGAAACTTGTTAATGTACTTTAACTTTCTGATAAATTATTCCTTTGATTTAGTCATCAGAATGTTCCATAAAGTAGATAATGTCAACAAAATAAATGATATTGCATGTGTCAGGGGACATTTTGACTCTTTATAGCTCAACATTGTAATCAAAGTTTAAATAATTTAGTATATTGCTCAGTTAAACATAAAACAAGATTCTTTTGTCATTAATGTATTGTAATACATTTTAGTAAAGATAGTAAAATTTAAAAATAAGTTTGTAACAGTCTGAAGGCTGCAGAGTTTTGATATTTTGATTCAAAAATTAAAAAGATAATCAAAATTCCAGAAACTGCTCAAATAAAATGGAAAGCAGTACAAGGTCTTATTATGCAGACTGGTTTGATATAAAAAAAAAGGTACTTTTATAAACATTTGCAGCCCTTTTAAATTCTAGATTTTTTAAGACAGGTTCTTTAAATCGATTGTAGGAGTAATCCCATCTTGATATGAGGATATAATTGGTACACTTATATGTACTGATATAAATTAAATACAAATATAAAAGATCAAAATGAAAGCATTACCCTTAAATTAAGAAATTTATTAATGAAGTGTATTTATAAATGAAGTGTACATGTATATAATACATGTAGAAAGAGCATTGAAACAAGAGACTGATTTGCACAAGGAGGGCAATTAGCAAAAATAAAAACACGTTCCCTGTTGTCACAATATGAAACCATAGTAACCAATGTACAAGCATCAGAATATGACTTTTCTGGCCTCTATCCCTTTCCCAGTGTCATCACAATAAGTAAACCCCAGAAAACATGAGCTAATTAACAAGCATGCTGTATTTTTATTCCCTAGAGACAGTGTGGTAAATGGGGTGCTGGTAACTTATGTTAAAGCACTGTGCATGTATGGATATACAATTTAACTTCGACATATTTTCAAAAGAAAGGTCTTCAAACTATATGATACAGTTATAAATAAAGTGCTATTAAGGCTCACACACATGGTTCATTCTAGTAGCAAGGGTAACAGGGTATATAACAGCAACTGAACATGCAAATAAAGTCTGTTATAAGATCAAAGATTGTGGCTTGGGCTTTGGAATTAACAACTTGTTAAAAATTCAAACTCCCTTTCTTAGAAATATAGCGACAGGTCATAAACAAACATGAAAAGTCCAACAACAACATTTACATGTATCTTATCTTCAAATCTTCAACATTTTAATGATAGGATTTCAAATAACAATGTTTTAATTGAAATAAATTATGTCAAGCAGGAAAAATCAATGTCATTTGGATGATATTTTGCAGAATTTTGTCACTTTATGATTTATCATATTAATCTTTTATTTTTTTTCAGGAAATCGTTGGATACAAACAAAAATCAAACAAAACGACAGACCTCAACTATTTCATTTAGCCCAAAATATCTGTGGATACGGGTTGCCATCTTTGAAAAACAGCTTGCCAAAATACTTGACTACCTTGTGCAAAATAACAGGTATTGTAATATAAAGATGTTATAAAGCAGAAAAAAATAAGGAGGCATTAATTCATGCATCAGTCATTAGTAACCCTAGCCCTCCTATCTCTAAGAGAAAAGTGTAGACTTTGAGTGTCTTAGATTTTCAAACCCTAGTAATTAAAGACCCTGCCTTTTGTTGACAGTCAGAATGTAAAATTCTCAAAAAATGCACCCATACTTAAAGTTTTAAAATTGGAAAATTGTGCCCTGCTAATTTGGGGCATGAAAAACAAAACCACTACTTTGACCTTGCAGTTCAGGAAAAAGCTAATTTGTTCTACTATCCACTGCCCTTCCCTGGAAATAGGAGAGCCTTGAATATTTTTTGGCTTATTCAATACTCATTTACAATTAAATTCAGACTTTTTTGTATAGGTCTCTGAAATTTATTCATATTAAATTTATTAGCTCTAGAAGAGGAACATTTTTGTTGTACCAATATTGTAAAGGTTATTCATGGTGACCTTTTAGCTCTGTTGATGAAAGAAGATACAAATGATGCATGTGACCTTATATTATTATTTGGAGCATACTAGAAAAGACCCAAAAGAAACAAGAAAAGCTTTTGTACATTAGCTTCACAGCTTTTAAATCTTTTGTCCCTCAAAATTTAATACATAACTTTCTAAGTTTGTGTAATGGACAAGCTCATAATCGGGAATTGTCGATTAGTTTTGTCCCAGTGACCTTATTTAGGCTTATTAATTTGGATCTGTTAGATGTGATTACGAAAAGGCAAAAAGATATTATTCCCACTGGAGTATTGAAGTATTAATGGTTCCAATGTAGATTTCTTACTTTATAACTTATTACCTATCTTCTTATCTTGTGGAGAAAGGACAGCCTGATAGTCTTCGTAATAAAATCCACTCTAATGTAATATTTAATGGATTTCAGTGTCACAGTAAGAACTGCTAATGGAGTTAATTGTCCATTACGGCGCCAATATGCAGACTTTGTTGGCATTCTGGTATTTAGCCTGGTCAGACTGCACTGATATTGATGGCTTTCCTGACTTTATGCTGGTGGTATTCCAGTATTTAGCCTGGTTAGACAGAACCAATAAACAGACTTTCCTGACATTATACTGGTGGTATTCCAGTATTTAGCCTGGTTAAAGTGTACCAATTGACAGGCTTTGGTGGTATTCCAGTATTTAGCCTGGTTAAAGTGTACCAATTGACAGGCTTTCCTAGCTTTATACTGGTGGTATTCCAGTATTTAGCCTGGTTAGACAGAACCAATAAACAGACTTTCCTGACTTTATACTGGTGGTATTCCAGTATTTAGCCTGGTGAAAGTGTACCAATTGACAGGCTTTCCTAGCTTTATACTGGTGGTATTCCAGTATTAAGCCTGGTTAGACAGAACCAATAAACAGACTTTCCTGACTTTATACTGGTGGTATTCCAGTATTTAGCCTGGTTTGACTGAACCAATTAACTGACTTTCCTGACTTTATACTGGTGGCATTCGGGTATTTATCCTGGTTTGACTGAACCAATTAACTGACTTTCCTGACTTTATACTGGTGGCATTCGGGTATTATCCTGGTTAGACTGAACCAATTAACACACTTTCCTGGCTTAATACTGGTGGCATTCTAGTATTTAGCCTGGTTAGACTGAACCAATTAACAGACTTTCCTGGCTTTATACTGGTGGCATTCTGGTATTAAGCCTGGTTAGACTGAACCAATTAACATACTTTCCTGGCTTTATACAGGTGACATTCTGGTATTTAGCCTGGTTAGACTGAACCAATTAACAGACTTTCCTGGCTTTATACTGGTGGCATTCTGGTATTTAGCCTGGTTAGACTGAACCAATTAACAGACTTTCCTGGCTTTATACTGGTGACATTCTGGTATTTAGCCTGGTTAGACTGAACCAATAAACAGACTTTCCTGGCTTTATACTGGTGACATTCTGGTATTTAACCTGGTTAGACTGAACCAATTAACAGACTTTCCTGGCTTTATACAGGTGACATTCTGGTATTTAGCCTGGTTAGACTGAACCAATTAACAGACTTTTCTGGCTTTATACTGGTGACATTCTGGTATTTAGCCTGGTTAGACTGAACCAATTAACAGACTTTCCTGGCTTTATACTGGTGACATTCTGGTATTTAGCCTGGTTAGACTGAATCAATTAACAGACCTCCCTGGCTTTATACTGGTGACATTCTGGTATTTAGCCTGGTTAGACTGAACCAATTAACAGACTTTCCTGGCTTTATACTGGTGACATTCTGGTATTTAGCCTGGTTAGACTTAACCAATTAACAGACTTTCTTGGTTTCATACTGGTTGCAGTCAGGTTTGTTCTTATTGCCTCTATTACTCACAGGTTAAGATATTTTCTTATATCGCTATGTTTGGTGATGGGGCTAAAATACGGCCCAGACTTGTAATATTTTACCATTAAGCTACTTGCTGAGAATAAACACACCACAAATTAGTCTGGCTTTATTACTGTACTTATTTTCATGTCAGAGAAGACAAGATTAATGGATTCATCCATACACTGTCTGACCCAGTCAAAAAAATCTTAGCTGGTAAAACATGACCCTGTCACAAAACCTTAGTACATCAAACATATAAATCAAACATATTCCTGTAAACAAATATCTAGTGAGGAAGACAGGATTGTGGTATACAATTTTTGCAAGTAAAATACTTTTTTTGGTCAGAGTTAGACTTGAACTAGGAAAGGCTTAGTTTGTTGAAGAGGCCATCAGATGAAATTTCTCTTTTGAGACTCCATAATTTAACTTATATGGATTTTGATATGGTATTGAATGTGTAGTATATACATGTATATAAAGCTTCGAACAATCATTCATAGGATATCATACAGAGGTTAAGAAATTGCTGAATAGTTGTACATAATTCAGTACTCGGCAAATGTTGCACACCTCTGTATACATGTAACATTCAGGAACTTACTTTGTTATAATAATTTTTATGCTTGCACTAAAAAACTTAAAACTTACTAGTATAGTTCTAGGTAGCAAATTGCTATTATTCTATTAACTTTATATTATTTTGTTTTTTCAGCAAATATTATGAAGCTTTTGCTTTAATATCAGATCCAGTAGATGGCCCGATATTGGCATCTTTATTGGGTAAGTTTGAGTTGTTTATTTTCGAGGGAGATTTCTCGATTTATTTCTGTGAAATTCTTACCGAATATTATGTATAATTAGCAAATTCCATATACACAGAAAAATCACCAGACATTACAGATTTGATGCGTCCAAACCTTTGTTTCAAGGCATTATATAAGTGACTATTGCCTAATAAATGACAAAGTCCTTGAAGTAAAGTTGTCAATAAAAGAGATATCAATCATTCTCTCTCAGCCATAGATTTATATTCTTAGAAAAGCCTTGTTCTACTAAAACTTCTTTTCTAATTTGTGAAATGGTACCATATTAAAGATAGACTAAGCTCCGATCCCAATGCATAGAATATTTAATCTCAGAAATTTATTGAAATCTATGAAATTCTTAACAAATATGTCTAATTTTAATAAAAGAGTGAATAAACTATATATGAGTATTGGAAGATATGTTTCCTATTACAGGTCAAGTAAAGTTTGTCTTTTCTTAAAAAAACTGGCAGTTTTTTTTTTAAAGCACTATATATCTATATATACCACTTATAGTGTGTAGAATTTTAAACAGAACATACCTACTTTGTGTGAAGTCAAAACATGTTTATTTTATATTTACATAGAGACTGTAGAAATTATCAATATTTTCTAATAATAATAATAATTCCAGTAATTATTGCAGCTAATATTGTAAGAGTTATTTTTGCCTGATTTCATGCACAGTTATCAACCCTGATCATATTATTAAAATTTCATAAATGGACTTGTCCATCTTTCATTCTGGACAAAACCATTCATCATACTAGCCTTGTGAGATGAAATTTTCAAAAGATACAAACTGGCTGAATAGCAAACAGTTCAAACCATGATCAGACAGTACCAACATGCCAACTGATCATAGCCTGCACAATGTCATGTGGGTCAAATCAGTTGCCTCTGGCAGACCAAAAGTAAATCGACTTCAGTCATTAAAATTCCCTTGATGTTGGAATGTCTCGTTTATATTTTGTTTTGCTGCATTGGTTGATATTTGATAATTAGTAATTTCAAACTCATGGTTTTGTTTCTTGTTTCACTAATTAAGTTTTATCAGAAAACAATAGCAAAAATCTCCAGACTTCATATTTGATACAGATTGCATCAGAATTGCTATTAAAATTCTAACAACAAAGTTAGAAATTTCATCTACTCAGAGTTTCAGGATCACATAGCATCAATTCTGTTGATTTAATTTAGATACTTTTCCTGCTATTGTGCTGTTGTAAGCAATATAGTATAGTGGTATCTGTTTAATTATCCTGGGCTATAAATTATTCAGATATACTATACAACTTTGACTGCTTCGTGACATGCTATTTAAAAAAATTGCTACACATGATATCTAAGATTGAAAAAATAGTGTCTGCTGGTACAATATTGTTCTTGATTTCCTAGAATAGAAAATTTGATTTTGCTCTAGTCTGCCTGCTTAACTTAATACATTTGTACATAAAAAATAGGATTAGTAATCAAGAGGTTATTGGTTCAATTCTCAGGCAAGGGGTAATTTCTCCTAATGGTCATTGTCTTTCAAAAAATCGCAGCCACAATTTAACCCTGCATGATCATAAAAGGTGACTAAATGAGTTGAATTACTAGAGTGAGTGCATCTCATAGCTTCAGCAGGTGAGGTGGTTTTGACCCCTGGTGTTGCTATCAGTTTGTAACACCCGAGGTTAGTCAAAATTATCTTTCCTGTTTCGGCGCCATATGACCTTAATAGTGTTGGTGCAAAGTCAAACCAAACAAAACAAAAAAAAAACCAGAAATCCTGTAGCATTAGTAGTCGATCACTAGCTTTGTGGCTATGGATTTCTAAAAATGTTGGCATCACTGTAAGCATTGTACCTGAGTAACTGTACAAAATTAAATTCCCAAAAAAACTAAACAGAGTGGCCATATTCAAATACTTTTTATCTACATATTAAGTTCATCATTCTTCATTTGTATATAGCTGTAGAAAATGCGCGTTGGTTGTTGATTTAAGGTCACAATGGTCTTGTCGATATGAAATGAGAACTTACAAATAATAAATGAAGCTTGGAAGAGAAAGTCGAAACTAAATGAGAGTATATGATGCCATGCAGTAAAACTTGGTACCAAATATCACCCATATTATTTAGTGCTTTCTTTCCAAAGGTTATCGGATAGTTTATGTCTGCCTTAGGGAAGTATTAAATTTGTGTTGTATATTACAAAGGCGCCAGCAGAACTGAAACAATCCTCAAATATATGCAGTGTGTACAATTTGTGTCTGTTTATTTGTGTGCACAAAAATAATACAGTAGCAATCCTTACCTTGCATGGCCTAAAAGTGATAAGTCTTTGCTACCGAGTGAAGAGCCAGGGTAACCTGTAAGTCTGCATGTTTGTGCAGTCGGAACTGGCTCTATATATATATTGATGGCTGACAAAGTACAAATAAGCCATGTCATAATGGGTTTGCAACCAGCATGGATCAAGACCAGCCTGTGCATCCGCGCAGTCTGATCAGGATCCATGCTGTTCGCTATCAGTTTCTGTACTTGTAATAGGGTTTGTATTTGCGAACAGCATGGATCCTGATCAGACTGCGCGGATGCGCAGGCTGGTCTGGATCCATGCTGGTCGCAAACGCACTATGTTGGTTTTATCGTGACACGGCTCAAATTTTCATCTTGATATTCATGAAATTGATAATTGACAGCTCTGAAAATGGAAGCTGGACAAGTCCATTTAAGTAATTTAGCATGTTTGGTGTTTATCCTTTGAGCACCAGGGGAATAGCAAACACACTTATGGCACCAATGTAGTATGCCAGGCGAATCTGTACCTCTATGTAGTCAAACCATACACTTTACTCCCAACTGCTAGCTGAATTTTATCATTTTAATATTCAAACTCGATATACAAGCAATGGATTGTAGCATGTTATTGTAAACCAAATTATTGTGCAGATTTAATGTAAAAGTTAAATGTCAACCTTAGAATATGCAATTTGCCTTCTGCCTCTCAGTGTTAATTACATTATAAATGTGCAGTGAATTATTATCTATTGTTTTTATGGCTTTAACATGTATTGCCATTTATTTCAGTTGGGCCATGTGCGCTGGACTACACAAAGATGAAAACATCTGATCATTTCTGGACAGATCCTCCGGCCGACGAGCTTGTCCAGAGACACAGGATACATTCTGGTGGTCACCACATGACCTCTGGTGCAGGGTCACCAGGGTCACCAAAACGACCTGGCCTACAGGTAAGGCCACAGGTAAGAATATTAGACTAAATATCTTAAATATATCTTTTTTACTTAATCTTAATTAGTCTTTTACGTTTCCATGTGTGGCTGAGGAGTTGCCTTTACAGGTTGAGGCATCAGAATTGCAGCCATCGTTTAACCCTTTGTGATTGTAATAGGCGACTAAATGGGTTTACGAATTATTGGAGTCTATGCATCTCTTAGCTCCACCCGGTGAGGTGGTTTTGATCCCTGGTGTTGCTTAATTAAAGTTTGTAACACCCGAGGTTTAAGCCAAAATCATATTTCCTACTTGGACGCCATATGACCTTAACGGTGTTGGTGTGCCGTAAAGCCAAACAAACATAATTATAACCGTATGCATATAACCCTAATTAGTCACTCGTCTATAATTATAAGATTATTCTGATAATCAGGTTTTGTCATATTCACTGTACAACAACTTTTTTGTTATAATTATAACTAATTAGATTTTAGGAAAACATTTCTTTTTTAGCACAAAGCCTTTGTATCTAATTCTTTAATGACGTATATAGGAGTCAGAGATTTGTTAATATCAGGAACATTTTAATCTTCAACCTAGATGAGTCTCCTGGCAGTTTGATGACTATTACTTCAAAAGCATTGGCATTACTATTGGCCACTGTGTATAGTGTTGCCTGTATGAAACCCTCAACTCTATGCATTTCATGCATCCAAACAAGACTATACTATAAGCTTCCAAATATTACATTTCACAATTTTGCTACAATCGTGAAGTTCAGTTTTTATTGCCACATGTTAGCAAATTGCATAACACATGTTGTTTCCTAGACGTGAAAATGATGAAGTTATGGTACACCAATGTAAAATCAAAATACTAGATGTGGTAATATCACTCTAGGGATGTTGTTCATGCAATATGTCTAAGATTACAAATATTCATTCTCTATTATTGATAGAGATTAATACTTAACCTTATTATGTATATCTATTTTGTCCTCTCTGTTTGTCCATCCATTCATTTGTTTGTCTGTCACACAATGGATAACTTCAACCTTTGACATCACATCTTCATTCAATAAGCCGTACCTTCATTCTCAACAAGAGCTATATAAAGACATATTGAAATATGACCTTGACCCCCAAGTGTAATTGACCAGTAAAGGTCAAATTTTAAAATTCAGATTTACACCTAAAAAACTTTTATTCATTAATTATCAGATTTAAGGGGCTGTTTGAGTTCATACCTTCATGTTTTGTTTTATTTTGTTTTAAACAAAACATTATACAACAACAATATAAGCATTTTTTTGCATACATGTTTTTGATTGAATGTATCCAGGGATATTTGCAGGAGAGAATATTATATTATGTAACTTTTACCTTATTTGCTAGAGCCTATGCCACTAATAATAGTACCATGCCAGGATGCACATCTGTGCATTCTGACTAGGTCCACTGGTCAGTTTCAAATTTTCATATTTTCACATTTCAGAAATTGATATTGAATTATAGAATAAAGTCGATTTAGAAAATTCAGTAAGTTATGATAAGGTAAAGAATCGTTTGTTTTTATGTAGCAGTTCCGACGCAATCAGAGTAGCAGCAGCGAAGAGAGTTCCAAAAGTTTCCATTTATCAGCGCGAGAATACGTTGAATCACTGCATCAAAACTCAAGAACTACTTTACTGTATGGGAAGAACAATGTCTTAGTGCAGCCGGTGAGCCTTTTCCCTGTTTTCTTTTACGATACAATGTTGAGTACATGTCATACATTTTAGTTCCAGTCGTGACATTTGAAGACACAGGATTTGTAATGGCAAATTGATCTTGCTGCAATCATATTTGTTATATTATGCAAATGAAACTCAATTATTGTTTAAATTACACAAAGGAAATTCAATTATAGTTTTATTATGCATATGAAAATTCCGGAGGTGTTGAATTATTGTATTTAGAAAGCTTTTTAAACAGTGATATCAGATGGTCTGTTGTTCTACCTAGTCACCTGCTGTAGTGAATTAATTGCAAGGAGTAGCACCTTTGGTCTTCTTTTCGCCAGATGACCTTTGCAATGTTGATGTGACTTACAACCAACCAAAGAAAACAATTTTTTTCTAGTTACGTAGATGACTTATATAAATTAAGGTGATCCAAAGTAACGATTTCTGATTTATATTGCTTGATATGATACTTTTTATGAAAGAATATGCCCATTCCCTGTCTAATGTCACACACTACATTATCTCAATGTTGAAGCAAAGTTTTGTTCCTACTTGATTATGTACATGTATGATTTAAAGGGCCTTCAAAACCAAATACCTAAAAACATAAAAGTCTAAAATCTATCATAAATAAAGTGAGAAGGCACTTGAATCGAAAATACGTGCAAAAGATAATAAAACAAAAAATGGAGAAAAAAAAAATTGTGTATAATTGATTACAGACCGTTTCTAGTTATAAGAGTTGAAATGCTTTTCATTTGTGTGTCATTTTGCACAATTAAATTGATTACTATGGAAAAAAAGAGTGTAAGTGTGATCTGAAATTTGCACACAGGTTCAAACCTCTATCAAATATTCACAAATCTTTAAAAAGATATTTTCAGCCACAAAACGTCAAAAAACAGTGGAGTCACTTATGTCAAGCAACAACATAAAACATAATAATCACAATTAAACTTAAATTTCAATTTAACTAAGATAGAAAGTTGAAGAAAGGCTAGAATTTTTTTCTGATCTTTTTTTTGTAGAAGTGTAATCATTATATTTGTTGTTGTAGTTTGCAGGACAGACTAAAGTTCTGCCTATACATAAATAAGTAGTGTTGTTTCCATCTTGATTTAATGGTTGACAAGTTGATGGATGTAATTGCTAGTATTGATTCCTTCTAGGAGAACATGTTAGGCATCCATATATATTTCTAGAGGGGAAAAAAAGAGAGAGAAAATACTGTTTCCTATAAATGTGGGGGCATGCTGTTACAGAATGATTTTCTCTCTTTTCAAAAGCTACTGTTAAATTAACGTCTCATCAGGGGCAAAAAAAGTTGACTTAGAGGTTTTTAGGCTGAAATGAGATTTATACAGATCAATATGTTTATTTGTTATAGGAATTCTAATGTATAGATTTTCACTTATATGTATATCAATGATATGGAAAAATCATATATTTTGCTACTGTTTTGCAAATGACAACTCAATAAGAGATCTGGATTTTTCCTTGACATCAATAATTTCTATCAATAGGTTCTTTCATATGCTGTCCTGTTCCATGTTCCTTGATATGCTTTAAATAGTTGGAGATATTGGTCACTATAGATTATTGCAGGATTTGTTTATTTATCAGTCTGAAAGAAAATATGAATTATTTTCCTTTTACTTTGTACTTTCTTTTAATCTAGCATTGATTTACTCTTTTCTGTATTCTAATGTCTGATATAGATTATGTTCACAGATATTTTACTTCTCATTTTCTATATACATGTATAATGTTATAATGGGTTTATATGTCATCTATATAGACAGTATTATATTGATAAAAGATTTAGTTTGACAAGTGCCTGTGAATATATGATAGTTTATGACTTTGTTACCGTAACCTTTACAACCTGGTAGTAAATTGTGTTATTGTTTATGACTTTTTATTGTCGATCAACTTTTAAATGAGTTATAAATATGTTAATAGTGCACTTTATTATGTATGAAAAAATACTGAAATTATGGTTATTGATAATTAAATGATGATGATGATGATTAAATGATGATGATTAAATGATGATTAGATGATGATGATGATGTGTAAAACTCAACCACAAAGAATATTGTTGTTAATGATGATGACAATAAGGATTATGTTGAATAAAGGAATGTGATGATGATGGTAATATAAAGTAATAAAAAAAAGTGATAATGATATAAAGTAATAGAAAAATAAGATAAAAACAATACTCATAAATATATGATAATAATAGAAATAATAATATGTAATTTTAGAAAGAGGGTGTGGAGGCCCTGCCAGGGTATTTATCATTACATCAAACTGTGGAAGGCCTCACAATCATGTGGACTCCAAACCAGTTGATGAATGGCTGCTGCGAGGCAAAGGATGAAGATTTAGACAGAAGGTAACTTTGTTACCATGGTAACACATACAAATGTCTGTTGCCTTGGTGACAGATACATAACAATGATATTTTCTGAACTGTACTTTTATCTTAAGGTCACTCATCCATTATGAGCCCATTAGATTTTGTATATTTTGCTACTTTTCATTTGTTTTATGTAATTCAATAAGGTTCTTTAAGACAGAAAACGTCTTGTCCCTTGAAAGCTCTTTAAAGAGTAAATGCATGTTATAGTTTGCTAAATTAATACAAACTGTTGATGGATGAGACATCTTAAACAGAACTGACTGTGCTAAAAAAATTTAATTTTCTGTATTAAATTATATTGTAATAATAGATCTATTACTTAATTGATTATTGACTATATTATTGGTATTGACATATGAGAATTAACAAGGGATGACAACAATTTTTAGATTTTGTACTTAAATCTTTGGCCAAAATATTATGCAAAATATTATTTGAATATGAAATTATGATTTTCTGATCTACAATAATCTATATATGCATTGTACATGTTTCATCAAATTCATTTGATACAGGTTACTCATATTATATGAGATCACCTTTGTGCATTAATGGGTTAGCTCCTATTAAATTATATAAGGAGTTAACCTGTTACTGCAATAAGGCGACAATTGTCATTTTTGTACTTTTGAACCAATATTTAGGCTTAAAAAGACTGTTTGATAGTATTTAAATGTACAAATTACATGTAATTACATGTTGTCATCCTATTATATGTATATAATCTCTATTATTCTGTATATTGTAAGCTTAATGTAATAAAGATGTGCTTTCTGTGATCATATCTGGCACTAATTTAACTGTATCTTGCACCCATACCTCTTTCAAAGTGGAATGGATAATGAGGGAAGTTATCCTTCCTTGTTGCGCTAAAATACCTAGTGGTTTAGTTTGGGCTAAAAAATAGTCAGTGTGGGAGATTAGAATCAATTTGCAGTTAAGAGGGAATTAAATGGGGTTTCACCTTTATTCTGTCCCCACAGTGCTAAGAGCTTTTAGAGCTGTTTTTAGAGCTGTTTGGTTGCCACATGATCATCACTGTTCAGTTTGACCAAAAACAATTCATAGATCTTTTTTTCTCATTTAATGCAATATATTACACAACAAGTAGTGCTTTTTGACAAAACAAACATTTTATTCTTTATATGCTTTGATTGGATCACATGACTTATTTATTGTTTACTGTGTTTTAAAGTGGATGTGTACTATGTTATGCAAATCAGACCAGGGTTTCACCTACAGGTATTAAACGAAGGTATATGGGGGCTTGGACATTAATATAGGCTATACTTGGATGGTGTGAGATTTCTTTGTTTCTACTAACAACTGTGATTCTTATACAATTTGTGGTGCAGGTCTTTAATACTATCAGAAACAATAATTTGTCTGAAGTTGTGTGCTAATTGACTGATGTATCTGAAATATAAACTATACTGTTTCAACCATATTTTTTCTATCATCCTATTCATATATATGCCTCCTCCCTTTGTACCCCCCCCCTTCCCTCCAACTCAATATTTTCATTTATTAACCCCTCCATGCTTGAAAAATGAAAGAATGTCAACTAACAGTCTGTCTATTCAAAATCTATTTTATTCTTTCTGTTAACATAGTTTTACCATATTTGTCTCAAATGAGAGCACTGTTTTGGTGATATGCATTTCCCATGGGGATTGTTGTAGGAGAAATACAGTATTAAGATGTCTGAAAATAAATGATGGAATACAGATGTTTATAAAAGTTCATATTTAAAAGACACATTTTAGATTTACCTCTGGTTACAGTAACTTGGTTTAAGTGGAGATTTATAGTATCTGTCATATGTTGCGGTTCAGATCGGAATGGGCGGGTCCCCTCTGGATGGATATTCCAATCTGAACCGCAAACATATGTTAGATACTTTTTAGCTCGACTATTCGATAAGAATAAGTAGAGCTATTGTAGTCACCCGAGCGTCGGCGTAACCACTTATGTTAAAGTTTTTGTAATAGTTCAAATATTTTCAAAGTCCATTGACATATGGCTTTGAAACTTTGCACACTTGTTCACCAGCATTACCCCAACCTGTAAAAAGGAGGAGGTAACTGTATCAAGCATTTTGACAGAATTATGCCCCTTTTTCGACTTAGAATTTACGTTAGAGTTTTTGTAATAGTTCAAATATTTTCAAAGTCCATTGACATATGGCTTTGAAACTTTGCACACTTGTTCACCATCATTACCCCAACCTGTAAACAGGAGGAGGTATCTGTATCAAGCATTTGTTTTTACTATCAAGCACTAAGAATAGTCGAGCGTTGCTGTCCTACCGACAGCTCTTGTTCCTGCATATTCTACCATATTCCATCATATCTTAAATTCTTTACCTTAATAAAGCAATTTTCCATTGAAATTTATGTTATTACACCTGTAACTATTTTCTTACAACAGCATATGAAATTACAACTTCATTCATTAAGGTGAAATTATGTCATCATAAGCATGCTATTGTATAGCATGCGACTCATCTGGCACCCACCATGCCAGATGAAATTTCCAGCACGAGTTAAACTAACAGAATCACCAGCCTGATATGCAAGAAAAAATGTCACTGGACAGTATCTTACAAAATATGTTTGGTAAATATTAAGGAAATATTTTTATTGGAAAAAATGCTTAATAGACTTGACCTTGTTGCATGGAAACTTGAATAAAATGTCATCATCATAAGATTTACAGTCAAGGCTTTCTAGTTGAATGTTGCTAAAATATGGTTTTAACTAGGAAAACAGAAGTAAATAGTTTTGGATAACAAGAATCGATTAATGTCATTCATGAAAAGTCCAATAGTTTATTTGTTCGATTTTTTTTATACATTATAAGTTTATAAGAATTCACAATATTTCTATAGGGTTTTGGTGTAATATATTTGTAGAGGTGATTGGGAAATTAACAAATTAATATTAACAAATGTTACTAACCAGAAGTATGTTTTCTTTTCACACAACAGTTTTATTATTTAACCATTATAGTTTTAAACAAAACATAATGAAATTTAAAGTGAATCTGGAAATCAACATACAAATGTATGTAAATAAATTTCTAAATAAAATTAATGTTTTGCTGTTGTTAGATTGTTAAGATTTGAAAATGCCATTAATTTTCTAGCATGTTAATTAGAATAGATTTGCCAAGTAATTTCATTGCAGGGCCTAGCTATTTATTATATAAACTACTCTTATTATACTATTTGCATAAATATATCTAGCTGTGAAAATATTGATATATTTGCTTAGATATTATTGTTATATTGATAGAAAATTCATTTGTCCGATCTAAGTTTTGTATTTTTTTCATAATTTTTCAGCATATTATGGGATTATGCCTTGACAATATTCTTAGATGAAATAGTCTACATCCACTGCCATCAGCAACGTAAGTATTTATTTCTCATGGTTCACATTCATTTGTGTATTATTCCACCTGAGTATAGAGTCGGCTACAAGTCTGTAGCCGGCAATTTCATGCAGTCTCTGACCAGGCTGTGTTCAGTAACTATTGGCTGTCAAGTAGAATTAAAAACAGTTGAAAGTTTGTGGTTTTGGCCAGCCTGCATAGCTCAATTAGTTAGAGCGCAAGACTTGTAATCATTGTGAGCTCGATTATTAATACGTCTTTCGGAGGAGACTTTAAATCGAGGTCCTGTGATTAAGTGCTTTAACACTTCACATGTTGAAGAACCAGGAGAAGCTTCTGGAATTTGGCCATCTTTCTGCATCTGTATCTTGCACTATACTAACACTTCTAGAGGACTCACCCATATGGGCAAGCCGTGGCGAGTATATATAAACTAAAATACGCCAGGTACGTATATTAACGGTATCCGCAACTCTATACAGTAAGTCAATAACGGTAAATTATGCTGTCGTGGTAGATAATCCATCCAGACTGCCGATCGTTATTGATTTTTATCGACGATTACATATCATTAAGCGGTGTGATATTTTACCTTGGTTATTTTAAATTACCGTCACACATGTTATTTTCTGTTCAATTTTTTAAAAGTAACATATTCTAGAAAGCTGAAAGATAGATTTTTTCAAACTATATATTTTTATAAATCAGAGCGTTTAGTATGAAGAAAATTACGACGAGTTAAACACAGAGTATTTTGTTTTTTTTGTCTCCCGATTATGTCAAAACTTCAGTAAAAATAATGATTGCCCTCTTCGAACAAATATAAGATTTTTTCGTAAATTTATGGTCCGAATTTTAGCAAAATACCTATCAAAAGGAAAGCTGAGAATTTGATCTTTTTAACCGTGTAATTATCATTTACAAAGCTAAATTATTTCCGGAATTGTAACGAGTTAAAAAACGCAACTTTTACTTACCAGCCAAATCGCGACTGCACACGAAAGAAATTTTATATACATGTAGTAACAAGTTATTATTGTTTCGTCATTTTTTTGCCGAAATTTGTGAAAAATATTTATAAAAAGCTTATAAACTTGTTTTAATTTTTTGTTTTTCAATTTCTATTGCGTATCTTAAATAAATGCGAATAAGATATCGTGAAGAATCACATGACCAAAATCATCTTGCATATTTCGAAACGCAACTTTTACCATATATTTAACTATTAAGCCCTTTATTTTTTTTATTTGAACATTGTTTAAAGAAATGCAGTTATCTATCTATCTATTTTTAAAATGAATAAAAGTAATGATTATATTATTTTCAAACTGCACCAGAAAAGAGCTCTTATAAAAAATGTTCGTTTTCTCAGGTACGTATATTTTTTCTGAAAAACGGGCCTAAACATTTTTGTTATGAAAGTATTGTGAAAAATAAGTACAATTGTACCGTCATAATTGATTTTTTCTGCAGATTCAGTAATTGATTTAATCACGGTTATTAATGGTGCATCTATTTAATTGTTTCAATTGTGATAGTTTTCACACTTTTTCTATCAGTCGGTCCCTGGTTTGAAACTGCTTTTTAGTTGTGGGTAAGGCTAGATTATTACTATATCCAGTTAATTTTTTTATTTATTTAACATATTTGTCTGTGTTGCTTTATACAATTATATTGAGCAAAAAACTGTTTCACCACTACATATGTCAGTATCTTTCAGGTTCTCTTGATTATGAACGTACATTTTTTCGAGAGAATAGACATAAAGGTATTGGAAATAGTCATAGTATCGGGTACCTCCCCTGTAGTAAAAAAAAAATAAAAAAAAGGAAAAACACATTTTATATAAGTTTTTGCCTTTTATTTTATAACTGGATTTACATAAACTTCAATAGCATCGCACTGGCTATAAAATGACTGTTTATAGTGTCTTTCATTAGTGTCACTTTTATTCCCGAAATTTATTTGACACTTCTGGGACTCTCCTGGACACAAGCTGCAAATCTTTGAACTTTTGGGCTGTATCAGCATTCAGTGAAATTGTCGTGCTGATCTACCACTTGAAACCCTTGAAGCACATTTGTTACGATCTGAAATAGATGAAATGACATTTAATATAAATATTTTGTTTTATCAACAGAATAACCATGTACTAATGTTAATATACGTGTCTGGAATAACTAACAAAAAAGAAGTTGAATATAACTTCTGAGTAAATGAAAAAAAAAATGGGGGAAATTTCATCAATTTTCAAAAGACCATAGCATCAAAAATATTCAGTTGAAAATTATAAATAATAACCACACCCCCATTCACAATAATGTAGTAACTAACTTTAAAGCTTTTCATTTGTATTTTCAAGGTCTTTAGATACCTCTGATGTTTGGGCCAAAATAGGTCGTGAATTTATTTTTGCACCGCAAAAATTTACCAAATTTCCTTCAAATTTCACGCCAACAAAAACAACAGATCAGATGATGAGGGAGCCTTAAAAAGTACCAACATTACTTACTTTAATATATTCTAAACCGATTTGTGCAAGTTTAATCAGTTTTCTACAAGTAGGTTAAGCCTGATAACTCTGCAGATTTTATACATGTTCACCCGTTTTTAACAAAGATCCGCCATTTTGTCGATCTCATTCATACAGACTGGAAATTTCCACACCCGATTTACGCCATTTGGAAGCGTAATCTAGTAAAAATACACGTACATAACAAAAACATAAGACTTACCTGTCATTATTTCTTGAGTTTTTTGTGCCGATGCTCGTAAATTAACACTTAATTTACAGATTTTTCATCAACAAAATTTGCTCCGTCCGCCATCGATTAAATTTTTTGGTAGCATGTGCGCATGCGCACGACCGACACGACAGCAATCTCTGTCTAAAACCTTGTTGCGGATACCGTTAATATACGTACCTGAATACGCGCACAATGGTTCTTAACTTCAATCCTATTGATCCAGCAATGCCAGTAATTAGAGAATAACATATTTCACAATATTACGTCTGAGATACTATTTCTGATGTTTCATGTTGATTTATACAAGTCAACACTTACATTATTATCACTTGTCTCCCACGCACTCCATCCTAATAAAGCTACATACAGTAACACTGCGATACCCTGAACCATCATCTGATTGAGTTAAATTTTGATAATTCCTGAGGTGCAAGATTTTGTAGATACATCCATTTTTTATGGGATAACAAGAATTATTCAAAAAGTATTTTGTAGATGGGACAACAAGTTATTCAAAAAGTATATCTGGATACAAAAAGTATGGTTTCATTTGCTTTTCAAAACATATATACTAGAGGCAAATGTAGGTATTCGCAAACCAAGTTTGAAAATATCAAATGACTAATATAATTGGAGATATTGCAAAATTGTATAGATTTTCCAAACAACACTCATATTTTTTGTTGGGAACACCTGAGCATACATGTTATATTACATGAATTGGATTGGTTTGGCAGGTGTATATTTCAGGGGTTTAAGGTTTCAGAGTTCTACTGTATGATACTTGTGTGTCATAGTTTTCACACTTTGTTCTATATAGATATATGACCCTTCACGATTCTAGCATATTACCTTAAAGGTAAATAAAAAGGTATGTGACACAAAACGGTAATTGATGTCATTATGTCATCATAGGATGTTTCAAAATAAAGATATTGTGTTGGTGGTTGAACTGGTAACTTCAAGTAAATTCAAGTGATTAAAATAATGTGACATTCCCATAGACGAAATTGTATGTGACTTTGTTACTATATAATTATAGTAACATAAGAAAGAGAACAATAATAATCATCTTGGTTAACTTGTATTGATTATTAATATCAAGTTATTGTCAATGTGAGAGAAGTTAAAAAATCTAGTGGAGCCAGTTTTGATCAAAGTATTAGATCCATTTAAAATTGTATTGAAATACACACTTCTTAACTGATTTAAAACATGTCGATTAAGTAAATTTATTGCCAAGTTCTCTTCCTCCACTCAATGGGGGAATATTGTAAAATATGTAAATTTTTTGTAAATCTATATATTTTCAGCTGACTGTCGTGGAACAATTGTTCTGGTTGGCCAGGATGGTGTACAGCGCCCTCCTATCCATTTTCCCAAGGGAGGGCACTTGTTGGCTTTCTTGTCATGTTTGGAAACAGGGTTACTTCCCCATGGCCAGTTGGATCCACCATTGTGGTCACAACGCGGTAAAGGTAGATTCTATATTTATAAATGAAGAAAACACCTGAGAACAACTGTGGTAATGACACATGACTATTAGACCACTGTAATGTGTTAGTTATACTGTAGGTGAAAAATAGTCTAAAGTCAAAGCTAGTGTGAATGTTTTGAATATTTCAATTCCTTTTTTTTTTTTTTTGAAATTCATTTCTTTTCCTGTTTTTTTTTTTAACTAATTTTTAATGAATTTATTAAAACATGTTTATTTTCCTCGTCATTGGTAAGTGTTTAAAGAAAATATTGGTTCTCTTATGAATGAACTTCTAAAATTAAATGGTTTTTTTTTTTACACAAATCTAGTTAATATATTATAGCTCTATTTAGAATTCTTACTTAAACAGTTGTTAAAAAGTTGTTTTCTTTGATACAAGGTGAAGGATTGTATTGTAGATTAAAAGCAGAGATTTATTAACTTATTTTATTTCATGTAACTGTTCTGGAAGGGTAAAGATGGTTTTATGGCAGTTCTCAGTAGTGGATGTTACATAGCTTAATGGAGATTACTGACTTCAAATCCCTTGCCATGTGCAGTTGTGCGTTAGAATCCTGGCAAGGTTGAATTGTCATGGAATGTCAATGGCTCTTATCAGATGCAAGGCTGTCCCTGAAATAGTGCCATAGTTCTCTCTCCGCCAGTAAAGCCCAACATTTGCAATCCTAGCTTAAAAGCGCCGTTGTGACTTAACATTCTCCCACCTTCCCCCTACCCCCCCCCACCCACAACACATGTTCAATAGAAAAATTGATCATAAAAAAGTAAATTAACATGATAAAACTTTTTATATGACTAGGTAAAGTATTTCCAAAGTTGAAACGTAAAGGCAGCAGATTGTCAAATTTATCGTCAAGTAGCAAAGAGGGCAGCACCAGTTCTACATCAAGTGCAAGCACCGACCTTGAGGAGGAGGCTACCGATTACGTGTTCCGGATTGTCAAGGTGTTCAAACCAGAAAATATACGTAAGTTGTGCAGTTAATATAAACTTTATTTATTTTGAAGTAAGCATTGTGAACTGAAAATTTGTTTTGACTTTTTCAGTACTAAAAAAAAACCTGAGTTATGTACTGTACTGTATGGCAATTAAAATTTAATTTAGATATTTGATTTTCAGCTAGGTTAATGCTTTGATCTCATTCCTTCATTTGGGCCCTACTTGATATATATCACACACCAGTGCCACTTTTGCGACTCCAAAGAAGTGGTATTGTAGGCCGTGCATATATTTTGATGTGACGTCATTTGCGTTATATATAAACAAAGCTTTAAATGGGCTAAATATTATCATTAAACTAAAGGCAAGTCAATAAAAAAAATGGTACTTTTTTTGCTACAAACAGTCTTTATTTTTCGTATGTGATAAACAGAATATTAAATTCATGTAAGTTCAAAATTAAGTTCAAAGTTAAGTGAGTAAGGGGATTTGTTCTGGAGGTAACTTGAACTGTATAAGGTTTTTCTAAACTAATAAAAGCAGAAAGTAGCCTTAAGATTATTCAAGACTCTCTGAAAAATAAATCAAAGCATTTGTCCCTTGAAAATATAATTTTATACATTTGCAGCACCGGAAGTGTTAGATCCAAAAGCCAAATTTCGCCCAGCAGATCTGTTACCATGGGCTCTCACAAGGATACCAAGAGGTCCAAGCCCGCTCGCCCGAACATGTAAAAAACCTACGAAGGGACAAAAAGAGCAAAACAACACTGCTTAACACTTTGGGAAGTCCCCAAAGGCAAGGGTTTAATTCATTATCATCACTCTCATTGGTTTTTTTTTGTAAAAAACCATAATCTTAATTTTTCCTGGACTTAAAAACGGAAAATTGTCCCATGTAGGGGGAAATTGCCCTAAATCAGTCGGAAGACATCCGTGAATGTCCCCCAAATCAGTCTGGGAATTATGGCTTGTATGTACAAAACTTACCCAACTTCACATTTACCAAATCTTTCTCACTCAAGGTTTTGCATGCATTATCGTCATCTCAACCCTTACCACTTTAATATCTTAAATGGACTTTCCCATTTTTTTCAATTTTCTAGACAAGCCATTTATATTTTTGGGGGAAATTTCAGAATTACTAAAAGAAATTTGTTAGTCAGGGTGGGAGACTTTGATGGTTTGGGTTATCTTGGTCTGCACGGGTCAAAAGTCTAATCTTTTCCCAGCAGGTTTATTTAAATTAAGTTTTATTTTTTAAAAATGATTGAAACCCAAAAAGGTCAAATTAAAATTGGGCTTAAGAAAAAAATTCAACATTTTTTAAACTTAAATTTTTAATCTTCTGTATTTTCTCCCTGTAAACCTTTCCTCCATTTCTAACTTGCTTTATATTCAGTTTTGTTTTTCTGAGGGAGGTAAATATTGTTTAAAGGGTTATTGAATGTTCTCAATGTTTAAAAAAAAATAAGCCACAGAGATTGATTAAAATACAAAGTAAAGTGATTTTGTTACTCTTTTTGCTTTACAATTAAATATGTTGACAATTTTCTGCCATAGAAAATTTGAACAATTTCCGTTTTTGGAGTGGATTATAAGGAACCTAGATTTTCACTCTGAAAGTCTGAACAATTTGTTTATAAAGTATTTTCCCAGCATGCTTTCTGTCTAAACCTCCCTGCTCTTAGTTCTTCTGAATCTTACAATTATTATTCCAAACATCTTAAATGTCAGATGAAGTAAATTATGGTGGATATAAAACATTCATAAATGTAACATGCAGACACTCAGGTACAGCCATTGAACTTTGAATATTGAAAAATGACAGATTTATGTGTAGGCCTAAAAGACAGAATTTCTGCCCACACATATATCTAATTATACTTCTATAAAATGATTTATAAATATATGATATATGGCATTTTCAAACTAGGAAATTACTTTGAATTATTAAAATGACACGGTGCAAAAAAAAATTTTCTCATTTATCTGATAATTATAAATTTGCTATGCCCTAGCAACAAGGAAAATAACATTGAAGGGAAACTCAAAAGTCGGGTCAAAATTTAAAGGGAGAAGCTTTCAAAAGGGTCACAATCGAACTAAAACAATGTTTTAAAGATTTTTGCTCACCAAAAAAATGTGGTTTTACCCACACGGGCCGCAATCCTTACATTAAGTCCACCAAATTAACCACTCGGCCCCCACCGCCCCACAAATTTTTCCTTGTGATTTGCCAGAATTTTCATCTTTTTTCTAAAATCTAACATATGGGCAGAAAAGCTGTTTGAAAAGATTATGATCTAAAATTTGAGAAAAAAACACACATGAACCTTTAAAATGTTTTTCATTATAATTTTTTTTTCCCTGTTATGTAGTTTGTAATATAATTAGGAAAACAATAAAACAGTTGTGTGATACAATGAGGAAACAGATCATATCTAGAGCATTCTACGGATGTAAGTTCTAATATTAGGTCTGATTAATTGATGAAATTACATGCAAGATACATGACTAGTAGTTTAATTTTCTTGCATATCAGACCGGTGTTTCTGTTAGTTTTACACATGCGGCATGGAGTTTGCCAGATGAGTCGCTTGCTATAAAATAGCATGCTTATGATGGCGTTATATTGCCGTTATGAATGAAATTGTAATTTCATACGCTTATCTAAGACAAAATGACATAAATTTCCATTGAAAAATTGTTTTATTAAGGTAAAGAATCTAAAATATGATGGAATATGGTAGAATATGCAAGAAAAAATAATCTGACATGTTTGTGGTTCAGATCGGAATATCCGTCCCTAGGGAACCCTTGTGACAGATATTCTGTTCTGAACTGTAACATATGACAGATATTATTAATCCCAGGTCATCAAAGCTAGTTCAAAGATTCTGCCCTCTTTAAATGTCATTTTATCAAACATTTTAAGTAGCAAAACTAGAGGCTATTGTATAATATCCCCCAAGAACCATATACTTGGAAATCATCTATAATTTTGTTTTGATAAGAGGTAATCTCAGTGTATAATAGGTTTTGCTTTCATCTGGCTTGTGGTGTGATGAGTATGGTTTTAAGTCTCACCTACATTGTTAATTTCTTGTTAAATGAAAATTATCCATTGATGGATTAAGTTGCCAGGGGCCTGCCCCTTTATGTATTATCTCAGAAAAGGGGAGGTACTTGGGTAGTAACCAGAAAATTTGGTAAACTAGCTGTATACTATAGCTTTCATTTTTGGAAAGGATTTGTTATCTGTGAATGCAGAACTTGAGTGACAAGTGTTTTGAAGGTGGCAAGCTGAACCACAAAGTCAAAGAGGTCTTTATGAACCAGATAAGATGTTGCAATGAATGTAATGCCATAAACATGAATGCTCTTTTTATTACTGTTTACATTCTTTTGAGTGGAAAAGACTGACTGTTACACATCTACAATACACATTTGGTCATTTCTCAAATTAAGTTTTGAAAGCTTGTGGTATTATTGATTTAATTACCAAGCCCAGCAGTATAGAGCCAGCCCAGTCTAGACTGTGTATGTGTGACTAGCTCAACAAGTTAAAAACTTTATACCTAGTGGCTATTTCAAGTATTGTGACAGCAAGATACCTGCATTCAAAAATAATGATTATTCCAAATTTGAAATAGGATAAAACCATTACACATGTTTAGCATTTTAAGGTATAATGATTTATTTCAACTTTAGGGCTAGCTCACTGTAGACACTTGAAGACTGTGAGAACACATCTCTCCGGGCTGGTTCTCCATAGAATATTCCCTGTCGATCAACCTTACGATGCTTCTAAGGGTCTTACAGAGGAGGTCTGGTCACAGATGGGTAAATTTGGAACAGTAAGTAGAATTTAATAGCTGAATGTTTCTATGGAAAATTGCACATGTTGATATTACAACATCTTAATGAAATATAAAAACATGCTAATTTAATATTACAACATGCTAATTAAATATCAAAACATGCTAATTAAATATTAAAACATGCTAATTCTCTGAATGTTTTATGAAAAACTACATGTGCATGAATGCATAAACATTTTCCAAACTGCCCAAGTGCATTTCTGTTGAACACTTCAATTACAATTGTGTAATACTAAAAGTTTACCAGTGTAACCTTAACAGAACAGCACTCTGTGAAGCGATGACGTTTTTACAACAATATTGAACAACATTTTCATTACGACCTTAAGTAAGACCACATCAATTCTACCTTAATTAAGACCGCAATAAGTTTTAACCTCCCCAAGACCAATACCTCTTAGCAACAACCAAAATCTTTGTCAGTCACAGGGTGTTGCTACACACAGGTTGTACTGTATACGTACTAGCCATTAACCCTTCCACTGCTGGCACTGGAAATGACTAGCCTTTACCACCAGTATAGATCCAGGCCAGCCTGCACAGCTGTAGGGAGAGCAATATGTGGTTAGTTATCTAGAGGTTACAGGTTCAATTTATAAGGAAGGCAAAAATCTTTACTGTGACCAATTGACCTCGGACATTGGGTCTAATGGTCATTTGTCTGAAAAATTAAGTTGGATTAGTACATGTAGTTGGTCACTGGCGTAGAAATTGGTAATTTCTGATAAGTTATCCAGGCAAGCCAGTTTAAGATTGATCAAACGGCATGGTATGACAAAAAAAATGTGTTAAAATAGAAAACAAGCAATTATTTTCATGTAATGTTGTAATAAAGTGGATTTAATTTGTGACATTTTCAGGAAAATAGTGTCAGTTTTGCGGAAAACCATAAATCAAGATGTTTTCCATCCTAATTAAATGCTATAAAAGGAATTCACCTATTGAAATGTAAACACATTGACATTTCATGTTGGATTTTAAATTTAGAAAAACCAATAATTGATGGCATTTTAAAATTTTTATCAAGAAATATTTATATAATGTAAAAAATGGATCATTTTATTTTTGTCCATAATTGCCATGCACATTTCTAACCAAGATTTAATGATCCACTATCTTTTGAGATTTTTGTGTTTTTTTTTGAAGGGGGGTGGGGGTGGTGTTGGTTCTGCCCTTTCAATATTTAGTAGGGTTTGCAGTTGGTAAGGTCAAGGTCTCAGAGATTGAAAATATCTATAGAGCTGTTACACCCTCTCCACCTCAATTACTTGTAATAGGTCCATATGAGTTTTATATTGAAGTTAAGTAAGTTTATTTTATCATCTATTTTGCTCATTACTTACCCATGTTATAAGCTTAAAGGAACTCCACTGATGTCCAAAGGCCTAAAAATATACAATTTGAAAATCTTAAAAATATCAAGTGGAACACTTAAAATGGTAAAATCTGCAAAAGATTACAAAGAAATATACTAAGAATTTAATTGAAAATTAATTTTCTTTGCTTTTCTTAGCCTGATTTGAGTGAAAAGCAATGCAACACTTTTCATTTTCTGGTCATTTTGCGCAATAAAAATGATTATTCTGAAAAAACAGAAGGAGGGAATGAATTTAAAATTTGCATACAAGTTATAAGCCCATATCTTCATCAAATTGTACACCAATCTCGGGAAAATGTTTCCAGTCCCGACACGTTAAAAAACCTCAGTGGAGTCCGTTTAACAAAACTGGGTCGGCAAGCAACCAGCTGTATACTGTAAAATATATTTTTGTTTTATTACAGGTAACTGGTTATCCAGAAGTATTCAGACTTGTGTATTATGGTGGTATAGAACATAGCATCAGGAAAGAAGTAAGTTGTTGTTTTTATTCCAAGTTGTTTTTAGTGTTTATATGTTGAAATTGTCTTAAACACTTGCCGGGACAAAAGTAATGATTTATAATCTCAACCGAAACTAGCCTGTGTTATATTAATTTTAGTAGTGTGGAGCAACCTGTTTTATTTCAATATTTCTGTACTTTGATATTGAAACTGTGTCAGTGGAATGGTGGTTCAGGTCACTTGGAGTCACTTGCACATCAGTGGCTTTAGATTGAAATCTTGCTAGAGAATTTGGATTCTTTTTAGCGAGAAAGCTTTTTTTCCGCAAGCTTATGAAAGGTTGATGGTTCTGTACAAAAAGCTTTTGAGGTCTTCCTCCACCAATAAAGTTGGAAAGTCTCCACATGACAATTACAGTCTTGGTGTGATCAAACAAAATAGATACATGAGATATGAAAACACATTTCATTTGAAATGGTCTTTCAGTGGCAATGCATATTATGCTTTGAAATAACTTATGATAAAGTTCTATATTTCAAGCTTTCATGGTTTCATTTCATATAAATGTTTGAAGCTTGAAATTGAGTTAAAGTTGCAATGTTATATCTTATAATCATTCAGGTGTGGCCATATTTGCTTGGGCATTACAAATTTGATAGCACTCCTGAGGATAGGGACTATCTTGATAAGAAAACACAAAATCTGTATGAACGGACAATGTCGGAATGGTTAGCTGTAGAAGCTATCGTTAAACAAAGAGAAAAAGAAATAATGGCAGCTAATTTAGCTAAAATGTCTTCTGAAAGCACTGACGGAAATATACCATTAGTGCGGAAAGATTCTAGTCTTGATAATGATGTGTTCTTATCTCAGAGTTTTGACTCTGATGAATTTTCTCATCCGGACACAGTTCCGGAAGAAAGTAGTGCCACCGGAACTACTTGTTGTACGCCAGACAGGAAACAGAGTATGGATTTACATTTTGAATTGAGTGATAAGATTATGCAGACTGATTCTTTCTCTGTGATTGAGAAACGTGAATATTTAACGTCGTACACCACAGACAGTCCGGATGACGGGTTAGGAGACTCCATAGCGCGAATAAGTTCACAGGAACGTCTGAAATTAGATTCGGCTGGTGATTCTGAAAGCACAGATATTTCTAAATTTGACAGGGATTGTAGTATTGAACAGCAAGGAGTAACAAAGTTTTCAGCCGGAAGTTCCGGTGTTGAGGAAGATGCTGATAATGAAGCAGACGACGAAGGAGGTGATGAAGATGATGGGGACGAGGAGGAAGAAATGGAACAAGATGAGACGGAAGAAGTAATGTTGGTAGCACAGGAGTCTGTAGAGAAAGATGAGGATAAAGCCTCACAGGTTACAGTAATGGTTGATGGGGGAGAAACACCTGTGGTTGATGGTAAGTTGTTTTGAATAAGTGGAGATTTATTTTTGTAAACAATTTTAAAGATTTCTTAAAAAGAAAATATAAGGTCTAGAAGCCTTGCTCATCATTTTTTATAAGAAATGTTTTAACAAATTGGGCACTTGGTAGAAACATTTTGCAAAACTTTTTATCACTTTGTATTGAAACTGTTAAATAAATATAAAGATGTACAGCATGACAACCACTGAGTCACTTTAACTTTGTTCAACTACGGTATTTGACTTCAAATCACTTGACCCTTACTGTTGTGGGTTCGATTCCCACAAGGGACCTTGGATTTTTTCATGTGAGAAAACTAGCCAACTAGATATGTAATATCGATGGTTCTATTCAGGTGCCTGTTCATGGCTGAAAAATTGCACAGAGAGGCACCTAAGTTGTTTCTCTACCAGTAAAGCTCTAAAGTTGCCATATGACCTATACTGTGGTGGTGCGACTTTGAAACCAACCAAAAAAAGAAGAAGAGAAAAAAAGCCTCGTATTTTCAGTGTGTTTCAGGCATAGTGACATACAGCTGTACTATTGTCTGTATATTACAAATCAATCTTGTCCATTTATTCTTATCTCGCAATCATTCTTCATATGTAATTATGAGATTATATAGTTATTTCATTGATGTTTTTTATTTGAACAGAACGTGTCCGACAGCTATCGACTTCCAAAGAGAGCCTGATGTCCCCGGCCTCTCCAGCATCCAATGGTGGAATTTATTCTGTAAGTTTGTAAAACATGTCTTTGTTGTTGTTTGTTTTACTTGGCATGATAGTTTTGGTTCTCTTTGAAAGGAAGTTGAATTCTGCTAAAGCTGGTGCTAGGATGCATGGACAGTAGATTGCTTTTACCACTACTGTCCATGAACAAGCTCAATCATGTGTCAATCAAACCTGAAACATTTTCAATTTTGCCACTTTGGTGTAGTTAAGAGACTCTGTTTCCCTCTATTTTAATGGTCTGTACTTCAAGATAAATATTTCTCTTCATCAGAATGAGAGGGGGCAAAATCAGAAGGGTGCTTGATAAATTTTAAATAGATGTTTTCACCACTAAATTTGTTAAATTTTCTAGGTTGAAATTCTTGAAGTTTTATTTTTTGTTTAAAATATGGATTTGCAAATAATGTAGAAATTAGGTGTCAATATTCATCCTCATTTAAACCACAAAATTCATGAATATTTGTCTCTAGGAAGTAATAAAAGGTTTTAAAGTTTTAGAATTCTCCTGGAATTGTGAAAAGTGTGGTTTTGTGTTTAATGACATTTTTGGCATGACATTTAAAAGCAATTATTGGAGGAAGTTTTTTATTGTCTTTTCTGTTAGTGAACTTGTCTCTTGTATTATGATTGAATTTCTTGAGAGAAAGATAAAGATTTAAAGTACATGTTTGTTATTAGTTATAAAGATTTTTGACAGGTTATATGGCCCTATATAAACAGTTGTTTAAAATATAACCTGAGCTGCTAGGTGAGGGTTATATAGCAAACAACCATTTATATATGGTCATAAAACTTGTCAGGAATATTTAATGTATAAAAATTTTATAATACAGCAAAAGAAAAAATTGAGATTTATTCATAAATTGACAGCAGCCATGTATATAAAACTATATAAACGCTATGATTATCCAATGACAAACAACATTACAAAAGTGCAGTATTATAAACATGTTTATTAACCCTAACCATGCTTTATATCATAAAAAGACTTGTCCATCTTTTAATGTGAACAAAACCATTTTTCAATGGGGGGTGGGGAATTTAAAATAAATACTGCCTGAATCATGGACAGTGCAGACCATGATCAGATGACACAGATCTTGACCTGCACTGTTTACATTGGACCTACATGCCATAATGTCCTGGATGTCCTGGACTTCCTGGAAATTAGCCTAAAATTTCTGGCTTGTATGACATTGAGTAAGTCCAGTAACCACCCTCAGGCTTAGAGTTTAGCTTTTTATGGTATTGGAATGATTTTAGTGAGGGTTAGAACCATTTAACTTTCCTCCCAGCATAGTGTCAAAGTCCTTGCTAGGCCCAAGGGATAGGGGTATGGCTACAACAAACAAATAAATTTATTGTAAATTTAAGAGTTAATTCAAGTAAATGTTTTAAAAACTTTGTACATATATATTTAATGTATGAAAGGTAGCATTCTGTCCTTTATTCTGGAATTCATGAGATTAAGCCCTACTTATGTCAATACCCTGAATTTTTAAAATATGGCGGCAGTACTGGTTAGTTCCAGGAAAAACTTACTCTATGATATAATCTCACAATAGAGCTTCTTAAAGCTATTAAAAGGATATACCAAAACCATCTGACACTTGATTTTTGGATTTGCTCTGCTTTGAATTTGGAACAGTCCATTTGAAGTGTAAGGTATTTTAAAACCAAAATACAAAAATTGAGCTAACAGCAGTAGACTTAGCTAGATAGTCTTTCTGCTAATTTCACAGTGATCACTTCACAGGGATCACTTTGTTTCCAGGTTTATATACTTCACAACAGCAGGTGTCATGTGCTGCATGGCAGCTGTAAAAAGTTGCCCCGTACTTCACTTCAATGTTGTTATATTTTTCTGGTCCTTCAGGATCATTGATACCTGCACTATTAAGTGTTGAGAATTGAGTTCCGCTCAAGCCAGTGCTAGGGGGCATGAGGGATGTTGCACTTATTCATTATCCCTCATGTACAGACTCAATCAAACCGAGTCTGCAATTTTCATGTAATTTTGTTGTGATTAATGCTTCAGAGGTATCACTTTGTTTCCAGATTTGCTCTATACTGGTGGCAAAGGTAAATCACCTTTGGCTCCAGCCAGTGCAGAAAAACATTCAAATCATACAAACATGTACAAATGCAGTGAAATACGTGCCAGAATGCCTTTTGATAGTTATTCAATGTAATATCTTGTTGAGGAATACTTTTATACTTAATAATTCAAAGATATGGGCGTAGCAGTTTTTGGAAGTCTAAATTGGTGTCTTTTAACTCATCCAGCATTATATTGTCCATTTCTTCTGCTAACTTCACAGTGAAAAGACCCTTCCATTTCCCAGCTTCAACTGAAATGTTCATAGGTAAACAGCAACAGTTTAATCATATCAGTGCAGTAATAGATTAACTCTTATTATATTGCATTAGGTGTTAACCCGTTACTGCACTAAGGTGACAAACTGTTCCGTTTATACATGTTTTTAAGATGCCAAGAAATTTCTTTACAAGCTTGTTTTTGTTCAAGAAATCAAAATATAACTTGGTTGCCGTTACTTGCACATTTGAAACAAAGTTCACTATATTTTCTAAAATAAATGACTAAATTAGGTTAGTGGCAGCCCCTTACAACTGTGCTATTGGTTCAAATTTTGAAAATGAACTTATTGAAATTATGATCTGACAAAATCAAATTTTGAAAGTCTGCAATGTGAACTTATTAAAAGTGCAAAATAAAAGTGTCTGCTAATTACTTACAGAATATTTCATTATAATCATGGTCATTTTCCGTATGGTGTAATTTTCTTCGTTTTTGTTCAGGTTGCTCGGACTCTTTTCTCACTGACATACACACTGTACAGATCTTGACATAATTTTTGTCAATGTTGAGAAATTGGCACAGTTTAGATATTTCTTGTTCAAAGTCCTGAAATGTATTGTAAACATTTGAAATAATTCTTTAAGTATCATGTGTAAAGAATGTCATTTTTATGCCCCCGTCTGTCCGTAGAGGTAAACCTGAAACAAGTTGGATTTTTCTCAAGTTCTATCTATACCAATGGCTTCATACTTTACACACTCACTAATCAACACAAAGTACATGATCTGGGCAAGTTACATAACTATGACATCCATTTTTACCAAGGTATTGCCCTTTTCAGCACTTAGAAAAACCTAAAACGCAAGTTGGATATACATGTATCTTAAGTTCTATCTAAACTAATGGCTTTATAATTACCACACTTACTTGTCAATACAAAGTTTATAACTGTGCCATCCATTTTTCCAAGTTATTTTCCTTTTTATCACTTTGCAAATAGGGCCTTGTATTTTTAACCTATTCCGGCAAGTTGGATTTATATTAAATTTCTCCAAATTACTTCATTTATTTAATGATATTTTTAATATTTGGTAGGTGGATACCTTAAATGGAATAAATGGGATCTCTAGAGTCAAGGTCAAGATGACTGGTGTAAAAAAACAAATTTAAACATTTTGGCTCATACAGCCTTTATTTTTTAGTTGATGTCATTCATGTTTAATACAAACTGCTAAAGGAGGTCCTCTTCCTTTAGTTTAAGTTGGGGGTCATTTGTGTCAAGGTGAAGGTCACCAATGTCAAAAATAGATGTGTACTTTTTTACAGGTGTGTTTACCTTAACCATTGACACTGATGTCTCTTATATTTGGTAGGAACATAAAATTGTTGTCTTTTTCTTCGGAGTTAGGGGTCAGTTGAGTCAAGGTCACCAGTCCTAGAAATAGATTTTTACACTTTTACTCATACAACCTTTATTTCTGGACAGATGTCTTTCACACATTTGGTAAAACAATTACTTAACAGGTATTCTTCCTTCTGATTGAGCTAGGGGTCAGTGGGTCAAGGATACCAGTGCTAAAAATAGATTTTTAGCTCGACTTTTCTATGAAAAGGGGAGCTATCCTACTCGCCCCGGCGTCGGCGTTAGCGTCGGCGTTGGCGTCACACCTTGGTTAAGTTTTTCGTACCACCCCACTTTATTTCAGAAGTATTACAAGTATGGCTTTGAAACTTACCATACTTGTTCACCATCATAACCTCCATCTACAGACAAGAGTACATAACTCTGTCAAGGTTTTTGACAGAATTATGGCCCTTTTTTGACTTAGAAAGTGTATTGAGCTTGGTTAAGTTTTTTGTACCACCTCACTTTATTTCAAAACCATTGGAGGTATTGCTTTGAAACTGACCATACTTGTTTACCATCACGACCTTCATCAACAGACAAGAGGACATAACTCTGTCAAGGTTTTTGACAGAATTATGCCCCTTTTTGACTTAGAAAATACATTGAATATGGGTAAAATCCACTTATTGCCTTAACCCTTTGAGATATTGCTTTGAAACTTTTAATGCTATTTCACATCATTACCCCCATCTGTACGCAAGAGAAGGTAACTCTGTCAAGGATTTGTTTTAAAAATTAAGGCCTTTTATCGACTTAGAATCTTGGTTAAGTTTTTAGTACCAGTCCACTTTTTGACTGAACTGTTTGAGATATTAATTTGAAAGTTGGAATACTTGTTTACAATCATGATTCCCAAACATGTCCAGGAGAAGGTAATTCTGTCAAAGATTTTATTTGAATTATGGCCCTTAACTGTCAATGTTTTGTATTATAGGCAAGCACTAAAAAACTTTGCTGCAGTGTTCAAGGGTATCACACAATTCAGTAAAATAATTCTTCACTAAATATCTTAATGCTCATGGCCATTGTTCACTTTAAAAATACAGAGATTCTTGTATTGCCTTTTACTGCAAAAACTTTTTTTATTGGCAAGCAATAAAAAAGTCGAGCGCGCTTACCTTACCTTACGGACAGCTCTTGTTATACTTTTCCTCATTCAGCCTTTATTTATTGACAAATGTATTTCATATTTGATAGGAAAATAACATGCATGGTATTCTTCCTTTTAATGGAGTTAGGGGTCAGTTGGGTCAAGATCATTAGTGCTAAAATAGCTTTTTATACTTTTGCCCATACAGCCTTTATTTATTGACAGATGTATTTCATATTTGGTAGATGATACTCTGTCAAGGTCAAGGATGCCAAAAATAGATTTCTTCATGTTTGCTTATACAGCCTTTACTTTTTGACTGATGTTTTTTTACATTGGTAGGATGTATATAAAACATTAACGTTAATCAAAAACCATTTGACAATTGATTTTTAAAAGACCAGAATATATCAGTTACGAAGATTTTTTTAAAAACTATTTATGCAGCATAAAGGCGGGGAGGGGGGGCGTTTTGTGTACTCTACAGCGACAGCTGCTTTTTGTGCCTTAACAGGTGGATAAAACCTCATTAAACATAGAATACATACATAGAGCCTGATCAGACTGCCCTTTCTTACAGGCTTGTCTATTAATTTATTCATGAGAGTGTGAATGTAAAAGGCCATACCGTTACAAGATCATCAAAGTATATAAGGTGTAGATTTGATGTAGGATGCTGTGATAAGAAAGTACTCCAGTCTCTTGTATGCTGGCACCAGTTTCCATCTGAAATAGTGAGAACATACTAGTGCTGAGAAACTTCACAGCAAGGAAATCTCATTTTTCTGTCAGTTTTGACCTGTCATCGAAAATTAACATTATGGTTTTGATTGATGTACAATGATACCCCTGTCAATAAAGAAATAGATTTATATTAAAAAGAATAATTGGATTGTGAATACTATTAGTTTAGTTTATACAAATTTATTTTAGTTTGATTGTGTTGGAAGCTTTAAGCTTATTGAAACACTCTCGAATCCGTTCCTGGAACCAACCAGTAGTCTAAGCAATAAATGTAAAGTTTCTTGCTCAAGGAAATATCGGCTTGCCCCTGACAGGGTTTGAACCCATGCGGACAGCAATCCTTAGATTACTAATCAGACGCGTTAACCACTCGGCCACGCTGCCACCCTAACATGGTTCATTCATAAAATGCACTAAAATTGCGCCATTGTATAGCACGCAACTCATCTGTCACCCCAACGCCAAGTGAAATTTCCAGCATCTGTGAAACAAATCATGAAATGGAAACGCTAGTGGACATATGCAAGAAACTGTGATATAAATAAACACATACCTGGCAGCCCATTAATGAATCTGATCAAATAGTCGCTTAAATAAGTATCATCATAATCATCAGAATTTCTGTAAAGTGTACCAGCGATGTCTTTTGGGTTTCGGACAACATATACAATTTTGGTGGATTGACTGATGTTAAGATGTGGATATTCTGATGGAAGGAGACCCTCACAGAATGTAATATTAGGTATCGTGTTCTCCGGGGTAACAGGCAATGCGCAGGTACAAAGCTGGACTAAGGTTCTATGGAGGTGATCCACAGCTGAAATATATACGTAGTACTGTATAAATCGTTTATTTTGCGACATGGAAATATTGGCGTTTTTTTGTAATAAAACATACTTATTTAAGCTCAATTGCAAAACAAGCTCTTACAACTTATATTAATCGTTTTCGAGTCCACTTCCTTGAACCAACCATTACTGGTGTCATATGATGAAACATGGTCATGACCCTAAAAGGGCTCAAACCCGTGATCTCTGGGTTGAGAGGCAGTCAATAATTGAGCATCATCAACTTTAGTAAAGTCTGCGGAGGCCATTCATCATTTTACCATACACCGATGACTTTGTAAACATATCCTGTTAAAAATAACTTCTTGCTAAATTCAAACAAACACATAACATAATTTAATGCTCATTTTTGCACACTGTCATCAAACAAATTATGTTATCAAAAGTGAGCTAATATAACGGGAGTTCTGGAAACCGTCCTTTCGCAAATATTTCAGCACGCAAAAGTCCGTTTTTGGACATTTGCAAACTTTTTGTGATGTAAAAATATTCACTTTTACAGTAATTATAATATTATCAGTAATTTTTTCATACAATTAAGCACAGAATACAAGCTGAAATATAAAAATGTGATTTGTACACATTATGATCAGATCAAATCACTGGATGGTAGTTACATAAATTGTTGTGCTTTAATCATGATGAATTGTTTTGTTCTGTTTTTGCCGCCTTCTGTTACCATATTTGGACAAGTGACTACAAATTCCATATTACATAATCATGATGCGTATGATCTCCAGATTTTGTTTTAAAGGCCCAATATAATTATTATGGCAGATATGGTTTTATTTTTATTTCTCAAAAAGCTTTATAATTATATTTAGTATCCTGTTAACAGTTTCTATAATGATACTCATTGGCCAATTACCTGAACCAATTCTTTTGCTTGACTGTTACTATCTGGCAATTAGTACAATTATATTGATTTAGTAATTTGTATGGAAGTCAAAATACTTACCGGTAACTAACTTTGTTTACATCTAAATACTATTAAAAAAATTGACAAATAATTTCACTTCTAGTGCTACTTTCATCATGTAATAATTGAAGTATCTAATGTGCTTTCAAACCGTTATTTAAATTTTAAATGAGTCGTGTTTGCTTTTTCTGAAGAATAACAAATTTATTCATCTCTGAGGCATAATGGGCCTTTAAGTACATCACAACATTTATGATTTTCAAATTACATTTAATTTAAACTTCTTGCTGTTGTAAACATATGTGTTCACTATTTAGTGAGAGTACCTGAGTCCTTTTTTGAATTTTTTCCCCTAAATATGATGAATGGTTTTATGCAGATTGAAAGATAGACAAGAATAAATTAGATTTATAACTCCGTACATATCAAAGCTTATAGATCAATAGATAATATAATATACAACCTGAATATTTGTACCCAGTTACTAAAATATCTGACGGTCCTGATGATCCTGATGAATTTAATAAATCCATGATTGAATGATGTCTTTGCTGGTTTACCAATAGGAGATATGTGTGCAGTTATTAAATGGCAGAATTATTTCAAAATATTTTCTGTATGAAGTTAGGTTGCGAAACACGAATATTCTTAAGTCCAGTATTTTTGTCATGTGTATATATAGAACTGTAAACCTGAGATATTGATTCTACAGTAGATCAATAGTCAACTTAACCAAGTTTATATATGGCTATATACATGTAATTGCAGATCAAACAGCTATATATTGTATATAGGATTCAAAAGTGTAATTTTATTGATATTTATACATTTTGTATAATGCAATACTAGCAGGAAATTTTGTCATTGTGAAGAACTTCATTTTATATAATTTTGATAATTTTGATACAATGTTTATTTAGGTTTTTTTTGTTAGTTTAAGAAAAAATTAAGCTTAAAATCAATTAAGTTTTATTAGTTTAGATTATACTATAGTTAAATATAACCCCAGCCTGGGTTAAGGGATTACAGACAAATGTTTAGATGGGTTTAAAGGTACTGATCCTGCGGTCTGTCAATTTACAGTAGGATCAATGTGGAGTGGCACCGGTCTAGCAGGGGATATGTTCAACTTGCAGTGACTGTCCACATAGGGCAGGTTTAGGGCCTTTAACAGAAGTTGAACTTAAAAGTCAAAAGTCCTTTGGGGCATTCGTGGCTGAGTGGTTAAGGTTGTTGATTTCAAACCATTTGCTCCTCACAGCTGTGGGTTCGAATCCCGACAGACACTTTGGATTCTTTCTGTTTCATGTGAGGAAGCTATCCAGCTAGCTTACAGAACGTTGGTGGTTCTACTCAGGTTCCCGTTCATGCCTGAAATAATGCACAGAAGGGCACTTGAGGTCTTCCTCCACCAGTAAAGCTGGAACGTTGCCATATTACCTATAATGTGTCTGTGTGATGTAAAACCCAATTGAACAAACAAATATAAACAAAAGTCGATTCATTTCCATGAGGTGTATAATAATGGGACTATGGTAACATTTGGATGGTGCATTATATGGAAAAAAAAAGATTTTTTATTAATAAGGCAAAACTTTGATATTTTGATGGATGTAAATTTATGTCAATATGTAATAGAAGAAATGATAATATACATGTATACTATATGTTGCTCATTTGCCCCTGACATCTCTGTAGGTTTGAATCCTGTCAGGAACTTTGGATTCTTTCATGTGAAGATCCTTACATATCTAGCTAGCTTATGGGATACCAGTGGTTCTTCTTAGGTGCCTGCTTCTGCCTCAAATTATAAAGGTCTTCCTTCACTAATAAGCTGGAAAGACAACATATCACCATTAAAAGTGGAGGGTGTGGCTTAAAGTCCTACCAAAACAGGGGGGGAAATATTAATTAAATTTATACTGATTGTAAACTGCAAATGCACATGTTTGCATGATTCTGTACCTGAAGAATGGTTACGCGAAGGCAAGTTTGAAATTGTTGATGTTAGCAGTCTATTTAAGGATTAAAGCATACAAACATGCAGACATACAGTGACACACCACCCAGAATGCCTTTTGTTAATTATTCAATGTTTTGATCCGAGGTTGTTGTAGAATTGCTGCAGAAATGTACAATTATAAAATATAAAAAGTATTTTTTTTTGGGGGGGGGGGGGGGGGAGGTTTTGGTCTATTAGCATTATACTGAGCAAAGTTTTATAAGGGGGGGGGGAGAGGGGGGACAGGACGTTATAGGAGGGTGTCAGTGTACTTCTAATCTCCCATTAAATGGCATTTAAAATAGAAGCATAAAATTGTGAAAGGTTACTTGTATTTAAAGCTGCCTTAATTTTAAGGAAGAAAATAAACAACAAAATCAGTGTGGAAAAAAAGTAAATTTGTATAATTAAGATAAAAGGCACTAAATTACATGATTATAGAAATGTGTATGTATACATGTTCAAATATTTGTACTAGACAAAAAATATAATATAAAATAATATAAAAAGTAGTCTACGACACTGATACAGTAAGACACACACAAAAATATCAGTCTCAAGACGAGCTGTGTATAAAATAATATTCACAGTCATGTTTTGCATGAAATAACAGCTGAATTAAGGCATTTTTCCAATTGACAAAAAATTGTTTAATATCAAATATATTTCTAATTTGATATTGAGTTTCAATTAATTGTTATTAGATTTCTACTAACAGCAGTTCAACTTTTAGGACATATATACATGTATAATATTATGTTTTTAAGAAGAAAAACATCAATCTCAAATTATGTGTTTTACAATCAGAAAAAAATCCATATTTTAGAGATTTTTAATATTTTCCCAATTTTCAAACGGTATTGTGTTAAAATTTTCCCAATTTTAAAGGTTTATTCTGTTTGCTGTTGCTAAAATGCTCAGGTGTCCTTTTGTAGATATATCAGCATAATAGACTAACTCCAGAAATAAGAATATTTGGGTTTTTCCAATCTACTCTGTAGGTACAAACAGACTTTTACAGTTACAGCTTCGAAAATAAGCACAACAGGTTGACTAATCTATTATGAGGTGTTGTGCACCGTCTAGCTATAATGGTAAAAGATAATGTTTGTACCAACGGATTAGCTGGGAAAAACCCACATTTGCTAAGTTCCCGATATTATTTATAAACACTAGATTTTGTAATCTTTAAGCTGGATTTGTTTCAAAGAGATATGCACAGCAGTTTTTCGAGATCTAGTTTGGTGTCTTTCAATTCTTCAAGCATATAAGTGTCTAATTGTTCTGCTAATGTCACAGTGAAGAGATTCTTCCACGCCCCAGGTTCATCTGAAATGTTCATAAGTAATCTGTTTCATTCAGGGTAAGAATTTGAAAGAAATTACTTTACAAGCTTGTTCGGTTCTGGGAATCAAAACGTAACCTGGTTGCCATTAACTTGCTTGCTTACAATTTAAGTAAAAGTACATGTACTATTTTAGATATTGGGTAAGTAGGGACTGCCAGGTGGCTGAGGTGGTTTACTTTGAATAACTTGCTCCCCACACTGTCAGTTCAAATTTTCGGCAATAATCGGGCATTTCAAAAGCTTATTGAATGTTATAAAAAATTCAAATAAATTTCTGTCTGTAAGCTTAGCTCAACAGGGAGAACATCAGATAAGTAAGTAATCATTGTAATAGCTGGATGTGATACCTTGACAAATGACAATTAATCTTGGACAATGAGTCAAATGCATAATGGAAATTAATATTTTGTCTCTCAGCACTGAATCAGAAATCATTGGAATTAGTAGGTGGTCACTTGCAAAGAAATTGGTAATTACTGGTTACTTAAGTAGTTATCCTAAAAAGCTGGTTTGTTGGATTCTCCTCCAAAATATGACCACACATGTGTTAAAATTGGCGTACAGAACAGAAAAACAAAAACAAAAAAGGCTTAAAAACAGAAAAACAGAAACAAAAAAAACAAACAAATTAATTTCTAGACTCTGCAATATAAAGATATTAAAGTGTTAAAGTTATGCTCACTGAATACTTCTCTATGACTATGGCCATTTTCAGTATGATGCGTTTTTCTTCGTTTTTGTTGAGGTTGTTCGGCTTCTTTTTTCACTGACATACACATTTCTGAGATCTGGAAGGAACTTTTATGAATGTTGAGAAATTGGCACAGTTTATAGACTTCATGCTCAAAATTCTGAAAAGTATTGCAAAAATTAGATAATATTTAAGGAGTGACAAATATTGATAAGAAAAACTTAAACCGCCATGCACATCATATTTTGATGTGACGTCACTTGCATTATACAAACATACTGTAAGGATGTGCTTAATGTGTTATACTATAAAGACGTTAGTGAAAAATGATTGATTTTATTATAATTACTATAAGCAGTTCTTATTTCATGTGTGTGATAAATAGAATATTATATTCGCGTACTGGTTCATTTCTGAATTTATTAAACTTGTTGAATAATTAAATGTACAGGCTGTTGAGGTTTAGATATTAGAACACCATCAGTATACATGTAGAGTCTAATGTGCAGGCTGTTCAGTGGTTTTGTATTAGACTAAGAAAAGAGGCATGAGAGTGCATCTGTTAGTGTGAAAGAACATACCTCTGTGAGATCATCAAAATATATAAGGTGTAGATTAGATGTAGGATGCTGTGATAAGATAGTACTCCAATCTTTGGTATGCTGGCACCAATTTCCATCTGAAATTTGTTGGAACATTTTAAGTAGTGCTCGGAAATGTTTCACAACAACAACAACAAGGTAATCTCCTTTTACAGTCAAATTAAACTAGTTTCAAAATTAGCAAGATTTTGATTGATCTATCATATACCCTATCCAATCACATGCCCCTCACTGCTGTGGGTCTGAATCCTTGCAGGGAATTTGGATTATTTAATGAGTCTAAGGAAGCTATCCTGCTAGTGTAGGGAAAGTCACTGGTTCTACTCAGGTTTAGTTTGGTTTAAACAAATTTATTTAAGCTTGATTGCGAAACAAGTTCTTGCAACTTATATTAATCACTTTTGAGTCAGCTTCCTGGAACCAACCAGTACTGATGTCATATGGGGAAACATGGTCGTGACCCAAGTAAGGCTCGAACCCATGATCCCTCGGTTGAGAGGCAGACACCTTAACCACTTAATGTATTGAGGTGCACCTGAGGTCCGTGTCTGCCAGTACAGCTGGAAAGCCTCCAAATGATTTATACAGTGTTGGTAAAAAAACAAAAACAAACCTAACAAACTGACCACTTCTCAACAATAAAATGTCAAAGGTTACAGTGTGTAAATAAAGAAACACTTACCTGGGAGACCATTAATAAATCTGGACAAAAAATCACTAAAATAAGTGTCATGGTATTCTTTAGAAGTTGTATAAAGTGAAGCAGCTTTTTGGGTTCGACAATATACAATCTTTGTGGGTTGACTAAAGTTAAGATGGGGAATTCGAGGGAGGTGCCCCCAACATGTTATGTTTGGGACAGTGTTTCCAGGGGATTGGGGGATGCACAGGGACAAAGGAATAAAAATTTTTTGGATAAGATCTAGGCGAAATAAATTTTAATATATATAGTTTTTTTCATGAAAAAAAGTTTCAGGTTTTTATTTAAAACCAAGGGATTAAAAAATGCAACTGGTTATAACAAACAAACAAACAGAAAAATAACAGTCAATAATCACTAATATCACAATAAAAGAATACAATTATGACTAGCTAAATAAAGAAAAAAAAGATCATATTGTTCATTTCAAGTACTGAATTCAAAACTATTCATTTTCAAACAATTGAAACACATTAGTTTAGAGGTTATACAGCGTAGCTTACTTTTATGAAATAAAGTGAAAAACTTACATGATTCTTAAACATAAGAACAAGTTATTCAACTGAAGTAGAGAATAGAGGAAGTTGAATTCTGAAGTTTTATAATGATTTATTTATATATTAACCTATTTAAAAAAAGAGATTTATTACTCCATGCATATCAAAGCTTTGTATACATACAACGTATAGATCAATGGATTACACTAACCTGAATATTTGTACCCAGTTACTAAAATATCCGATGATTCAGATGAATTTGATAAATCCATGATTTAATGATGTCCCTGCGGTTTACAAAAATAAATGAGACAGATATTTTGTCTAAACATTTAACCCACACCTAAATGCACACAGTAATTAGCTACGACATATCTATCACAATATTTTTTGTCTAATGAATATGTTGTGAAACTTAAATTTACTTAAACCTTGTTTAAGTTAAAATTTTCTGTCATGAACACCTATATTGATTTTACACTCCATTTCTAATACAGATCAATAGTTAACTCCACCCATGCAATGTGTATATCTTATATAGTGCAGAACAGCAATGTATAATAGTATAGTTTCATATACTAAGATAAAAATAGATTTACGTTATGCTTTTATTTCCTGGTTGGTTGTTGAAGTGAGCCAATCAACATCTTTCATACACATACTTGTATTGTTGTTTTGCACTACCTAGGTGATTTTTTTGCAGTATAGATAGAACTGTAGTATTGATAGGCGGTTGTGCAGTACAGATAGTAGACTGCAGTAGAGATAGAAGCCGATAATTTGGACTTAACAGTATAGAATGAAGATGATATTGTGCACAAAAATAATTTTTGAGCTGCTGTACTGTACAGATCATAAGTGATAAATTTGAAGACAGTATAGACAGAGGATGATTTTTTGAATTGCAGTATAGAAAGCAAATGATAATTTGGCAGATAGTAAATTAGATTGCACTATAGATAGCAGATGATAATTCTGCAGATGATAAATTAGACTGCAGTACAGATAGCAGATGATAAGTTGTCAGATGATAGACTGTAGTGAAAGAAATACTTTAACTTCATATTGTATAAATAAAGGTGATAGCTTTGGCTTTGGTTAACTTTAGAGTGGCATATTAAATATTTAATTAATTTGAGTAATTGACACAAACTCCTTTACCAACTACATCTTTGTTTCTATTTTATATAACAGTGAAGATTGTTTTAGTGTCAAATTGTTGTCTTTTATCTATCCACTATTTTATTTGTTCATTGCAAATAAATAGAGCCTTAAAAGGTTTAAAAAAAGAAATATACATGTAATTATACTTGACTAGGTGTATGTAATATTTGTTAAGTTTTACTCATACTGGTTAAACTTAAAGCAATCTTAACAACAGTAAAAGCTCCTAGTTTACCAGTTCCAAGATATAGCAGATAAAAAAGGCCTTAACATTGATTTATCAGTAATTGTTTAAAAAAACATGAACTAGGTATTTACTCAAAAACATACCACCTTATTACTCATACAGAGTAATGGTAATTTCAGTATTTAAGATAGAGAAATTGTCTCTGCTCTTTGTCATTCCTAGATAAATTTGAGTGGAAATCAATGTTAAGCATTTGTACAAAAACATGAGGTTTGTTTGATTGTATTACCCATTCAAACTGTAAGGATGAAGTAAATATTAAAGTGAAAATTTTCCCGTATAATTATGTATATCTTTTTGTGTCCTTTGGGGGGTCTATGCGACTCAGAGGGGTTTAGATCCGTACTTGCTTTTTACTGGTTTGGGTTGAAATTCCACTAGGGTGAGCCACTGACTTTAAGTAAATTCAAAACAATAAAAAAACAAATAACATATTCCATTCAACCCAAAATGACAAGATGTTTTTGTTAATTTATATTACAGCCTGAATTGTTGGACAGTGTGGCTCTGAATCTTCATCGTATTGACAAGGACGTACAGAGGTGTGACCGGAACTACTGGTATTTCACACCAGATAATCTCGAGAAACTTCGTAACATCATGTGCACGTAAGTCTTGAAAATTTCTTCAATTAAAACGCTATCAAATTGGTTATTGACATGGATGCTTTTCTTTTTTAAACAAGAATTTGTTTATTAGCTTATACTTAATGATCTAGAACAAATCTTTATGTGATCATAATAGGAAGAATAAGGGTTGAAGGTTAATCAATTTTCTTCTGTCTTTTAAACTACAGGTTTTATAGTACTGCTATAGTACTGTCGCCCAACATCAAAATGAAAGCAACATTTAAAGTTTTGAAGCCAGTCTACCCCCAGACTAATAAGCTAGAAAGGTGGCATGTATTTTTCATAGGCAGGTCCAATATAAGTTATTGAGTTGAAATATGGGGTTTTTTTTGCGTGTATAACAGATGCAGTTACTGAAAACTTACTTTTTTTAATATTATTCATGTGATATTTTCAGGTATGTATGGGAGCATCTAGATGTTGGATATGTACAGGGAATGTGTGATTTACTGGCTCCCTTACTTGTCATCATTGATGAAGGTATGTTTATTCTTATAATTCTAAAAAAATGGGTAAAGGGAACGTCTGAGGCCGTTTACTTCAAACCACTTGCCCTTCACCACTGTGGGTTTGAATCCCGTCAGACTTTTCTGATTCTTCCATGTGAGGAATCTTTAAGAATAGCTAGCTTACGGAACATTGGTGGTTCTACTTAGGTGCCCGTTCATACCTGAATAGTGCACAGAGGGGCACCTGAGGTCTTCCTCCATCAGTAAAAGCTGGAAAGTCGCCATACGACCTTCTTATGTATTGGTGCAAAGTAAAAGCCTATCAAGAATAAGAAAAACAGTTTATTGTATTTTAATCTTAAAGCCCATGAAGAAACATGATGCACCAGTTTTAATTCATTGCAGGGAGAGCTCATAATCAAAAGTTTACTCCCTTTTCAAACCTTATATTTAAAAGAACATCATCTTTGTTTCATGGCTTCCTGTTGGTACAGTAGATATTGATATTGTAACATAGCATTGAAAATTTATCACACTGTATATAAGGTTACAAATTTTTTATGGAGGAGGCTTGATTCTATGTAAATATTTTATTACATCATATTGTAAAATTTTATTGTATTCACCTGAAGTTACTACATTATATTAACTGCCTTAATTATAGGCTATTAATTTGATTCCTTTTTTGTTTTATGAGCTTTTTGTGGCCTTCACCTTATGAATATGGTATTAAAGATTCCATTTTCTTGATGTTTTCTTCATTGTTCTGATTTTATAGAAATTGCGATTTTCTCAATCACCTTGTTAACAATGTTAACGAGATGAAATCAGAATAACACAAACCTGTTGTAAATACTGCTTAAACAAAGACCACTGGCGGATAAACCTGGTTTGAATCCACCATATATTACAGCTTGTAACAAATCTGTTATAAGAGACAACATTCCAACAAAGATCATTGTGTTTTACTTCCATAAAATTAGCTTTTAAGATATGCAGGACTGTTATATCATTTTCTAATATCTTGGATTTTTTAATATCTTGGATTTTCTAATATTTTGGATTTTCCAATATCTTGGATTTTCTAATATCTTGGATTTTTTAATATCTTGGATTTTCTAATACCTTGGATTTTCCAGTATCTTGGATTTTCTAATATCTTGGAATGATTTTATTTCAGAGGCTAAAACCTACAGTTGTTTCTGTGAGTTAATGAAGAGAATGTGCAGCAACTTTCCGCATGGTGGAGCCATGGATACACACTTTGCAAACATGAGATCTCTAATACAGGTCAGACAATGATTTTATTATCATACCTTATCACATTTATCAAATTTGTTGTCATTTGTGAATCTTTTTTTTTCCAGGGGAGTATAATATATTGGCCAGTCTGCATTTCCATCACACTTAACGTTTTTTTATTATGTTAATATTTCACAGGCTGGTGAAAATGCCAATATTGGCTATGAATCAAATATAATGTTATAATTGAACCATAAAAATGTAAATAATTCTCACATGAAGTGACAGTACCAATTTTTTTTTCTGTTTATGGTCAATATGATTTATCTCTCATACACAAGTTTAAAAGTATCTTTATTATTTTTCTAGAAATATGAGTTTTTATGTCATAAGCCTGATTGGGTATTTTCACCAGCCTGTTTTAGTATATTGAATATTTGGTATGAATCAAATATACAGGCTCTTCCTTTGAATGGGATTTTTTGCTGATTTTTGGAAACAGTATCTAGAGTGTTAGATTTCTGTTTCATTCTTCTATATTTTCTTTTGTATGTTAAATGATAAGCTGTATTTTATTCTTTCATTTCAGATATTAGATTCCGAGTTATTTGAGCACATGCATCACCATGGGGACTACACTCATTTCTATTTCTGCTATAGGTGGTTCTTACTGGACTTTAAAAGAGGTCAGTGATGATGATACAACATTGTTTTTATATTGAAATGTTAAATATTTATAAAATAAAGTTCTGTTTATTATAGTATATTAGCCTTTGCATTTTGCTTGTCAGTATATTGGTTGTTGATATTATATTTACCATTACAAGATGAGGAAAAGTTATCCTATGCACACTTGTGCCTGCATAATTTAAGCATCACATCTTGGTTAAATTATGCAGGCACAAGTGCACAGGATAAATATTCATCTTTGTCATGTTTTTATTCTTAACCTAGTAGAATATTTCCTTGAAACTTTGAATACTTGTTTACGACCATCACTTTCACCTATGGGCAAGAGAACATAACTCTGTCAACGATTTTGACTTAATATTGTCTATTTTTCAACAGGAAATATGTCTAAAGATCTACTTTTCTTTAGTTAATAAGAACTGAAAAAGATGAATATGTTTATATGATCCTATTGACATTTATAGAAATGTTTATCACCTCTGTTATCAAATTTCCCAAGTTCTGAAAATTTCACCTTTTTATGTCAGTTCATGCAATAAATGCAATTAATGGCATTAGTGTACCAGCAGTTTAATTTGTTTTCAATCTTATTAATGTTAACAATGTGTCATTAATATTTCAGAGTTTGTTTATAACGACATCTTTCTGATATGGGAGACAATCTGGGCAGCTAAATATATCAGCTCTGCTAATTTTGTGCTATTTATAGCACTGGCGATGGTGGAATATTACAGAGATATTATCCTTGATAACAACATGGACTTCACAGATATTATCAAGTTCTTTAATGGTAATATATTATATTTTAAGTTTGCCCACATTTAGTTTGACACAAGATACTTAGATTTTCATTATAATTAAATTTATGATTTTTGACTGAGATTTTCATTATAATTAAAGTCATGATTTTGCACTGAAGTAGTACTTTATAAAATTAGCTGAACTAAACGCAGCAGTAATTACATTAATATTGGTGAACAATTCTATTTTATTGATGCCAAATTTGAAGTTAAATGGCATGTCCAGTTCTATGAAATGTAGTTATTATTCATCATTAGTTTAAACTTTCTTATATAAACTCAATTTTGAAAAAAAAGTTCTTGCAAATTTTATTGCTCCATAACCTGTCCTGGTGCCTCATAACCTGTGTAGGACTTGAACCTGTAATACCTTGGTTAAGAGGCAAACACTTAAAGCATAAGACCACCACTCCCTCGATGCTCATTGTTCATTCTTAAAACAGAGAAATTTTTAAAACAGAGAATAAGTATCACATGTATCATCAGAATTTGAATTTTAATTAAGATTTTAGCTATAAGTATGAAAATCTTTCCATAGCAATAAAATTATCTTATCTTATACATGTAGTCTCTAACCAGCGTTTATTGGCATTTTTAACACCATTTTTTTTCTTCTTTGTGTATAGTGACAAAATCACGAGGAGTGTTTAAATTTTTGATAACATTTTTATTACATGTATATAATTTTTGTAAAGGCTTCTTGTATTCTATGTAAATTATACATGTATGTTAGAAATTAGAATATATTGTTGAGATATTATTTATTTTATTGACAGAAATGGCGGAGAGACACGATGCCAAACAGGTTCTGAAGATAGCACGAGAACTGATCCTTCGTCAACAGACACTGATAGATAATAAATGATGATTTATAGAATGATGATAATTGATTGACAGGTATACCAGGTGATGATTGACCGCTACTTTATGTCACGATGATATCTGATGGTGATATAGAGATTAATGGGTTGGTTTGATTGATTGATTGTGAGAGTTGATTGATTGATTGGTTGTGATAGTTGATTGATTGATTGATTCTGAGAGTTGATAGAAACAAAAGTTAACATGACATCATTGTATACAGTAAATTGATAAAAACTGTAAAATCATTAAAATCTTTATTTATTTTCATAGATTTTAGAATTTTCAAGACCTATAAATTTAAACCAAAGAGACATAAAAAGCATTTTATGTGTTTATATGTAATGCATTTATTATCTATGAAAAAAAACTGACAGATTTAAAGATTTTACGGCGTTGAGTATATACATGCATTATATTGATTAGTGCACAAGGTTTATATCTATCACACTACAGACATAGGGCAGGACAAGGTTTTTGTACATGTTTTGTAATTTTAACAGTATTTTCATTTTATATTTTGTACAAAAAAAAAATGTGATTCAACACTGTTTGTAATTTTTATATTCGCTTAATGCTAAGGAAATGTGCATTTATATATAAATATATGACAGAAAAAAAAAGAAACAATAATTAAGATAATGATAAAATGTTTACAGTCTTTCCAGTAAAATAATGTTAATAAGTCTGAGCTTGAAATTGTTTTTTATCTTCTTGTTTTTCCAAATTTTAAAAAGAAAATGTTATTATTTTTAGAGAGGACATTTAAAATTTATTTGTACATTCTTGCCTCTATTTTGTTACATGTAAATCCACTGTACGGCAATGCAGCAATATGAGTTTTAAATTGTCCGAGGTTCTTATTGGCTGTTTCTTAATGAAGTGAATTATGGGCATGAAGGGCAGATGGACAGGAAAGGGCATGGCAGTCTGACCAGGCTCTTTATACTGTAAGGACCAGGCTCTTTATACTATTAGGACCAGGCTCTTTATACTGTTAGGACCAGGCTCTTTATACTTTAGCTGTGAGTCCCAAATTTTCATCTTGATATCCCTTTATTTAATAATGCTAGTCACAAATTGAGTCAATCCAAGAATATTATGCAGGTTAAATGTTAAATTGTGAAATATGTATTTATTAATTTATATCACTGTTTGAAGTGCATTTCAATTGATATTGAACAATTTCTTTTCTTATTTTTTCAAGTTCATTTTTAATACATTGGGACCAATTTGATAAAACTCACTTCACTGATCATGTTATATTTATTATATTTAATGACTACACTTTATTTACAATATATACAAATTGATATGAATTGAACACTTTTTGTTCTTATCTTTTTATCATTTGAAGACTAATATATGTTGAATTTATTCCAATTTATTTATTTTTATATTTTTTTCATTCAAAAAGGTGGTGATATAAAAATTTTTGCTGTGAAGATATTTCAAGAATTGTGTTATATTATAGTTATACTGTTATTTTTTGTTTAATTGAAATATTTAAAATGTATGGTCACAAAAGTAAATTTATTGTTATGTATACTGGCATGCGAGCAGTTCCCGTACAAAAATCGTAGTTACTTAAACATTATTTTTTATTACGCTCACTCACCAAAATTTTAATGTTACACATCACTATTCAGCTCGTCACACAAATCATGGAAATTCCATCATGTTCTAAACATAGAATAACCCTTAGTTATGAGGCCTCATATGGGGTACCGAAATTATCCATTATTTTGTATGAAGAGAAGTAGTTCCCGTACATAAAATTTAACCCATTATAATTATACAATTTTGTTATATCGGACCTATTTTTCAATTATAATTGTTGAACAGACCATTTTCTAAGAGATAAATAGATGTAATTCAGGAAATAGAGCGTAGACTAAACGCTGGTATCAATTACCCGGTACCGTTACCCCCAACGCATTCTCATGCAATGGCATGCTTGTATGCATGATATTTTACGAATCAAAGCCATAAAATTATTTACTATAGTAATATTGATCAAAATTCTGATAATTAAACAAGTTTTCACCACATTGCCTACTAATCTGTAAACAGGTGGTATTAGTGGAAAACCCTTTAACAGGCCTCACGTGTAAGTATTTTAGCGCATGCGCGCAAGGACGAAATCCCCCAGAGAAAACAAGGTCACGTTTTGACAACGCACAGGTGAAAGTGATTTAAAATGAGACTTTTATACGTACTGCCGAACTGACACTTAGATTTTGTCTCTTTTATGCATCTGCTTGATTTGAAATGAATTTTTGAAGTTTGCAAGTAAAAATCAAGCGTTTAAATGAAAAATACGGGTACTGCTTCTGTACGGGAACTGCTCGCATGCCAGTATATATAGATAAAAAGACAAATTGGTTATTTTATCTTCAAAACAATTGTATTTGTCTTGGTAAAGACCAATTATCATAGAAGATGTTGCTTGAGATACTTGTTCCATATTTCATGGTCTTTATGTACCGGTATGCCATTAAGTTTATTTATTGAAATTTCAAGGATATGGAATGGGAATTAGAGATAGAATAACATATAAGGATAGAATAAATTTCTTACAGAGTCATTCATCTTAAGTTTCCTGCCTCAACTTTCAAATAATATTTCTGCCTCAACTTTCAAATGATGTGATTAAAGATATACTATGATGAAAATAAAGAGTTGGAAGTCTAGAATTATTCTTTGGGGTTCAGATAGGAGGTTGTTTAATATTGATTTTGTTATTTTTGTATTTATTTATATCTTACATATAGAAATTGAAGGAGAATCATATCTTAAAAGGTTGTTGTATCTCAGTGACGTGTTTTGTTGACGTGTTTTGTTTATTGACTTATGTAATCTTTGAAAGGAATATATGTTTATTTTTGTGTTCATTTTTACTTTATTTTATGAATTATTTTGTGGTTGGGAAAACCAAGTGTTTCTGTACAAAAATATTTCTTAACTTACAGCTACTTGTATATTTCTATTTGTATAAAATGCTGATTTGTTTATTTTTATTTGTATAAAACACTAATTTGTTTATTTCAAGTTATATAAAACACTAATTTGTTTATTTCTATAAATTTTGAATATAATAATTGTTAAATGCGAACTGGATTTAAAATTGAAAGAGAAGATTGTACACTTTATTTTCTTTGTGAAAAAAACAAAAACAAAACAACTTGTTTTTTTTATAATAAAAAAAGTAGAAATGTTTCCTAACAGAAGTTTAGGCTGCCTAACGCAGTACATGTATTTGTTTTGTGTGAAAATTTTCTACTTTGTTCTCTATCTTACTAGTGTCTTTGTTAACTAGTGTCTTTGTTAATTCATATTCATCTGTACAATATATTCAATTAACTTTTGAGAAGTAACTTTAATTATTCTGTATGAAATTCTATCTTCTTTGTATGAAATTGATTGACGATGATTTTGAGTACATATAATTTTGAGTATATTTACTATATACATGTACTAATGTATTCTTTGAAAATTGGTTATTCTTGACAGGTTTAAAATAAGGGAAAAAAGGTTTTGTGAGTTAAGACAAGAGGTTGTGAGAAAAACACATGTACTTGGTGTGTCAGTAATCAGATATAAGGTTTACATGTATATATTTTATGTAGAATCTCCTGTAATTTGGTTGGAATTACAATTATTTTGTTGTAGAATCTCTTTCATTCTAGTATTTAGATAATCATTCTTGCTCTTAAATTTGGAATCTCGTTTTCAAACAATCATGGTATAAGTGTGATTTTTCAAGGATTAAATATATCATGAACCAATATCATGTTCTATATGTAATTATAACTCTTGTAGTATTGAGTAATTATTAATTAATAAGCCACTATCAATTAAGTGCTGAATAAAACTTTGATGACATTATCTTTAAATTGATATTATGAGTTTCTGCCTGTTGTGGTACAGAATTTTGGGGCTACAACCTTCCCCTTTTCAATTCATTTTTTCTGTACAATTTCAAGGTCATTATGAAGAAAATTAATTATAATTGTGAAACTATGTTGATATATAATTAATCATAAAGCAATCAGTTATTTTACAATCTGCATTCATTTACACCACTGATTTTCAAAAACCTGAAAATATAAAATTTGACATTCTTGCATAGATCAGGTGTGACACCTAATTAAAACAGAAAAATATGCAAATTATGATAAAGAAAAATACTCTAAATTAACTTTTTGTGCAAATTTTAGTCTGATAAGAGTTAGCGTTTTACATTTTTGGGTCATTTTTGTGCCACCACAATCTGTATAAATGCATAGCATTTTTTCACAAATGCAAATTTGTTCATAATTAAAATAATTATTCAGGAAAAAAAGGAGTGATTTAATGATCTGAAATTTTGCCCAAATGTTATTGGTTAAGACCGTCATCAAATTGTACACAAATCTTGAAAAAATATTGTTGGGCCCTGTCATGTCAAAAAACAAAAAGCACAACTCAATGAAGTCCATTTAAGAGCCTCCTTTTTAAAAGTGTCTGCAAAATTTTCCATCTTGAATATAAATATAATAATTACATGTATTGAATTCTTGTTTTCTGTGTTTTTAAGCGTTCATATTCAGCACTTAATTGATGCGGCAGCAGTGTAAATATTTGTATTTAATTGTTACCCCACCCACCGTATTCCAAAATAGTAATGTAATTTATCAGGGCAAGTGCAATAGTATTTATTTAAACATCAATGCAAATGTATTCAATCCGATATTTTTGTGTAATTTTTTGCTTTATTTTGTATCATCCACATATTTATCATTAATAATCTAAAAACCAGAGACATACATAACATCTATGTTATATATGTAGATAACACCTATGTTATATATGTAGATAGCATCTATGTTATATATGTAGATAACATCCATGTTATATATGTAGATAACACCTATGTTATATATGTAGATAACACCTATGTTATATATGTAGATAACACCTATGTTATATATGTAGATAACATCCATGTTATATATGTAGATAACATCTATGTTATATATGTAGATAACATCTATGTTATATATGTAGATAACACCTATGTGATATAT